CTTTTGTCGTGACAAATCAAGTGAACTATCAGGACTACTCTGGAATTTATAACCGAGGTAGGCATTACATTAGCTGAAGCTACTCTAGAACTCCAAGGTTCCTTTACCTTAGAAATGCATTTGGTTCTTTAATCTCTACGAAACTTGTGTCAAACCATGTCTCTTTTTAATAAGGCCGTGTCGTCTATGACATGATCTTTCAGATCGCGGAGGATTTTTTCATGATCATGTAGGATTTCCTCTCCGCCCTTTCACTGATTTATTATGCATACATGGTTATCATCCCACTCTGTATACAGTTAAACCTCCATTAAGTGGCCACCTATTAAGCAGCCAGTAATCAATGCCCCGAAATAATTGTAGAAAAGAATGGGAAAGTAAATACACCTCTATTGAGCGATCGCGGCCACCTTTTTGCTGTTCCGAGGAGAGTTTTTCTATTTTTCTCACCTCTATTAAGCGGCCATAAAAATCAAGCTTTTGACAGACTAAGGTTGGCTTTATTTTAAGAATATGATGAAGGAAAATAGTCCGAGATTAAGAAGGTGACAGCCTCCCCTTATGCGCCATACAACAGGGAGTACTGTACAGTACCGCAAATGATCCCCAACCGCAAATGATCCCGAGACCGCAAATGATCCCCAAAATGGACCGCAAATGATCCTCGACCGCAAGTGATCCCTAAAGTCGACCGCAAATGATCCCGTGAAAACTTGAGGAATGGAATGGATTTTATGGGACTGATTACAAAAAAGGACTGATTATAAAAAAGAATCCTTTTTCTCTCGCCTTTTAAAGAAAAAAGGGAAGGAGGACGCTACATCTCAGGTCAACTTATACAAGGTGAAAAAAAAATTGAATAAATCTGAAAAGTATGGTATTAACCGTATACTTCTTCCTTTGTCGATTGCTTCAATTTTTTTTGAAGAATGTTTCGTCTTTTGAAAAATTTAAGACAGGCAGGACGTTACGCCGAAAAAACTCTATTATTTTAACGCCTAGAAGCTCAACTTTTCTACTGAGGAATACAAAGCTGGGCACCCTCTACATAACAAGAGCTTTATTGACTTTACTGATCTTTTTGAAAGCGTGAAATTAATCAGCCAGAATATTTAATTTTGATTTTTCTCTTAAGTGTTAATTTTACGTGATAAACAGCAAGACATTTGTTCGTAACTTAGGTGCCCGTTACGAAACAAGACATGATTTAACATAAACACAAGACAAATTCCCCCGAACTCATCAATGTCCACAGGTTTCGGTTTATTTCGAAATAGCAACTTTCTTACAGCTCATGAAAGTGTTGTGGATAGTTATATTGGCGCTTTTATGTATATTCATTTGTTGTGCCTTTGCTGAAGGCAGTTACCAGGAATCTAAACCTGGTAATGAGAAACACAAAGCCAGGTGAGCGGTAGTTATCGCGTGACAAAACATCGTAGGAAACCGTCACATTCACGGACTAAAAGAAAATCGCTTATGATTATTCGGATCCAGGAGGCACTTTGGAGAAAATTAAACAACCTAAAACCCTTATTTAGCGGCAATGAAGAGCTGACTGCATTTCAAAAGAGGTCAAAGGAAATGCTCTTGTATCAAAGGGCAAATCATGCCGACCAGAAACAACAATAATCGCAGAAAATGCATGTCATGACCTCTCAGAATGAAATAAGCGGCAAAAGTCACATTTGCTTTGAATGATTTTTTTCCATTTAGTTTTTAGTCATATATTTATTTGAGAAGTAAAATTTAGCTTTTAATCTGACTTACTGTAATAATAATAAAATCGACACGATGGTCCGATAACTTGAGTCCAGGTCATTCCTATTTTTCTTTCGGGATCATTTGCGGTCGACTTTGGGGATCACTTGCGGTCGAGAATCATTTGCGGTCCATTTTGGGGATCATTTGCGGTCTCGGGATCATTTGCGGTTGGGGATCATTTGCGGTACTGTACAGTACTCCACCGGGGATTTTAAAACCATCACGTTTCTACTATAAATGACATTCAATTATTAAACTGAGATGTACCGAGTGAGCAGTAAATCTCTGGAAGACCAAAAACATCTCAGACTGGACGGGGTGCGAATTTTGTTATTTTTTAACAGAAAGAAAACATGGAATCGCGATTTTCATGACTATCAGGCTGACTCCAGATCTTTGCTTCCTCCTTTCGCTGAACGTTAAAAATACAGTGCAAGTTTGGATGGCGACTTTTGATTACAACTAGTGGAATCCTTCAGTAATTAGGGGTTACATCTATCTAAGAAACTGCTTATGGTCAAGCAAGTCCCAGGGGTAGGGCATATGACAGCACATCTGCGACAACTGAAATTCCTTTGACTTCAAATGACTCACAAAGTGTAAGCCTCGTTAGAAGGTTACTCAATAATCACGAATCATATCCGGCAGTATTCGGAGAACAACAGGAAGTCTCAGACCAACTTCCTCAGTGGAAGATTCCATCAAAAAGCTGCAGTATCTGTTATAAGATCTTTTTCGTGAACTTTTTGTTATTTCGTTCTGAGAAATATTTTAAAAGAACTTTGACTTTCTCACGCCTGACTCACAAATCCACACAAATTGTTATTTAATACTTGATTAATGACGAAACTTTAATTCGATTTCCACAAATATATTCCAAAAAGGCTTTGAATGATGACTTTGTGTCCTAACGAAATCAAAACACGCTGTAGTTATCGTCTCTTTTAGTACTCAAAGGTCGCCGGAACATTTTCGGGAGTTTTCAGTATAGTTAAGGAGGTTCGGAAAATTATCGGAAGTCCTCGGAAGACGCTGGGAATTTTTTGAAAATCGCGCGACCATCTCAAGTTGGCTGTTTGTTAATCTCCAGGAATGTCTCTGTTTAATAAGGCCGTGTTGTCTATGATCTTTCAAATCACAGAGGACTTTTTCAGCGATAATATCCATCATGTAAGATTTCCTCTCAGCCCTTTCACTGGTTTATTACTCATGCATACATGGTTATCACTCCACTCTGTATACAGTTAAACCTCCTTTAAGTGGCCGCCTATTAAGCGGCCAGTAATCAAAGTCCCGAAATACAGTCGAACCTCCATGTGCGACCAACTCTTGTAAGCGACCGCCTATCCAAAACACCAAAACCTCCCCAGTTTAAGTCTTACTGTTGGAACCTCTCGTACACTATTATTAGTCTTGATTACCATATAAGCTAGATAGTTACGTTTATGACTGTCGATACGAACAGATAAAATTGTCAATTCTTGTGCTAATCATTGTTAGTTAATAACTAGTCCTAATTTTTATAAATTGTAATTATCACACGGCATGTCTGAAAATCAGCTTGCTGAGCCATTTATCGTGTTTAAATAAAGTTGATTGATTGATTGATTGATTGATACACGGCCACCTCCTGTAAGCGACCGCGACCGCCACCAATATTTGGCGCTGACGGTTTAATGATTTTTCCATTGTTTTTAACGTCTTGTCAGCGGCCACTTGACGAGTTTTCTGATCTCTTATGGTCTCTGTGTGTACTATCCTACTTAGGATATACGAAGAACTTTAGTAAAAACATAGAACTGTACATATCCAAACTTGGAAATTGCATGCAATAAATTTCCTTTCTTAGATCTATTAGACTACGAGTAGTCCCCCATTTTTCCTCAGAGATAGAAAAGGTGACACGCGTGTCGCCTTTTCTCGCGTGGGGTGATTTTCACGCGCGCTCGCGTTTCGCTCGCTCTACTATCCCTGAGGAAAAATGGGGGACTACTCGTAGTCTATAGATTTATGTGTCCGGACTTCTACTCGGAAGAAGCCCCCTGTGGTTCGATTCTCGTAAGCGACCACCTCCCGTAAGCGACCACTAAGTCTTCGCATTTTGAGTGGTCGCCTATGGGAGGTTCGACTATAATTGCAGAAAAGAATGGGAAATTATATCTCTATTTAGCGGCCACCTTTTTTAAGCGATCGCGGCCACCTTTTTACCGTTCCAATGAGAGTTTTCCCATTGTTGCCAGCTCTAATAAGCGGCCATCAAGGAAAACAGTCCCGAGATAGAAGGTGACGACCGATTGTGGACCAGTAATGCTGCCCTCGTTGCGTGATTGTTGTAAAATAAAGTGATGTTTCTGCTCGATTATAAATAGTAGGATCATCTATGACATGGCTTATGACGAACAACCAGCCACTCACTGGCACCCCGAGGTTGGCCACTTAATGGACGTTCAAACTGTACGTACTCATAGTCATATTCATTACTTGTGTTAAATTATAAGCGCAAGCTGCTTACAGAAATCTTTCTAATCCGGCTCATCCTCGGACGGATGTATTGAAAAAGAACTTGCAATCTTCGTAAGTTATATAACACAAAGGAACTCAAAGAAGTCAAGATAGCAGAGCTATACTAAGGGAAATAGGAGGTAAAAAGGAAAAAACGAAAGCTTCCCAGGTTCTTACACCTAGTAAGACCTAAGCTGGAACCGAGCATGGCTAGGGGCCGGGGGCTTCCTATTCTAAAAGAACCATAATAAATTTCTGGAAATCCAAAAGCTAAAGAAAAATGTAGCTTTCTCAGAGCTTTGGTGGTAAAGAAATAGATTTTCTTTTCATTTGCTGTACGCTTATACGCTAGCAAGAAAAAAAGAATGTCTTTTTCCTTTTTTTTTTAAGAAGACCCCATACCATCAAGTCATATTACACAACGCCACAAAACACGTAGAAGGCTCACCATTTGTGGCAAACCAAATGCAACTGCGATAGAAGAAATCAAATAATACGTATACAGCAGCGAATTCTAAGTAAGCTTTTATGTTAGGTTTCAATTCTACTTTTAGTCTCCGTTATCGTACGTTGTCGTACATAAAGAGAAATATAGTATCAATGACAAAATGAAATCACAACATATCTAGTATACTTTTTTGCAGAAGAGCTGAAATAGCAAAGCCAGCAAAAATGTCACAGCCACAACTATCTTCTTGAAAAGCAGTAAATCCTATCTGCAATTTGTAATTGGAATGACTGAGAAAGGACAAACAGGTGCGAATTGTAATCTTGAAAACACCAACAGAATTGCCAATAAAATTGGAAAGAGTAGAGAGCAAGAAAAAGGGAATAGTCATATTGGACACGCCAAAGATTTCCAGAACGCTATAGACCACTATGAACGAGACCTCAAAATATCAAGAGAAGTGGGAGACAGGGCAGAAGAACGAAGAGCGTATTGTAATCTTGGCAACGCCTATCACAGTCTTGGAGACTTTCAGAAAGCCATAGAGTACCATGAACGATACCTCAAAATTTCGAAAGAAGTGGGAGACAGGGCAGGAGAAGGAAGAGCGTACTGTAATCTTGGCAACGCCTTTCAAAATCTTGGAGATTTTCAGAAAGCCATAGAGTACCATGAACAAGACCTGAAAATTTCGAAAGAAGTGGGAGACAGGGCAGGAGAAGGAAGAGCGTACGGTAATCTTGGCAACGACTTTAGAAATCTTGGAGATTTCCAGAAAGCCATAGAGTACCATGAACGACACCTCACAATTTCGAAAGAAGTGGGAGACAGGGCAGGAGAAGGAAGAGCGTACTGTAATCTTGGCAACGCCTATAACAGTCTTGGAGATTTCCAGGAAGCCATAGAGTACCATGAACGATACCTCAAAATTTCGAAAGAAGTGGGAGACAGGGCAGGAGAAGGAAAAGCGTACGGTAATCTTGGCAACGCCTTTCAAAATCTTGGAGATTTTCAGAAAGCCATAGAGTACCATGAACAAGACCTGAAAATTTCGAAAGAAGTGGGAGACAGGGCAGGAGAAGGAAGAGCGTACGGTAATCTTGGCAACGACTTTAGAAATCTTGGAGATTTCCAGAAAGCCATAGAGTACCATGAACGACACCTCAAAATTTCGAAAGAAGTGGGAAACAGGGCAGGAGAAGGAAGAACGTACTGTAATCTTGGCAACGCCTATAACAGTCTTGGAGATTTCCAGGAAGCCATAGAGTACCATGAACGATACCTCAAAATTTCGAAAGAAGTGGGAGACAGGGCAGGAGAAGGAAAAGCGTACTGTAATCTTGGCAACGCCTTTCAAAATCTTGGAGATTTTCAGAAAGCTATAGAGTACCATGAACAAGACCTGAAAATTTCGAAAGAAGTGGGAGACAGGGCAGGAGAAGGAAGAGCGTACGGTAATCTTGGCAACGACTTTAGAAATCTTGGAGATTTCCAGAAAGCCATAGAGTACAATGAACGACACCTCACAATTTCGAAAGAAGTGGGAGACAGGGCAGGAGAAGGAAGAGCGTACTGTAATCTTGGCAACGCCTATAACAGTCTTGGAGATTTCCGGGAAGCCATAGAGTACCATGAACGATACCTCAAAATTTCGAAAGAAGTGGGAGACAGGGCAGGAGAAGGAAAAGCGTACTGTAATCTTGGCAACGCCTTTCAAAATCTTGGAGATTTTCAGAAAGCCATAGAGTACCATGAACAAGACCTGAAAATTTCGAAAGAAGTGGGAGACAGGGCAGGAGAAGGAAGAGCGTACGGTAATCTTGGCAACGACTTTAGAAATCTTGGAGATTTCCAGAAAGCCATAGAGTACCATGAACGACACCTCAAAATTTCGAAAAGAAGAACGTAGTGGGAAACAGGGCAGGAGAAGGAAGAACGTACTGTAATCTTGGCAACGCCTATTAGAAAAATTCTTGGAGATTTCCAGAAAGCCATAGAGTACCATGAACGACACCTCAAAATTTCGAAAGAAGTGGGAGACAGGGCAGGAGAAGGGAAAAACGTACTGTAATCTTGGCAACGCCTTTTCAAAAAGTCTTGGAGATTTAATCAGGAAGCCATAGAGATTTCAGTACCATGAACAAGACCTGAAAATTTCGAAAGAAGTGGGAGACAGGGCAGGAGAAGGAAAAGCGTACTGTAATCTTGGCAACGACTTTTTTCAAAATCTTGGAGATTTTCAGAAAGCCATAGAGTACCATGAACAAGACCTGAAAATTTCCAAAGAAGTGGGAGACAGGGCAGGAGAAGGAAGAGCGTACGGTAATCTTGGCAACGACTTTAGAAATCTTGGAGATTTCCAGAAAGCCATAGAGTACCATGAACGACACCTCACAATTTCGAAAGAAGTGGGAGACAGGGCAGGAGAAGGAAGAACGTACTGTAATCTTGGCAACGCCTATAACAGTCTTGGAGATTTCCAGGAAGCCATAGAGTACCATGAACGATACCTCAAAATTTCGAAAGAAGTGGGAGACAGGGCAGGAGAAGGAAAAGCGTACTGTAATCTTGGCAACGCCTTTCAAAATCTTGGAGATTTTCAGAAAGCCATAGAGTACCATGAACAAGACCTGAAAATTTCGAAAGAAGTGGGAGACAGGGCAGGAGAAGGAAGAGCGTACGGTAATCTTGGCAACGACTTTAGAGATCTTGGAGATTTCCAGAAAGCCATAGAGTACCATGAACGACACCTCACAATTTCGAAAGAAGTGGGAGACAGGGCAGGAGAAGGAAGAACGTACGGTAATCTTGGCAACGCCTATAACAGTCTTGGAGATTTCCAGGAAGCCATAGAGTACCATGAACGATACCTCAAAATTTCGAAAGAAGTGGGAGACAGGGCAGGAGAAGGAAAAGCGTACTGTAATCTTGGCAACGCCTTTCAAAATCTTGGAGATTTTCAGAAAGCCATAGAGTACCATGAACGAGACCTGAAAATTTCGAAAGAAGTGGGAGACAGGGCAGGAGAAGGAAGAGCGTACTGTAATCTTGGCAACGACTTTAGATATCTTGGAGATTTCCAGAAAGCCATAGAGTACCATGAACGACACCTCAAAATTTCGAAAGAAGTGGGAGACAGGGCAGGAGAAGGAAGAGCGTACGGTAATCTTGGCAACGACTTTAGAAATCTTGGAGATTTCCAGAAAGCCATAGAGTACCATGAACGACACCTCAAAATTTCGAAAGAAGTGGGAGACAGGGCAGGAGAAGGAAGAACGTACGGTAATCTTGGCAACGCCTATAACAGTCTTGGAGATTTCCAGGAAGCCATAGAGTACCATGAACAAGACCTGAAAATTTCCAAAGAAGTGGGAGACAGGGCAGGAGAAGGAAAAGCGTACTGTAATCTTGGCAACGCCTTTCAAAATCTTGGAGATTTTCAGAAAGCCATAGAGTACCATGAACAAGACCTGAAAATTTCCAAAGAAGTGGGAGACAGGGCAGGAGAAGGAAGAGCGTACGGTAATCTTGGCAACGACTTTAGAGATCTTGGAGATTTCCAGAAAGCCATAGAGTACCATGAACGACACCTCAAAATTTCGAAAGAAGTGGGAAACAGGGCAGGAGAAGGAAGAACGTACTGTAATCTTGGCAACGCCTATAACAGTCTTGGAGATTTCCAGAAAGCTATAGAGTACCATGAACGATACCTCAAAATTTCGAAAGAAGTGGGAGACAGGGCAGGAGAAGGAAAAGCGTACTGTAATCTTGGCAACGCTTTTCAAAATCTTGGAGATTTTCAGAAAGCCATAGAGTACCATGAACAAGACCTGAAAATTTCGAAAGAAGTGGGAGACAGGGCAGGAGAAGGAAGAGCGTACGGTAATCTTGGCAACGACTTTAGAAATCTTGGAGATTTCCAGAAAGCCATAGAGTACCATGAACGACACCTCAAAATTTCGAAAGAAGTGGGAGACAGGGCAGGAGAAGGAAGAGCGTACGGTAATCTTGGCAACGACTTTAGAGATCTTGGAGATTTCCAGAAAGCCATAGAGTACCATGAACGACACCTCACAATTTCGAAAGAAGTGGGAGACAGGGCAGGAGAAGGAAGAACGTACGGTAATCTTGGCAACGCCTATAACAGTCTTGGAGATTTCCAGGAAGCCATAGAGTACCATGAACGATACCTCAAAATTTCGAAAGAAGTGGGAGACAGGGCAGGAGAAGGAAAAGCGTACTGTAATCTTGGCAACGCCTTTCAAAATCTTGGAGATTTTCAGAAAGCCATAGAGTACCATGAACAAGACCTGAAAATTTCGAAAGAAGTGGGAGACAGGGCAGGAGAAGGAAGAGCGTACGGTAATCTTGGCAACGACTTTAGAGATCTTGGAGATTTCCAGAAAGCCATAGAGTACCATGAACGACGCCTCAAAATTTCGAAAGAAGTGGGAGACAGGGCAGGAGAAGGAAGAGCGTACGGTAATCTTGGCAACGACTTTAGAGATCTTGGAGATTTCCAGAAAGCTATAGAGTACCATGAACGACACCTCAAAATTTCGAAAGAAGTGGGAGACAGGGCAGGAGAAGGAAGAACGTACGGTAATCTTGGCAACGCCTATAACAGTCTTGGAGATTTCCAGGAAGCCATAGAGTACCATGAACAAGACCTGAAAATTTCCAAAGAAGTGGGAGACAGGGCAGGAGAAGGAAAAGCGTACTGTAATCTTGGCAACGCCTTTCAAAATCTTGGAGATTTTCAGAAAGCCATAGAGTACCATGAACAAGACCTGAAAATTTCCAAAGAAGTGGGAGACAGGGCAGGAGAAGGAAGAGCGTACGGTAATCTTGGCAACGACTTTAGAGATCTTGGAGATTTCCAGAAAGCCATAGAGTACCATGAACGACACCTCAAAATTTCGAAAGAAGTGGGAAACAGGGCAGGAGAAGGAAGAACGTACTGTAATCTTGGCAACGCCTATAACAGTCTTGGAGATTTCCAGAAAGCTATAGAGTACCATGAACGATACCTCAAAATTTCGAAAGAAGTGGGAGACACGGCAGGAGAAGGAAAAGCGTACTGTAATCTTGGCAACGCCTATATCAGTCTTGGAGATTTCCAGAAAGCTATAGAGTACCATGAACGATACCTCAAAATTTCGAAAGAAGTGGGAGACAGGGCAGGAGAAGGAAGAGCGTACGGTAATCTTGGTAACGCCTATAAAACTCTTGGAGATTTCCAGAAAGCCATAGAGTATTATAAGAAGAGTGTTACAGCCTTCGACCACATCAGGGGAAATCTCATATCTAATGACGAATGGAAGATAAACCTTGCGAATACGTATGATTATATTAATTTGAGTCTATGGGGGCTGCAGTTTAAGGAAGGTAAAGTCATCGAGGCACTTTTAACTGCTGATCATGGACGTGCACAGGCTCTAAACGATCTTCTGGAGTTCAAGTATGGCCTTAAAGGGCTACGCTTAGAAATAGGAACACTTTCTGCAAGACCAAGTTACTTTCCTGGCTATTTACCTTCAAATACAGCTTTTATAGCTATCAACAAAGGAGAAATAGTTCTCTGGGTGAGCGAGAAAGGAAAAGAAATCAAAACTAGAAGAAGCCAGATTGTTATCTCTGCTACAAACTATTTTCAGTCTCTTTTGGAAACTATACATAAAGAAACAGGTGTGAGAGCTGATGTTAATTGTGAAGATCGCTCGTTAAGGAACCCAAACGATAAAAAGTTAGCAGAAGAAAGATCCATTAAGGCAAAGTCTCATCCTTCATGTTTTGAGACAAAATCATTACAAACATTTTACAATGCTGTTATAGACCCTATAAGAGACTTACTCCAGGGAGATGAGGTTGTGGTCGTTCCAGAAGGACCTCTGTATTTGGCGCCTTATGCTGCTTTCATGGACTTGAAATCAGAGTACCTCTGTGAAACGTTCAGAATTCGTCTGCTTCCCTCACTTTCTAGTCTTCGATTAATCCAAAATAGTCCAGCAGACTGGCACAGCAAAACTGGCGCTCTTCTTGTCGGCGATCCGTGGGTACAGGAAGTAGTTTATGAAGGAATGATGCTAGAGCAGTTAAAGTGGGCTAAAAAAGAAGTGCAGATGATTGGGGAAATACTTCAAACTGTACCTCTTGTTGGAAAGCAGGCAACAAAAGATGAAGTTTTGAGACGTATCTCCTCGGTTGCTTTGGTACACATTGCTGCTCACGGTAAAATGGAAACAGGAGAAATTGCCTTGGCCCCTAACACAACCCGTTCATCATCCGGAAATCCAGCCAGGGAGGACTATCTCTTAACTATGAAAGATGTTTTAAAGGCGCAGATTAGGGCAAGACTTGTTGTACTTAGTTGTTGTCATAGTGCTCGGGGAGAAGTCAAATCTGAGGGTGTGGTCGGCATCGCACGTGCTTTTTTGGGTGCTGGTGCTCGTTCTGTTCTGGTGTCCCTGTGGGCGATCGACGACGAAGCTACTATGGCATTCATGAAAGTTTTCTACCAACACTTAGGCCATGGACACAGTGCCAGTGAGGCCCTGAATAAAGCCATGAAATCCATGCGAGAATCTGACCGCTTTAGCGCAGTGAAGTACTGGGCGCCGTTTGTTCTCATTGGTGATGACGTAACGCTTGAGTTTGAAGGAATCGATTAAATAGTAAGGTATTTTGGGATATATTTAAACCTGGGATCATAATCCCTGCTTTTGCAAACGTCATTTTTTGCGGCTTTATAGGGCAACGATCTAACTCAATCAGTGCCACTCACAACGTTAATCTGCCTATGACAGGTCAAGTTGACAGCACCAAAAACGTCTGACTTTGGTAGTTTGTTTGGCAGTTAAACACTACATGAAATTTTGTTTCAAATCTAATGTTTTCTTTACATTTCAATGTGTCAGTGTCACTGTTCGCGTTCGTTCCATTGGAACTTATTGGAGTTTGTGTGGGAAGGAGTGGGGTGGGGTGGGCGCTTATTCGAGGCTAGGTTCTTATTAACTTTTTCTGCCTTTAGGATGGGCGCTTATTCGAGGTGGGTGCTAATTCGAGGTTGGGCGCTTATTCGAATAAATACGGTATATAAGAATGGGGAGAGGGGGGCTTGAATGAGAAAGGGGGTATAATATCTTTCTTTTTGCTTTAAATGTATAATAAGTCTAGTCGTTGGTTGAAGTTACCAGTTTAAATGTGACCCTTTGCTCTAACAGATTAAAGGGCGTGTTCGATTCACCCTATTCCGCCTCCCAAATAAGAATAAATGGAGCAAACTCGCTGCTTTCATTGTATTGTAATATCTACAAAAATGATTGAAATAAAGTACATAGACTTTAAATTGTCCAAAAATTAAGGTATAGAAGAGGTTTATTCTGGAATACGATCAATCGAGCGCACTCTTAGAAGTCAGTTGTCAAAATGTTTTTCGCTAGCTGAAATCACTATCCTTCTCTTCTGCTAGTTTGCTAACGTTGTGTTTTGCTGTTTTTGTTGTTTTTGTTACTGTATAGGTATGATGAAGAATGCAGTCAAGCAGTTCCTAAGTTGAAGTCAGTTCCTTATTTGTCACAATTACGAGGTGGACCGTTTCTACCAAGAGTAGCAACGCTTTCTCCCGAAAAGAAGATTATATGCTGTTCATAACTAAGTTGAAGCTTTTTGCAGTCTGAAAATTACAGTGTACGTGTCGTAGCTTATTTTGCGACCCGTCGCGTTCACTTGAAACTTGTTTTATAGTCACCTGAAGAATATCAGGAGTCAGTAGTCAATTTCGGCTATTTTCATTGTTATACCATATGTGACAAAGGCACTTTAGGACGATGTGTCTACTGGGAATTTAATGTAGTTCTTTACTTTTTTATTAGTTGACAGTTGTATTTTGTAATTCTTTTGGCAGATTGATTGAAGTTTATTAGTGTCTAGAAAGGTCTCCATTCTAATACTGTAGTCAAATTACCTGAGTGTTCAGTTACTAGTTTAAATTGGCTAAAAGACCATTTGGCCGATACCAAAAAATTAAAAAATAAAAAAACTTTCAGCCGGCGTCAAAAAGGAATACACTTGACTGATGTCTCTCATCTGGTGATAGCGGGGTGGATAGGGTAGCTCGCATCTTATGCCAAGCGCGGGGAAACCTGGAAATGATGCCCGGCATAAAAAACTGGAGCTGGTGTCATGCGAGAGAAAAGCAGACCGTGTTGAAAGCGCGGGAAAGTTTTGTCTGATGTCAAGAGAACAAAGTGGACTCCCTCTTCCTTTATTAGTTTCGCTTTAGAATTTTAAGTTTCTCTGTAGGACGAGAAGCCATCTGGCTTAGCGTAAAGTTAAAAATAGATCTCTTCAGGTGTCGAAAGAAGAAAATTTTTTATCCTAAAAAAAATCTTTACTTTTTCTCAAGTAACACAGAGGAACTTTTCGTGGAGAAATTTCAGGGTCGTACTAAAATTGATCCCATGCTTCGGCCTGAGTATATTTTTAATCCTTTACATCAGGGGCGAACTTATCCTCCTGAGAATAACATATTTTGTATTACCGTGGATATATACCTGCTCACAGAGGGGAGGGTTGGGAAATTAGAAGTAAATTAAGAAACAAGAGGGGAGGGTGGGTAGTGAGACATTATAAAAATTATAAATAATCACAATATTATAGATAAACTAAACATTGTTCTAGGTTTTAAAATTAAGGATATACCGAATATAGCTGATTCAATAAAGGTTGCTTTGGATATTGGGAATTGGGCATTGAGAGGCTATCTTTCGGTGGTCACTCAGGCAAATAATTGCATTGTTCGGCAAGCCCAAATGCTCAATGCCCGAAGCAACCCTTACTGAATCAACTGTATACATGACCGTATATAAATAGCTCTAGAATCGAATGTGTGCACTGTAATCGTTGAATTTTTTGTGCGATAAAAACATTATTTGGACTGTGCAATAAGGGTCATATTTATTATTTTAAGGAGGTTCTGCCATAGACGCTTGACCGGCGTCGGTCAAACTGCATTTGGTCTTAAAAGTGTTTTAGGTTGTTGAATTTACCAGTATTGATTTGTGACCTCCTCAACAAAGAGTTGTCAGTCAACCTATTGAAATGATTGCATTCTTCTACATGAATAAGCGAATATTCGTTCAAGCGCCCATGTAAAGGATTAATATTGTGTTACTGTCTATTTTCACTTCGCTCTGTTCACGTGATCATGAGTAGCATTTTTTTTGTATCACCAAATTAAAGCTCTTAACAGCCGAAATGTTTAATGAAACCAGGAACAGGTTGGTTCATTGAGATAAAAGTTATTCGTTGAGCAGGTCCTTGCTTCAGTGTTAAAAGTTAAAGTCGCCATTAAACGTTGGCTTTCGAGTAGTTATTGGACCGCTGACCACTACACCTGTGACGTCAGAAATGACCTCATTGTGATATTTGAGGTCACCTTCATCCGTCCAGTAAATAAAAACGACGTTGTTTTAAGAAGCAAAATTGCGGTATATTGCATTACAAAAATCAACAACAACAGCTTCGTAGCGTTACAAACGTGCATTTTTTACATCGAGGTCGATAAGGGACATTGAAGCCTCGCAATTCATGACGCCCCAGTGAATTACTCGACATGTAACAAAAGCCACGACTGACATTTTCGATCGTTAAAAAATTCTATTTTTAGTTGTAAGAGAGCGCAACTAATATCCCTAACTAAACAATAAATCTGAAATTTCGACCATTTAAGTGAAACTACTAACCAGTACTTTCCTGTGATACTGTTTATTATGCTCTACAAGGTGGTTCTAACTTTTGAGTCTGTGGATGAAATCTTAAAGTCTGACCATTTAAATGAAAGCTACTGAGCAGTACTTTCCTGTGGTGCTGTTTATTATGCTGTACAAGGTGGCTCTAACTTTTGAGTCCTTGGATGAAACCCTAAAGTGTGACCATTCATATCAAACCTTTCCAGCTATACTTTCACATGGTACTGTTTGGTTTTCGATATTTTTTTGAAAATGAAAATTTGACAGTTTTCTTGAACTTGGATTTGAGCAGTCCTGGAACTGAAAGTGAAAGGGGGGAAGGCTTTAAGAGTTCGGCGATCCAAAAAAACTAAGAAAGAAATGGTATAGCATCACCAAACTCGGGGGGGGGGGGGGTACTTCGCTATAAGAGGTTAATGGGGACGTGCCGCTGGATGGGGTCGCATTTTCACGACTGGATTGACTATAATGGGGTCACATTTTCAAAAGAGTTGCTAGAATTGGGTCGCCCATTTTGGGATTTTTTGGGGTAAGACAGTTCTTCATATTTACGGTTAGCAAACGTAGCAGAATGTTTGTACTGCAAAGGAAAAGTAAAGTGTTCTTCATTCAATCTAAAAATGGATCAATTCATAAAAATAGAAAATTACTAAGGTGGGATCGCGAAAATGTTTTGCCCAAAAGTGACTAAAGCGGGGTCTATAATTGGCCACAGAATAGACTGTAATGGGGTAGGGGCTCTGAGAGGCCAGCCGCAAATACCCAGCAAAAATAAACCCAAGTACCCCCTCCCCCCCCGGGACCAAACTGTTGAAGGCTGAGATACTTTGGTCAACCTTTACGTTCTGTTAAAATGTATTATACATTGTCCGTAGTCAAACCCTTTAGAAGAAAGGAATGAGTTTCAGACGTAATGATTCCAGAATCAAATATACAGTTGAAAAATCATCGTCAACAGGGCACAACTGGCGAGGAAACAATACGAAGTACCCTTGACGTTCAGATTATTGTATAGCAGTGTTTTGTTCCGGACACACTCATCAATACAGTTCTTTTCGTTGTAATATACGGCTATATTTCTTTAAATATAGATAAGTGTGATGAATGTTCTTACAAAGCTAGAAGCCGATGAAAGCAAAAAACCGGCTAAGTCAAGGAGTGTGAAACTTGTAACTGTTTGATTTAAAAGTGGGTTGAGGACTGAAGAGAGTCGAGCTAAAGAAAAGTTGATAAACTACCTTGTTAGAGACTTTGAACTAATAACAAGCGGATATTTAATTCATGAGATTTTGTCGCGTCAAAGTTCGCCTGTATAAGTCCTCTATTAGATATGTTGCCCATAATCAAGGGCCATCGAATACAACGTCACGAAAAATATAACCTTGACAAGCAATGTTCCTCACATCTCACTGGCCATTGGAGAGCGCTTTGCACCGCTTTCTCTGACTTGACGAGAGGAACCTGTCTCCTTCAGACAAGACCAAAAAAATCGATAGAATATTTACCTGCAATAGTGGAAACGGTGTGCCACGGAAATGGAACACATCAAAATAACTTATCTGTTCATTGCTATCTTAACACATGGAGTGATTGTGAGCTGCCAGAATATGACACAACCTCCGGATAATCCTGGTGAGTGAATTGAATTACGAAATCTACATAGACGTTCCTTGATTGAAATGTGCGATACACTCTGCGAACATGAACAATTGTTCTCCGTTTGGGCGAGTGAAATCGTACACAAACTCTAGGAAAATGTCTTTAAGTCTAAAAAAATTAAAGTGATCTGATCTCGATCCAGATTAGCTATACTCTGCCACGAATTGAACATGACTTTTCAGTCAAAGCGACGAAGTATTTCTTTCTGTGGTTTTATTTTACGGAACACAAGTCTACTATTTGTGCTTCGATCGCTAATAACCAGCTTAACTTTCTTTAACTTACTTCGTTGTGGTTTTCTATAATTGTAAAAGCAAGATATTGGTTGCCAAAAGATTCTTGGACAGAGCCAGTTTTATATTTACTTTATGACCAATATTTTTTTACAAGGTGGTCATTTGTAATATTATTATATTAAGTCGCTTACTGGCAAGTTTTAAACAAAAATAAGTAAACTAAAATTACCACAAAGCAGACTTAATTTTGTTAATAAACTTATTATGCAGATCATATGTGATTTAAAACGTAATCTTTTTTCTGTTGTTTCTCACTTAAAACAACAGCCTACGTACATTTCAGATCTCATGCAATCCTAATATGCATTTACTTAAATGAATAATTTAAAAAGAAATAAAATGAAAGGGAATTTTATGTCCATAAATCGTATCGTATCTAAAAAAAAATAGTCAGAACATTTATGGAAACTGATCGACTTAAAACACCCTTTTTATCGTGGAAAAAAACTGAAATAATTCATTTGATTATTGCCTGCGTGTTTAATGGTTTAAAACTAATATGTTTGGAACAATTTGTTCAATATTTAAAATAACCCAAGATTGCTTCATGCCTTGCTAAGGGGCATTTACTGATCACGTGATGAGCCACTATTCCAAATTAAAGGAAAATTTTTCAATTTGAATTTAAATTAATCAATACGAAAGTACAGAAATTTATGAGTACCATTTTTTTTTCTTTTTTGGTATAGTAAACAAAGGTGTTCCTAACGTGTTGTACTCTTGTGTAAATTTGCTTCATTGCATCGTTGGATAGTACCTTAAAACAACTACCCCAGAGTTCGCTGTACTGTCAAAACTTGGCAAAAATTTTCAAATTCGATCCGCTTGTGATCCATTCGTAATTCTGGCCAAACAGGCCAAAGTCAGAACACGACAAAATTTCTAAATGCCATTTTGTAACTGCGGAATTAAACAAGTAGTATTATGTGAAAATATTGCTGAGGAGAAGGCATTTGAATGGTCACAACAGGGTTTCATCTAAAGACTAAAATTACAACCACCTTGGAGAACATATAAACATTACTACAGGAAAGTACCTCTTAGTAGCTTTCATTTGAATAATCACAGTGACACCATAGGATTTCGTCCACAGCAGACTCAAAAGTTAGAGCTACACACGAAATACATAGCACTATGTGAAAGTACTGCTGAAGAGGTTTCATTTGAATAGTCACACCATAGGATTTCATCCACAGACTCAAAAGTTAGAACTACATACTAAATAAATAGTACCATGTGAAAGTATTGCTGAAGAGGTTTCATTTGAATGGTCACACCATAGGATTTCGTCCACAAACTCAAAAGTTAGAACCACTTCATAAGTCTCCTCCATTGACGGGATTCACACTCAGGCCCCGCTAATGTATCGCCGCAGCGATCTAAAACTGTAAAATACTGAATAACATCGTAAATTGTTTTCGATCTCCCGCTTTCTCGCTGCACCAGGACGTCCGTCGTTCCACACCCCTTCCTCCTCCCCTATTCACCAACTTGGCTCAATGTGACTTTCCGAGCCGCAACGGTCCAGCTGAAGGGACGCCATTTTGACACCGCGGAGGAGATCCAGTGCAAAACGCATTTCGTACTTTGGACCGTTAACGAGCCGTAAATTTTGGGCCGTTCCAAGTCTGGCAGACGTCTTGGGATCCCTGTATTGCTGCACAGGATGACCACTTAGACTTAAGGGAGCTGTGTCACGGCTGTCTAATTCATTTTGTTATTAATAGAGAGTTTAAGACAGAATCCACTAGGAAATTGAGTAATTTTAATTTTGAGTTGACAAAAATCTTGTACCGGAGTAATTTAAAGCATATTGCATTCTTTTCTTTACATTTTTCAAGGGCTAAAGATATAATTAGTTATCTGTAATAACACCAAAGAAAAATTCTTACGGGAGCCCGAGAAAATGAATGTCAAATTTCACAAAATTACATCTTACACATGAAATTTTTAGAATTTTACCTGTATAATCACAATTCTTGTGAAGTTTGACATTTATTTTCTCGGACTTCCATGAGAAATTTTCTTTGGTGTTACTAGAGATGAAATAAACTTAGTAATACAAATTTGATAGCGTCAAGGTATTTTAAAAGAGAATAAGGCTTACTTCCGGTTAACGTGCGCCGCTCAAAAACGTGGTTGCTTAAACTTCGTAATGTCTGATTTATGCGTCCTTATTCGAACTTGAGAAGGTACTTATGTTTAACAAATCCACAGCTTCTTTTCAAACACGATACAAGCAACAAAAAATGAACTTTAAAAAACTGTTAGGCTAACAAGTTGTCAAAAATCACAAATGCAATCCGTTTAAATCTTCAAGTTTTTCCATCCGTACCTCTTTTTTTATTTGTTGAGTTATTCATACGTTTTTTTTTCATGTTTTGAGTGTTGAGTGTTGAGTTCTATGTTACACTCAGTTTGATGACAGTTTCCACTGTTTAACACTTTAAGCCCTAAGAAAGAGTGATCTTAGTGGTAATGAGAATTACGGACATGATCACACAAGATGAATTTGCTTGATACTTTATCAACTTCTCCCCACTACTTCTGTAGGAAACCAATAGGGGCAACAAATGAGAATTAAGATTTTGATCTTGGGGTTTAAAGGGTTAATGTTAATACATTTCGTGACACGGCTCCTATTAATTTTAGGTGGTGAACGGTCGGTTCAACCATCAACGTCGTCATCATTAACAACAAATACAACGAAAGAAAGGATAAACACAACAAAAGTGCAAGAGGAAGAGGTGACAGAGGGATTAGAAGTATCTCAACCATCTAAAGTACCACAGTCACCAACATCAAGAATATTGAAGGCAGATTCAGATGCAAAAGGAACAACACACATTCCATTGCCCGAAATGAAAAGTAGTACAACGTACAATGCAGACGATTTTGTTGGTGGTACACTTGAAATTGCGCCCCTTACAAAGAGTAGTATGTTGACTATAACGTTACAACTTGCTGCAACTTTATCCTTGGGTGTAGATGTGATGACATCATCAGTGTTTACTAAAGTTTCTGAAATGACCACAGCAACGCCTACGTTGACATCATATCCAGTTTTTTCGTCCACGAAATCAAATTTACAAGTGCCTTTCTCGGAAGATTTTAAGCAAGCGACAACACCTATCGTAGAGATCCTTCCTCTGGTTTCAACGTCAAAGCCAATTGTATTGTCAAATAAAGTTTATACACCATCTTCTACTATATTGTCAGTGACGTCAACTGAATTGTCTGTAACGTCACATTCCGTAGTGACCTCATCAATAGAACCATTGAGACCATCTACGCCAGTTGACAACGTTGATGTCGTCACCGGAGCAAGCATGATGTCATCTTTTTCAATTCAAGACTCTTCCTTTACAGAGGTATTGAAATCCATGGAGAAAACTATGTATTCGATGTCAAAAAAAAAATCACTTTTCAATTCTGAGGGGAAAATGACCTCATCTCATACACCAAAAGTTATGACGTCATCACAAGTAGCAGTCGAAACTGGTTTACAAGAGAAAGATGAATGGATGACGTCCAAAGCTCCCCAAACCGTAATGCCAGCAATAATGGTGACGTCTGCAGCTTACGAAGAAATGACTCCATCACAAGGTTTAAAAGACTTAATGAAAGTCCAGCCTGAGGAAAGAGTCGCCACGTCTAAACTTAAAGACATAAGGTCACCTGCAACGACCTCAACGTCATTTTCCTCCGAGATTAACAAAGTTGTCACGTCCTTGAAAGGTTTAAAATCCCCTCCTTTAACAATGACAATGACAAATTCTTTAATAACGGACACGTTAACTTCTTCTCAAGGTGTTAAGACTGTCGTAGCAGAACACGTTCTCCCTCAGATAGGATTCGTGACCTCACCTCAACTCACAACATCAATGACTTCATCCCAGTTTGAACACAAAGTGACGTCATCTGAAGTCAAACAGTCATCATCACAGATAGGAGACGTTACTTCAACCAAACCTACAAAAATTGTGACGTCATCTGTATTTCTGAAATTAATGTTAGACAAATACTCAACACGACAGTCAAATAAGGAAGCAACATCACAGCCAACAAAAACTTCGATTGCATTTTCATCGTTTTTAACATCTTCGGTGCATAACATACAAGCAATTACGACCTCGCAAATAAAAAAGGTTTCATCCCTTTCGCCACCTCAGACCTCTACTTTTACATTTTGGGATAAAGAGATGAAGACGACGTCACGCCATTTTCTAAAATCATCTGTTGATACTGACTCTCCACCAATGAAACATACGACGCAGCACGAAGATTTGAAAATTACGCTAACTTTTTCTTCATCTCAACTTGCAGATCTGACCACATCATCCCGACCGGATGTGACATCATCATCAGATATGAAAACAACCACAACGGAGAAAAACCTTGAATCTTCCGCGACGCCATCTTCAACAGAAATTATGGCATCGCAAAGCAGCTCACCAGTTGCCATGAGTACGTCAAGCACAAATGCTGCCGTCGACGTTAAGGTTGAGAGCACCACATCAGCCCCGGAAACGGGACACAATTTTACCCACACCACCCACCCTACTGATCATAAAGAGCCGCACGAAAATATCACGCACTCACCACATGATATACACGTGACACACCACACAATGGGCACTCCAAATGAGCCTGATGTAGACGCCGCCACGGGTGATGAGAACCAGACTGGAGGCGGCGAGATTGTGTCAATCATAGTAGTGCTGGGTCTGCTGGGTGGCATGATTGCATTCGTCATTTTCATGATAATAAAAGACAGGGCCAGAACAGGGTAAGGCATGGTATCTGTAAATCTTTAGCAACACACTCAATGGTGTCTTACAAGTCACATGAAGGCCTCTCTCCCCGGGAAGGGGAACGAGGGATGGCTTTTCCCTACTCCCTATGATGGCCTATACGGGGAGGCTTAGCCCGGAAGGGATACCTTTTTCAGGTTTCAGGTATATAAAAGGGTAGGGGTTTCACTAATTGAATTCATGAAAGGGCAGGGACATTTGTCATTGCAGTCTCTCAAAGGGATAACTTTGAAAAAGGCAAGAAAACTTTCTGGTTTTGTGATTTATTCATATATTATTATTATTATTATTATTTAGAAGACAGTGCATTCACAGTAGTTAGAAGAATGCGGCGTTGTTTACTCGGTATATGAAACTGGTACAATTTGTCAGTAAAAGATATCCCCTTGTTTGTCTAAAATGGTGTTCAAAAAGATAAGAGGTTGAACCTGGGGGCCGAGCCTGCCCGTACAAAATGTTTTTTTTACTACCCTACCCCCCAGTCTCACTGATCTTGCCACACTATTGTCTCCTTTCTAAGAAGCGCTTACCATTTGCCAGAACTTGCCGGCCTGACCCGTCCAGGCATCAGGAGAATTCACTGTTAATCGGGACTATCCACCAAGATAAGTTTTTTCCTAAATTTTATGCACAGCAGTGATGGGTTTTATTAAAAATTTCAAGAAAAGACTAATATTTCATTTTCAAAATGACAGGTCTGGCTGGTTGGTACTAACTTTTGCAAAGCACCCTTAAGACTCAATCAGTTTGTTCATGAGAAAAGTCTGATTGGGCCGGTGATCGATCGACATCTCGGTTGTTGCAACTGGGATCTCTTGACCGAGATGAAAACTTTCCCATATGAACAGTCTGATCTGGTCGCCAAGATGAATGGTACGCATGCGTATCCCTTTAAAGAGCGTGTCCCATCATTTCGACCTGTTACTTAACTTCTCAAACTCGAAATACTAAGCAATCGACACGGTGTTTCATCACCAGGTGAGACATCTCGAAGTTCGTCGAAAATACTCCGCTGCGCTTCGTATTTTCAACTCTTTTCTCAGAGTGTTTCATATGGTGATGAAACACTGCGTCTTGTTCTTGATATATTACGTCAAATATGATGACACTGCGATCACTAAAAACGCAAACGATTGAATAAATTAATTAATTTTTAGATTAAAGGGCCCAAACCTCCCGTCAAAATAACTTTTTTCTTTCTTCGTCCTGCAGGGGGGCAAGCCTAAAGGATCGCAAGCTTCCAGGTATTTTGAATTACTTCAGCATGTTTAGCTGTAACGACCAGTTGGTAAAAAAGTTCCAAAATCCTTAGGCCAGTAGGAGGATATATTCCTCAGTTTGATAGCCAGTTAAAATCTTATATTGTCGATGTGAAAAGATATTAACTTCTCTCTATGAAAGCGTACAGTCTCTTGGCAAAGTCAATCTCTTTCAGTAGAGACTGGCCTTTGTCCACTCTTACTTTATAAAGGAACTCCTCATATGTACAGCACCGCAAATGATCCCCAGACAAGAAATGATCCCCAAAATGGACCGCAATTGACCCTAGACCTCAAATGATCCCCTTGCCGACCCGAAGTAATCAAGTGAAAAGTAAAGGAATTGAATGGATTTTAGGCATGCATGCATGCATGGTGAATGTGCTGAGAACTTGAAGAACGCGTCAAACAATGAAATAAATAAGGCGATAAAATCGAACTGCACTTGAGTGGGGATCATTGGCGTTGCTGTACAGTGCACCTTCTCAGTCGCGGTTTTGAGGTTAACCTTAGAAACGTCTGGCTAGCTTCAGATACTAAACATTTTTAGTTTGAATTTTATTTGCTTTAATACTGTTTTCCACCTGTCTCGTCCAGTTATCGGTGATGACCATGGTTTTAAGCCTCTTAAAGAAGTACCAGAAGAAAAAGCAAAAGAAAAAGAACCTAAACTTACTCACGTGGAGAAGAGAAACAGCCACAGATACAGTTACCATGGCAACCCCGAAGACGCTATCCCACTGTTAGAGCTTCACATTCAGGACGGGAGGCCTCCTATGCTTAATTCAAATGACGAGACACAGGAAGCCCAGCCTGAACAGCCGGCGGTGAAACCCCTTCTTGATGTGTATGGAGACGGAAATACGACAATGTCGTCTGGAAAATCGAAAGAGAAAATTTGGCCTGAAGTAGTGTAAATGTAATAAGCGTGAATCCTAATCTCATCTGTACGAGCTTGAGATCATTAATCAACTCCTTTCTCAAGGGGCTTTATCTGCTACGTTTATCATTAAAGTGGTGTCATAGTCTTAGGAAATTAATCAAATAGGTTAAAGTAAAAACACAAATGTCACTTCGAGCCAATCAGAGTTGCACGAAAACCAACCAGTGTTGCACGCAGGAAACAAGCACGCCAGTAGCCTAAGAACAAGCTCTCCGCTAGCCAACGTCTGCTTACGCGTGCCTTTCACGCGTGACTTCTCGCAACTCCCCCAAAATGGGGAGCTTGCTTGCAGGCTAACGCAACAGGAGCACATATTGCTTAGCCATGTTCACTATTTATGGTCTTAGTAATTGAAAGGCACAGGAACCGATTACTAATAGGCTCCTGACAGGCAATAATCCACAGGTAACGGCCCTTATGCATGAAATTACGTCAGACGGGCAAATTTTACCACCAAGCCTCGTTTGCAAGCTAAATGTCTTCGCATTTGCACTATTTGCGCGTGGGTATTCTTTTCAACTCTAACGCCTTGGGAATTCATTTATTCAAAGCTTAGCAACCTAAACCCACGTGCAAACGGAGGTAGAAATTTCCAACATTGTTGCTGTGTTAGAAGTTGTGTGCAAACGGGTGCAACAACTCCCAACAATTTGGGACCTGCAGTGCATCGTGGGAAGGATACAACCCATAAAACTTTGGAGACCATGTGTATTGCGCTTGCGTGGCCCCAGCAATGTTGGACGAGCTGTGCAAACGGATCCAAAATTGTTGCGCTACGCTTCGGTTATTACGGAACAAAAGAAATGTTGGGAATGAGTTGTTGGTTCAAAAGTTTGACCAGTTTCAAACTTTGCAAAACAACTCCCAACAACACGCAACAACATTCAACAGGGTGGTAAAAAGAACGCAGCATGTAATATACAAAAATGTTGGGAGTTGTTGGCCAACAATGTTGTGCCCGTTTGCACGCGGCTTAACAATTTCAAAACGAAGCTTGGTGGTGAAATTTGCGCTTCAGACCTAAACACGCATAAGGGCTATTGCGGAACACGTACGTTAGACCAGTTTCAGCCCGAACTTCCGATGTGCCGAAGGTAATTAATTCTAATGAGATAAAACACTAGAATTGCGTTTTATTTGATGCATGCCATGTGTCCATGTACCGAGAAGAACATCGACGTCTGAAACAGACCTTGGGGTAGAGTATTTTCTTGGCAAATTAAGGCGCCTCTGTTTTCTTGTCTTAGGGAAAGGCTGTGCCTCAACACAAAATATTTCCGGGATTATTTCACTAGATCAGAGAGATTTAGTAGTCAAGCGTTTGGTTTTTAGCGTTTAGCGTCTTAGCCTGAATCAAACTGAAAAAGGACAAACTTCAATTATTCGCAAAGGTCCCTGCCAACTTTCTCCTGTAAATAGTTCATTTTTCATTTTTCAATAGCTGCTCAGCGACATGTTTTTTTCCTTTGTTTATAATAATAATAATCAATATTGTAATGAATACAGTTGAACCCCGCTTCATGACACCCTCGTAATACGAACACCCCGTGATACGGACATTCTTTATGGCTCCCTCAATGTACTGGCGTTAACGGGGTTTGGCTGTTATTCAGTTTTTCTGGTCAACATCACTGATCTAAATTGATAAACAGCTTCTCTACTCAATCTAGTGCACGTTGCATAAGCCATTTTACAATAAAATAAGTGCCTGTGGTGAAAACTTGTATGCTTCTTGTTGCTGACACTTGTTTGTTTGACGACGAGGACGTATAACTTCGTTGTCGGTAAACTTGTTGTTTTTATAGTTTTCTTTCTTTTCTTTCTTATTTGCGGGAAGGTGTGTGGGAGCTGTTAGATTTTAAATTCTGCCTTAGCTTACTACCCAAGCTCACTACGTAAGAGATTTAACATGTTTAACACTCGCTTCAGTTCGCGCTCGACCGTTATTTGAAGATGTTCCTGTTGAAGCACAGGATAACCAGACTTTTAGCAGGGCAGGAAACACAAAGAAAACAATACATAAACATTTCTTTATGAGCTATGTACACAAAAATGGGTGTTTATGTGCATTGTAACTGTTTTAGCGGTCTCAAAATATAAAATTCCCATGCAAATTTTTATAATTTGGCTTCGAGGAGGCTGTTGTGGGTCTGGCTGGGGATTTTGGATGAAGTTTCCTTGCCAAGACAGGAAACAGTTTCAATGTCTAAATATGGTCTCAAATGACCGGAACGTTATTTTTGGAATTCAATTGATGCGAAGACACGCTTTAGGTGTTAAAAATAATAATTGCAAATAGCGTGACACTAAATTATAACCCCTTTAAATTCTTATCGATATCACACTCTGCACGTGCGGGGACGATATCAGATTTTGGAACTTGCTTCTTCCAAGTGAGGATGATACTCTCTCTTTTTCCCTTGTAGTCCACGTCCTCCTTCAGAATCCTCCTAAAGGCCGAATTTCGTGCGTGACTATGGCAAGCGTCATGACTTCAAGTCAGATCGTTTCGTGTAAATTAGACGGCCACGACATTTGTACGACACATTGTGGATGTCGAAAGTCAAGACGTATGCTTGTCGCGCACGATAGTATCGTCTAAATCGGCCTTAAAATATAAACACCGTATGGCCAAAAATCTTAGCGACCTTAGTTGTAATCAGTGTCGACCCTGCCTTTCAGCGATTTCCTCATTTAGCAGGATTTTGCACCTGTCAGGGTGTCTAAATAAGGGGAATAGGAAAAGGCGTGTTTCACGTGAATCCAACACTTTCGAGTTGTCATTGATTAGAAAAATACAAGCACGTCAGCTGAAAAGACAGTCAAACATTATGAAGCCCACCGTGATAGCACTTCTTCAATTGGTGTTTGCACACTCTGCAAGCGCTCTACTGAGTACAAATATTACCAGAACTCAGGGCAAAGACAAATTTACAAATCCAAATCGGACGACCGTGAAGGCCTGTCTTGCGAGCGGAATGTCATCCTCGTTCCCCGATTCTTGCGTGAAGTTTGATTCAGTAAACACTCAGGCAGAATGCTGGAATTCTCGAGACTGCTGTAAATCTTGCCAATGTAAAGAAGGTTATCCGACTTATCTAGCTCATTTGGGCAAGTGTGTAAGTCTATCGGAGCTCAACTCGGATGTTTTTGGGCACGGGTCAATAGGTACGTCACTCATTCTTCTCCATACAATTATCTTTCTAAACAGTCTAATATTGCAAGTTTGTCTACGTTTAACTTTTTCAATTTTAAAATAGTTCCAAATCAAAATTCAAACAAGAGAATTCTAAATTTCATTTGCCTATATAAAGTGCTGAAAAATGAATATAATCATATCTCAGTACCAACGGAGATTGTTCAAATGAATGGTCACACCATAGGATCTCGTTTACAGAGCGTTAATAAGTTATCTATGAGTTAATTATGAATAGTAGTTTTAACGTTTGCCTGTTTAGCCTTATGTCGTATCACAGGCAGCCCAAGCTCGAAATATGAACATAGGCGAACATAGGCATTGTTGCGTAACATTCGAAATATATTCGGGAAAAACCTATCGTTTCTGTAACCTACGAAAAAGAAAGGATTTCAATAAAAACAGCTTACCTTACTTAAAATGTGTCTTACGTCTCTCCTTTGTGGTCCACGGGCCGAGAGAGAGAAAACGGTTTACATAAAAACCCATAAAACGGCCATAAACCGGCCCGTGGACCACAAAGGAGAGACGTAACACACATTTTTTCACTTTCGTTGGTTACAGAAGCGATAGGTTTTTCCCCATACAAATCCTTGTATTTCGAATGTTACGCAACAATGCCGACGCTCACCGATGCTCATATTTCGGCTTGGGCTACCCGTGCAGTTTCCGGCCCTATAGCAACAGCGAAAAGTTAAATTTCAACTTTTATTAACCTTTTCAATAAATGAAATTTGAGCAGCAGGACCCTGCCCCCACCCCAGTCCTCCAAGGCCCCTACCCACTTCTCCGGTCCCAAGGAGAGTGATTTTAAAATTCATCAGCTAGGGAGGGGTGGGGAATTTTAGAGCTGCATAAGAATTTTTTCGTTAACATTTTCTTTGCATGATTTTTTTAGGGCAGTGCAAGAATATATTTTAGGGCTTCTTGGCTTGCGAATTTTTTTTTTTCATAAGATTTTTTTCTTGCACGAATTATATATAGATATTTTTTACTTCGCCCCCACACCTCCCCTCCCTCCTAATAACTTTTCTAATGCTCAGCCCCTAATTTAGAGGGAATGTCAAGAGTCATGGTTACATCTTGCCGCTTGTTAAGACTGGTTCAAGCAATGCTTTATCAATAGATGTCTTTTCAATCATATTAATATTTTCAATTTACATTTTATACTTTTGTATACGCTCCTAATTGCAATAAGGCTGTCATAGAAAAAATGAATAAAGGGAGTAGCAAAAAAGCTCAATACATGCTCACTACAATCGAAGTCCTGGTCTGACAAAAGGATGAACTCAAATTGTCTTTACCTTCTCTCTACTCAACTGACGTCACATTGAAGTATTATACCATACTACAAATATGTCTTCAGCATTATCAAAATATCAAAGGTCAATTTGCATGGATAATTAATTCTTATTTGGCTTTTCTGTTTTTTTTCGTGTCTGCAATTAGGTGTATATTACTGTATTAGACTTGCTAAAAGTCCTTTGTTTCGTTTTCCCTGATTGGTTATGCTTACGCGATTGTTGTTTTAACTCACACGTATGATTGTGCGTGCTATTTTTCAATAAACAAATAATCATAATAATTATAATAATAATACAGATAAAAATCATTGTCATTGTAATTGCAAAAACAATTAGAGACGCATATGCATACAAGAATGAGTTCTGCCCTTGGGAATTGTACATGTTGACAATAAATTGTGTGATAAACTTGTTTTGCTGGCTGGAGTGCTAAGGTTCGATTCGTTCTGCATTTAGCAGTTTTTTGAGACGCTTGTGTAAAGAAGAAAAGTTGTCTTAAAGGCAAACAGTTTTCCAGTCTGTAAAGGCGTCTTAAGCAGGAATTGCGCAAAATGTTTATCCGGCTAGAAGGGTTGAAATGGTGTGACGACCGCTTCAGTCGGCTGGCCGCTCGTGTTCTGACGTTCTGAGAGGAATAAGTGCACTTCAAGAACTAAGATTTTTGCAGGAAAAATGGTAAGATATAGAAAACGATAGTGACTTTAATTGGTTAAACAGAGTGAGTGGAAAGCAGTGGAATTGTGAATTTAGGAGTAGCTTCGGAATACAACAGCATACAAACCAGTTCACTCTATACCACGTGTTTAGAGGCATAACATAATATACTGTTTTTCAACACTTTTATCATAAATCACATGCAAATAGTAATAGAGCAGTCGGTTAACAATAATCCTAGGCGTGACCAATCGGGAGAAAGCCTTAGAAAATGTTTCAAAATGACGACATGGAACTAAACATATCGTAACTAGAATTTTGCACGCATTATAGTGGCTCGATAGGGTTTTCCATGTTCAATATCTCCCAAGTTTGAGCATAAACTACGTCGTCATTAACAAAGCTTTGGAAAAAGTGCTACCACAGCCGTATTAGGTAAAGATGAAATTTGCGATGATCAGGGTTACAATGACATTAGAGTTGCCATAGCAACAAAATGACGCCATCGCCCATTTTACTTGCAGCCGTATTTCTCGTAAACGACCTCTAAATATTATTATTTTGAGTGGTTGCTTACGGAAGGTTCGACTCTACATTGCTTTACTCGTGCAATTAAAGCTTGGTGTTTTTATTGTTGTTTAGGGTGTGAATCCCATTTGGAGGTAAAAACGAAAGGTAGTGGTGGTGGTGGTGGTGACGGTGACGACGATGATGCTGATGAAGATGACGGTAGTAAACAAAAAGACGTTTGTAAAGTGCCCGCGTCCACCTGGAGCCCACCTGTACTTGATTTATTGCAGACTCCATCACCAAAAGATCCCAAGATTAAATTTTGCAAACATAAAGATGTGGAGTCGTGTGATTTAGAACAAGCGCGCTACTCTGGATTTAGCCAATGGCATAATGTTACCAACTTATCTCATACTTTTTGGGGAGCGAAGGACAAGAAGGATATCCTGTTCAGGGTAAGATGCCACGAAGCAGATCTTGCTAATTCTGCTATATATGACCTTTAATTAAACAAACAAACAAACATGTTGTCTTACAGAATTTGCATCAAAAAGATAGTGTGGTTCACAACGAAGCTAGGGACGAGTTTTTGTTCCAATCAACATGACGTGTTCTAACTTCTCCAATGCGCATGCGTACGGGAATTGACACCCTTCTTGCCTTACCTTTCTTATACCCCCACCCCCTCAATCTTCTAAACTAGGGATACTCAGTCTTTCATCTAAGACAGGCCTGAGGGTGAATAGAATGCGGCATCACTAAATATCCATTTTATTTAAAAAGACCTTAGGAATAAAATGTAACTTATGAGAATCTTACAAGAAAAAAGAATATTGCATTAGTCTTATTTTATTTATATATTTAGTCAGAGAAAACAGCCGACACTTCGCGACGCCACTATAGATTTCACCGCCATGAAAAGTCTGAGAAACGAGAGCAAAAATTCTGTTGGGTAGTACATATGCTTGGTCGAAGCAAATTTGCCCCGCGGCACGACCAATCAGAAACACTACCCAGATCTGGTTTGTGACATGTCATCAGTATGGAATTTATGTGTTTGTTCTACAGACGTCGGCGCGGGGAAACTGGTGAAAAGTCGCCGGCTGTTTTCTCAGGCTATTGTATACTAAGAGGAATTTTCTTTTACTTTAAAGTGGAGTACTGCAGCATCGTCAAATTTAAGTGGAAGCATCTTCGTTATCAACCTAAAATGTAAACAGAAGAAGAAAGGAAAGCCCGTGACGAATTTTTCAGCATGCTTCATATTCAAGTCTGACGGAACTCAAATAGGTAAAATTTCGAGGCTTTCCTTCAAACCCCCTCATACGGTATAGTACGGGACGTTTCTCTCTTTCAGTTCTCTGAGATGATAGCGAAATTAGGTAACACCTTTACGACAAACGTCAGATTCAAGTTGCAATTTCTCAAAATAGGAATGGACTGGCTAAAAACTGTTTAAAATTCTTATGGATGAAACCGACCATTTGTGTAGATATACTTTACAGTTAAGGACACTTGCATGGTCACGTGGTAGAAATTGACTCTTGCCTTTTGTCGTAAAATGTGATCATAAATCTTTCTATACTAACTGATCCGACATAGGTAATAAACAACATGAAAGAACTGATCTAAATTCGAACAATCATGCACAAAGCCTTTTGGCTTGAAATATTTTCACATCTGAGTAAATGTGCACTCATCTAATTCTATTAAACCTAGTCCGTGAGATTGGGTTCGATCGCTGAGTGTCGATTGCTTACGCTGAATGATTCAGGAAAGTGGTATTAGATAAATGAATACTTTCAAGTCTTATAAAAGACCGGTTGAATCCGATTCTTCGAATATTACAAATCCATATCATTAAGGTCTGGTATACGAATCGACAAAACTGAAAGCTTCCGGATCCATTCAATCAAGTCTCAAGTTGTATCAGATATCCTTCTAATGAAAGTTATCCTTACCTAAGGTTTCGTATAACTTTTTATTATATAGACAAGAGCGTTTTAGTGGAAAATAGACCGCTCGTTAAGTTTATGCGAAATTACAACCCGGACTTGAGAAGCGTATTTTTTTATATCCCCCCTCACTCGTGAGGATATCGATGACGTCATTCCCCGCGCAGGAGAATGTTAATACGGAGAAGAAAACTGTATGATTTAAAATTATTCAAGGAATTCCTTGCAAGTGAAGGAGGAAGGAGAGGACTTCAGGAAATTCCTGCCGCTGATCAAAATCAGCTACAGTTTGTGCTGGGAGGAGAATTATGGAGAATACGAAGGGTTTTCTCGAAGAGGTTTTTGCAGAGTGTCGACCGGTTCCTTCGGTAGAACGGATGCACGTTTTCCCTTCTAAACGACAAAGAATTCTGTGCGCTCCAAGATATCTTTAAAAAAAAGCAAAAAACGACTTAAAAAGCGATTGGGAAGGGCAACAAGTCAAATAGCGCCGATAAGCTTGAAGATAAAGATGGGCTCTCCAGTCTTTATTACAGGGTGGCTTGAAGACATGAATTCTATTTTCTGACTCGAAATTAAAATTCATATCGTCGCGCCGCCGTGTATTAAGTATCCTCTATATAAAAAGACTTCTACTTTTTGAGAAGTCTCCGGTTTTTGTTTCTTGTTTTACTCATTTATGCCAAACATTTTTTGTTTAAGTCACTCCACCACCTCAGTCAACAACCCCAGCGGCGACAACAACGATTAAAATGACAACATTAAAGCCAAAAACAACAGTAAAAACGACAACAATGGCGGCGACTACAAAATCAAAGACAACAGCGATGCCTCCGACTTTAAAATCAACTGAGATGCCAACAACAAAACCAAGCACAACCCAAAAAGCGCGGGAAACAACTTCATTGCCAGTGACGCAATCAACTACTGACGTCACGCTAACTAAGCCAATAGAAACCAGTGAACACACGGAGCCAACGGAGCCTGCAGAACCGACTGAACCGGCGGCGCCAACTGAGCCTATGGAGCCCGGGGATACAAGAAGGCGGTCATTAGAGAACTCAAGTGACGATAGCGGTGGAGGAACAATTGCCATTGTCGTTTCTGTTCTCTCGGCACTTTTTGCGGTCACCGTGGTATCTGTTATCATAGTATGTTACTTGAAGAAAAGAAACCAAGGGTAAGTCAGCTATTGCTTTCTGGGCAAGCATTGAATGTAGGCAGGCTAGTCTTAATGGGTGATTGTTTAATCTTGGAGAGCGACTGTGAGAGGGAGCCACTCGAAGATAAGCCAAGATTTAAGGGCATTTACTTCGGGTAATGGACGCAGATTACGTAAAATAAAAGAACAAAAACCATGAACCAATATCAAGCTGATTTTTCCCTGAACAGAACACAAAGATTAGAAGTCTTTTGTTTTGCGTCATCTGTGTCCGGCACACGAAATCTTGACCAATTTAGGTTAAAAAGAAAAAAGAAACATGTAGTATATAAAGTTTGCTGTAATCTTCCGCGTTGATACAAGTGAAATATTGTTTTATCCGTACATAAAAGTGTACTGTTGTTGACGCATACCTTAGAATTAAACTTCACACTTCTTTTTTTCTCTCACCAGCAAAAAGGCATTCTCCTCCAATCAATTCTCCATTCAATGTAAGTGAAGCTTATGCCTGAATTTATTTCTTGCCCTGTTAAAGGAGCAAAACCAGTTTTCTTGGACGATGCAATGGACTATCGTATTTTGAGCGCTTATCTATCCTTTTTTGACAAATGCTTGTTTGAATGGGATTAGAATGTTTTTAATCCTTATAAAATATCTTGTAATTAACGTTCACGGAGTTACATGATGGTGTTCTAAGCATTATCATTAACTGTGTCCCATAGAACAAAGTTTTATAGAGCTATATAGAGTTTAAAAAGACTTTCAAAATATTTAGGTATTGTTGAGTTATCTGGCTTTTCGAATAATGTCGAAGTATTTAGCGACACTTTTCACTAATTTTCAGTCAAGAAACAAAGCACTCATCACTCAGCAACAAGTCAAGAAGAACACATCAATCAGGACCAAAACGATTACCAGCCGCTAGGGAATGCTGGGAAACAAACAGATGGTACTAAATGGGAGCCACCTTCGTACCAGGGTCTCACAAAGAAGACCGAGGGAGCTTGGGGCGAGGGAGAAGTGTACATGAACCCTGCAATGTACCAGGAACTGACAAAGAAAGAAGCAACGTCCAATGAAAATATTCCAGCTTACCATCCGCTTATGAAACCATCTAAGGTACGTAAGTTGTAATTAACACACCCCAACTTCAGCACTTTAGTCTTATATTCTGACCAACCACCTAAACTTGTTCCTAGGGCTTTTCATTTAAGACTTGCATAGGCCCCTTGCGAATTTTTTCTAGCCTCTTTTTCAAAACGAGGCTAAGTATGAAGACTTAATCTCGAAACCTGATCTCACTCTCTTGCTCTTGGACGTGGGAGATCTGGGTAAAAAATAGTTGTTTTATTCTCATGCATATAAAATTTATTTTTACATGAATGGCTTGCTCTTTGGCCTCGTTTTGAAAATGAGAGTTTTTGGAACTAGAAAATGGTCTATAGAGTACCGAAGTGATGACGTCATAAAAATTAAATTTGTGAAATTATGGGATTTGTTAAGATATTCTGAAAGAACATCGTCCAAGACGCCTACTCGCCAAAAATTAGCAATTCGGGGCAAATTGTCTCTGAGATATTAGCCCAGTTATGCTGTGACGATCCCATACAAATCCTTCTAAATTTGGCTTGGTTCATAAGATTAGGAACCAGGTAAGATTTAGAAGGATTTGTATGGAGTCATCGGAGCATAACTGGGCTAATATCTCAGAGACAATTTGCCCCAAATTGCTAATTTTTGGCGAGTAGGCGTCTTGGACGTTGTTCTTTCAGAATAGCTTAACAAATCCCATAATTTCACAAATTTCATTTTCTATGACGTCACACTTCGGTACTCTGTTATGCTTACTAAATGCTTTACAGGTTACTGTCATCGACAGGCGCCTAAAAACTAAATTTTATCGTGACCCGAGGTTCACACGACACCCTAACCTGAAGTGAAAATGTCTAGGGGTGGGGTAGGGGGCAGGGGTGTGGGCGTGCTTTTTACGCTGGTTTTTAACTCGAGCAATCAGTTAAATTTTGTGGCCTGTGCCCTTTTCTCGAAAGACCAGCTTATTTACCGTCGCAAAAAGGAATTTTTGTTTGGATTCAAGACAGAAGCTTAGATAAACCTATCCATTAACAAAACAAATGGACTGATTTGGTAGCTAGGGCCACAAGTTTACCAGTTTCTGTAACTATTCCGTGCTACCCTCTTTAAATAAAGTGTATTATAATAATAATAATAATAATAATAATTATTATTATTATTATTATTATTATTATTATTATTGTTACTATTATTATTATTATTATTATTATTAGGACCCACCCTTTTATCCTTAAGATTTTTATTTGAATAGTTATTTTCTGGCCCGAAAAGGTACCGAGAAAAGCGCCCCCGAACTTCGACTGAGTCAGTGCGATTATGAAACGCGAGGCAAGGTAGTGTTCAATGATTAATATTTCAAAATGTAAGGAAAAGGCAAATCTATTTGAATTTTACTTTTTTTACTACGAAGTCAGCGGACGTTTCTGCATATGATTATGGATACATGTCAACCAATGGAAAGGATGGCTTGGTGGCGACAGAAACCACTAACAAAGAGAATCCATATTATTTCAAACTCGAACAGCCTGGCCAGATTGAAGAAGCCGCTGGCAAGGAGAGTCCATATTATTTTAAACTTGAACAGCCTGAAAAGCCAAAATAAAGCAACCTGCTGAGGAGGCACAGAAAACTCGTCACTATTACAAAGTTTACAGACAATAGGGTAAGTTGTCCGATTAGCAGCTAAAGGAAAAATTAAAAAGTTTACTCGAAACAGGATCACTGTAATCCTATGTAATAAATACAATTTCAGTTTGCTATGTAAATTCTCTCGTTAGGATTTTCATTTTTCATTTTTTCCGATTAATGGTTTTTTTCCGTTGGATGGTTATTTCCGTGAACGTCTGAGAGGACGATATATTTCCAGTAGTAAGAGAAAGGTTGTTGAGCATGTTGAGCTCATGAACTAATAAACTTGACTTGAACCAGAACTGGGTCTGAAAACGGTTTTCGCGTCACCTTTGGTTAAGATCTTAGCATTAGATTATAAATATCGAGAAAAAAATGAGACGTTTTAGCCTGAGCATCAGGCTAAAACGTCTTAGCCAGAAAGCACTGGGGACGAGTTTGAGCTCTTGAGATGAAATTCCGACTTTCTAATACAACTGGTGCTCTGCAAAAGAGTTTCCCGATTGACCTAGCTACTATTTTCGGAAGTGAATTTTTCACATTTGATTCCCAAGATTTGGCGATTATTGGCAAACAATGGTCACCTGAAAATTTCGGTAAAGAGAAAAATAATCCCCTAGAATTTGCTAATGAAAGCATGATTACTCCGTGTCCTTGCAGTTTCGACAAGACCTGTCGGACAGCTGAATGTTTCGAGACGGCCAAAGTTCCCCTTAAACAACCGAACACCGAATAGATACATAGTTTTCAGGGCAGCTCCAAATTATTTAACCAAACGGGCTTTTGAAGCATAGAGAAAACCATTTTTGACATTTCTGACTTGTTTGAAAAGATTCGGTCGTTTGGTGCCCCTGATTAAAGGCTACAGTACTTCCTAAAAGAAAAAGAAAAATAAACAGACAATGAAATACAGTTGAACCTTTCCACAACGGCCATTTTCTTCCGTCCCGAGGGTGACCGTTGTGGGGAGGTTCAACTGTATTTAACTTCAACTTCTTCTTTAACTGCAACTATATTTATTACTAAAAAATAGGATTAGAATAGACTGGCCCACAAAATAGCAATGGCTAATCTAGGCGGCTCAGTTAAAAGAAAAATAAAACAAGTTAAAATAATTCTTATTTTTTTCATAGTTTTATTTTAATTACCATTTAATACATCTAAGGAAAAACGGAAAGGGAATTGACTAGTCCAGTTTCGAATTAAAAATTACCGCTGAATACAAACATTAACGACACATTCATACAGGGTTAGCCTCGACGTGAAGTAACATATTCTGAAATTCTGGCAAGTAAGTGTCTGAAATTTGAATATACACAATAAACAGAGTAATAAACAGGTCTTTCTCTCGTTGGAATTTGTGAATATATTACTTCAGATGGAGGCTAAGGCTGTAAAAAATGCGTCTTCACTTCTTTAACTCAGCGGTCATAGCGAACTCAAAAATGGACTATTGACTGCATGTTATTTTATACAGGAATTACTTACCTGTTAATACAACTCTTTCGAGTTATCAATGGCGTCTCAATATCGTCATTTTCTCTTTTTAAGATATCGGAATGCGATCCGTAAAGTACTTTCATAAATTCCTTTTTAGGAAGATCTCAGTCTAATATGACAAGGTATCTAATCAGTCCAAAGTTTCACGTCAAAACGAGATAAGGAGTTTTTGTGTATTTCCAGCTTTGAGCTGTTAACGTGAATTACCACAAGTAGATAATCGTGTATTGTATGAATGAATTGTTGAGGTTTTTTCAAATAAATTTAAGGGATTTGGTGGCGTGTTGATATCGTGCATTAGTCAAGCGCTCGGCAGGGACAACTAGGTAATGGCCTAATTTTGTTATTTACATGTAAATTTGAAAGAAGCACTAATCTTGGGCCAAAAAAAAATTTGTTGCATGATCACGTAAATGACAATGTGTTGGAAAACTAGCCAAAACGGCAAGTTATGCTAGCATTGCTTTTTTCGGAATATTGTGGAAAATTATTAGGGGCACGCAACCCAAATACATTCGAAAAACACACGCGTTTTTTTAAATTGACAAAAAGCGAATGCAACTGTCAAGTTCGGTTGAAAGAAACAAAAAAGCAAAAAAGAAGGACACATTTTTTACTAACTAAAATCTAGAGAATACACTCGAACCCTCCGCAAAAGCCATGAGAAATATTTATTCGGCACTTGTCCTATTCGTCTATCCTCTATGCTCGTAATGATGAATTATGACAACATTATACTAACACAATCTATCAAAGCGTATTCGCACGCAAAGAGCCTGATCAAAAGCTACCAAAGAGCATCAAAAGCTGAATCGTTTTGTGATTGAGATCGCTGATCTACTACTTACTTAAGGCTACTTCAAATTTATATTTATATTTCGATTTTTCAGGAGAGCAGCCTTCCACTAAGCGTCTCCAGGGGAGTCGTTTTCCCTCCCTTTTCACAAACAACTTAATGATCTACACCCCTAAAAGAAACGCCTGCGTGGGGGGGGAGTTCCTATGCGATACTACCCACTCCCAGAAACCCATTTGGGCTCCTGCTTCTCCTTAATAGCTACACTGACTCCAGAGGCTGCAGAGGTAGCTCTGTTTTGTCCATTTTTCGCCATGATTGAGAAGAAACCCTCTTCTCGCCAGAAAAGTAGGAGAATTCCCTGGGAATTAGGTTACTCAGTGGTCTACTCACTTTGCACTTAGTTTCTAAAAGTCTCGTCCTGAACTAGGAAGTGATAAACCACCTCTGTGTAATTCGATGTCACTGTCCTGTCACTATTCAGAGTTCCCTTTCGATTTACCCTGGTAAAGCCTGATGCTCATACAGGCTAAGTATTTGCCTGCATCAGTCGTTTTCTGTTAAACATGAAAGCTCGAGAATGATCTAGAAATTCGGGTGCGATGGCGTTCATAATGTTACTTTTGTGACTATCAAATAGCAATGAGTGGGCTAGAAAGGTCAAGAAAGGACCAGATAAGTCGGAAAGAGGAAGGTGGGCGAGGATACGACGTAGGAAAATTCAGAATTCAGATTCAACATTGTAAAAATTTCTCCATCTATAACAAGTGCGTACGCGTCACAAATTCTTGAATGCGGGAGAAACTATACATGTACAATGGTTCTGGAAAAGAAAAAAATAACAAAAACAAAAACAAAACCAGACTGATCACAAAGAGTGACTTAATTACTTTTAAAAATGCCGAGGCATCTTTTCCTAAATCAAATCGAAAACATTTAGAATCAAATTTCTGGTTTTGGACAAAAGCTTTCCGCCGTTTCCGGTTTTAGAGACAGTTCGGTGGAATTGCGTTACTGTCACGCATGACAAACCCAAGATAAATATGCTACCGCATTTCCCGTAAACCCATGCTGTGTTCTATTCTGAGCTTCGTTGTTGCTCGGCTCGTTGGGATCTCGTGGCTTGGCGATTGAGATCATAGAAATTCGCCACATCACGCTTTTGTAGCTATGCATTTTGTATTTTTGGAATTCTTTCCCTTTTTAATTGCGGCATTTAACTTAACCTTCGCATGGAAAGTTAAAGTTGATCGCCAGCTCAATGGAATTGATCACTTCGAGCTACTTGATGACGACAAGAAGAGCATTTGTACAACCGCAGAAAAAGCCATGGAATTCTGCGCCAAACACGGGGCTGTTATGGTCAGAAATACAAGAATATGTCTAGATGATCAACAATCGCTTTACTGTCGATGTAATTCCTCAAAGTCGACGTTTTTACTGCACGAAGAAAGGTGTGTTGTTGAAGAAAATGTTCCACGATATCTCCCGATTGGACCTTTTCCAGGTAGGGTATGACTTAAGATTATTACCATAATATTCATGGAAGAAAAATCACCATTTTTTTACGTTAAAAATCATGCGTTTTATTTTGTAAAGTAACTGAATGATAACAATAGCTCAATGAACCACCACTCGACAGTGCGGCTTTTTAAATGAGGAATTGGAATGCAGTTCCCTCTCTGGCATTTGATTTTGCAATATTACAATAGTCCGTCTTAATATAACCTAGTACATATATACATCTATCGTTATACCTCTAAGGAAAATAGGGGAAAAAGTGAAAGGCAAATTGGAACGTAGAAGATTGGTTATCGAAAGTGAAACAGCTTTTTATTTCATATCCGGCCCCTTTGTTTATTGTTTGAGTTTTAAGAGGTAGTAAGTAATACCATAGTTAGTACTAACTATGGTAATACATAGCGTTTTCTTCCTTTTTAAAAAGTGCAAGTGGCTGATAAAAGTTGCATTTTATCTAATAAGAAGCTCATTTCCCCCATGAATGCAATGAAAATTTCTTTCAATAATTATTCTTGCTACAGAATGCGACTGTAAATAATAGGCTTTGAGGTTAGACAAGAATGGCAGAAATTTTCTTTTTTTTTCTGCATTGCAAAACGACATAAACTGTACGAGAAATAGCGCTTGAACTTCCCGTAAGTGATTAAGCCTTTTTTTTGGAAAGAAAGCTTGAATTTTAAAACATAACGTAACTACAAAATCTCGCCGTGGGAGTTTTAATTATCGTGGGTGTATGGACACGTTCGCCATAAAAAGGCGTGTCGGTATAATCTTTTCCGGCTGGCCTGCTTGCTTCGTTTTTGTCGTGATTTGTCTAGTAATTTCACCAGAAATTCAGATAATACCGAGAAAAATCTTACAAGCGACGTGCGAATCTTTTAAGCCATTTAGTCTGAATAGACTCAATCCCAAGGGACTAGTACATCTATCGCTAAAAAACATTTGTTTAGTTACAAGGGCCAATAAGGAAATGCCGGGAAACCAGATGTGGATGGGTTTCCTGTAAAAGAAAACAGTATTAATGTACTTAGCCCACGGACTTGTCTTAGTCTACCACCTTTTATTCGACCTCTACCCGGACTGCGTAGGTTGTTTTTGTTCAACTGATTTTCGTAATTTTATTTGCAAAATAAAATGCATTTTTTGCGACGAGAGTTTTGGTAGGGGCGTGCCCTTTGCCGACACCACATTATTTTCAACTGATTTTTGGCCCGAGGGGTTAGGCTTTTGTACATTATGCTAGCATTTTTTCGAGCATTTTAGTGAGGCAAAAGCATTGAGCATTATTCGAGCATTTTAGTGGCATTTTTCCCGGAAAATTTATTTTTCTGAGGAATAAAATAGAAATTAACTTTTTTCAGGAGCCCATGCCCCATGGGCTCCTGCGTTTTTAAAGAAAATGAAGACTAAAACTCAAAATTCACAAAAACCCTAATACAGCTGTTTTTTTGCTGTATTTATGAACTTGTACACGTTGTCGTTGTTACTTGCAACACTTGCACGTTTTTGTAAGTGTAAACTTTGAAATTAATTTTAAAAAAACCTTTGTATAATGAGCATCATCCGAGCATTTTAGTGACTGTTTTGGGGAGACCGAGCATTTTAGTGGGAAAAATGAAGCATTGAGGTGGAGCATTTTAGTTAGGAAGCAAAAGCATAGTGTACAAAAGCCTACGAGGGGTACTTGGGTAAATTTTTGCTGGGTATGTGCCGATGGCCTCTCAGAGCCCCTACCCCATTATAGTCTATTCTGTGGCCAATTATGGACCCCATCTTAGTCACTTTTGGGCAAATATGTAATTTTCGCGATCCCAGCTTAGTCACTCTCTATGTATGTATCTTATGAACCCTTTAAATAATTCATCCTAAAATGACTTGAGCCATTTTTCACCTACAGTACAAACATTCTGGTACGTTTGCTAACCTTCCGAAAATGTCTGAACCCATTCTAGTAACTCTATTGAAAATGCTACCCCATTCTAGTCAATCCAGTCGTGAAAATGCGACCCAATCCAGCAGCACATCCCCATTAGCCTCTTGTAAGAAAGTATACCCTCCGGGTTTTTGGTTTGTTAACGTGAAACAAAAAACTGTGAAAAAGAAACCTAACTCATGGGATTGTCCAGTCCTGGACGACGAGTAGAAGTGGACAGTGGAATTGCTAAGAAAATGATATCGCCTTTCCCAAGATACTTTAGCATTGTCTCCTCTATTCCTTTCATTTCTCTGCTGAAATTCTTCTGGCGATCGAACTTTTGTTTTCCCAATTCATACCACATGACGGTCCTAGGAGAAATTCCTTTTGTGTTTTTGGATAGGCCGACATTTGAACGAAACAGCTCTCCGGGATACAAACATCACGTGGTTTGAAATCCCTTAGTCTTCGAGGACTCCCTATCGAGCCGTGTGTTTCATAGGGCCCTATATTAGGGCTCATAAGAGGGCCTTCGTCAGGGGCCCATGCCTGCGTAGCGGCCGCCGTTTTTTTTTAGGGCGAAGCGAGAAGTTTTGAGGACGCGCGCGCGCGGGGGGGAAGAAAAGGAGAGGAGGCTTCTCTTCTGCCTTTCGCGTGTTCATCGAGCGCGCTGTATAAAAACTAACCAAATAAACTAACTGGCGCCTACCACGCAATCCAGCGCAGGCTAGCTGAGAGCTTGCAAACGCGTAGCTTGCTTAGTACTCGATGGAAAGCGAACCTGTATTCTATTAAATTCTTTAAAATTGCTCAAGCGGAAATGTTTAAAAGCGAAATATTTTCTCTCCATTTGTTTCTCAAGACTGCAAGTTTCCCATGGCCATTCAAGATAGTTCAAACCATCGAAGCTGTAATTCGAACCCAGTGCCCGCTCTGTTAACAAGTACCAATGGCAAGCAGCGGAGTTATTCGATCTGCTCCGAGCTTACGTCACGAGAGGTCATTAGCTGTGACGTTTCCAAGGGTAATTCCTGGTACTTAAACAATGGACGGTGGAAACGAATGTGGGAACTGTATTCAAGGGGAAAGTCTTCTAGTGGGTCAGAAGCTAATCTGGAGTCGATTCTTCAAAAGGTATTTTAAAAATCTATCTATACGTAACCACATGAACGCAGCCTCGTGTACTAGGAAACTGTTACACGAGACGATTCGCAACGACGAATTTTAGCACAACACTGCGTTGCAACATTGTTCCAACATTGCAAAGCTGTGTAGCGCTAAAAATCGTCGTTGCGAATCTTACTGTGTAACATCACCTTTAAGCGATGATGACGACAAGGGTAGTGAAAACGTCGCTAAAAAATGAATTTGCGTCCTTTCAAACTTTTTCGCGTCTATTTGGACCCGCTCAATTTGTGGAATGTAGGCGGTTTCTCCTTCAGATGAATTCTTAAGGGCTTTAACCAGCTTCAAAAAGAGAAAGGGAAATTCGTCGTCGCATGTTCACGTACGTCCTTCATAAAACGCCGTTTTAGGAGGTTTCAAGTCGTAGTCCTGCAGTGGACATCAAACTGGAATGTACTAAAAAGCGTGAAGAGCTGTTGTTTTGCTTATAAAATCAATTGTTTTTTGACGTTGTCGTCGTCCGGTCGTGGTTTCTTAAGTTAGTTACTCGATCAGACAAGTGACCTTTAACCCTTTAAGCCCCAAGATCCACACACAAATTCTCCAGAGTGATCTCCACCCGTTTCTTTTAAGAATAGTTGAGAGAAATTGGTTTAAGATCGAAGCATTCTCCCTTTGGTAATCAATTTAGTGATTCTCATAACCTTTACTCTTCGTGATCTACTGATGTTGTTAGGAGAAAATTGATGTTGGTCACTCTTGGGGCCTAAAGGGTTAATGGAAATGATAGAGAGCCTATGAGAATGATACTTAACCACAAACTAGGGAGGCGGTTATTAAGTACTTAAAAAGTAGACACCATTCACCAAGGTCACGTAGAATGTTGTTGGTTTGGTTTGCACTTGTGTGCAGGCCGGAGGAGGGTCCGCGTTTTGACCCCGGGGGGCGGGGGGACTCCGCATATGAAAGGGTTGGGGATGCTCGTCGTCTCGCTTAGGGGTGTAAATTTCGGATTTGGGTCTCACTTATGGTGTTCTGGGCAAAACGCCATCATATTTAGCCGTGAAGGCCTCGTTTAGGGTTGCACGCGAAAAAATATAAAAATATATATTTGATATGTATATTTTTTGGTATCTTTTATGGTCAAAAGAAGCTTGGGCCACGCCCAGATCGGTCTCCTTTAGGGGTTTTAATTCAAAATTTCCGACGAGCATCCCCACCCTTTTCATATGCGGAGTCCACCCCCCGGGGTTTTGACCTGGGAACTATGAGACGATGAAAACTAGAAAGATAGTACTCGCATTAACCTGATCACTAAACTTCAATAAACTTCAACTTCAACTTCACTTCAAAAAGGAACCCTGTAATTGAGTTACTTTCCATAAAAAGGGGGAATTTAAATACTCCTTTGTCCTTCACATTAGATGCATTCAGGTCAATAAATCTGCGGGCAAATGGGCCGTGTGTCTCTACTAGTCCTATTCTTTCAATTCAATAGTAATCAAGGATGACTTTAATAGAGTATCCACTGTAGTCACCTTAGTAATGCTGCTCCTAAACGGGGATCAAATCAGGGACCAATTTAAGTACTCTGTGAAAAATTTGGACATCACGAAGTTACGTGTAAAGAATTCACAGAACGCTCTTCTGATTTAAACACATGGTTTTTCATTTCCATCTGTAGTTGAGCTCGAATAACTCAAGATGGAGTGGGTTTATCGTTTCCCTGCAAGCAACTTGTACAGTGAAATCGGATTTTCTAAGACTTCGAGGCAACCCACCACCTGAGGAGATAAAAACCTGTCTTCTCCTCAAGATCAATGGTTTCCACCTATGTAAGTGTAGCGGTCTTTCTAGGTTATAGAACGTACGTCATATAACGTGCGTTTTGTTTCAAGTATCAATAGCTGTCAGATTTGAGTGGTCACACTTCAGGATTTCATCCACAGACTCAAAAGTTACAACCACGTTGTACAGCATAACAAACAGTACCACAGGAAAGCACTGCTCAGTAGGTTTCATTTGAATCGTCACATTTTGAATCGTCAACGATTCATTTGAATCGTTGACGTCGTAGTCATCCACGGACTCAAAAGTAAGAACCACTTTGTGCACCAAAATAAACAGTACCACAGAAAGCTGAGTACTTCTCAGTAGCTTTCATTTATATGGTCACTTTGCACGTAAGTTCGTTTCATGACTGGTTTACTTAATTTTAATCTTAAATTTTCCGTTTTCCCTTTTAGGGTCACTGAAATTACATCAGATGAACTTTACTCAACCAAGGGCAGATATAATATTTAATACGACACGGAATTATACCAGCCATTTAGAAGATTACACAAACACTTCGTCAGATAGAACAGTGACAAAGAGTGGTTTAACTACAACACTGCGAATTCCTACAACGGCAACTTATAGCAAAAGTGTAGAACCACATAGCTGGACATCTGTTCCTCTTGTTGTATTTTACAGCGTCATATTAGTTGTTATTGTTGTTATTACTCTTTGGGTGTTGCGTGATGAATGTCGCCCGTCTCTGGAGACTGCTTGGTGAGTTTGTACTTTGTTTTATGTCATTTTAACGTTTAACCTTTTCACTATTAACTTGCTAAGTGGTGTTGTCCAATTACAGCAGCCGTAGACATTTCAATAAACCGATCAGATCTCAAGGCAAAATGATGTCGGGAAAATCTTTGCGGGCAAGTCCCAATGAGGTCATTCACTTTCAGCTTGAATTCTGATTGGTTTAACTAATGGCGCGACTTTTGCAGCCAATCACATAGTGTACCAGATGCAACCTCGTTCCCGGGGGACGAGACGAAGTTGTACCTGATGTAAGTCGGACCCGAGGTAGAGGTTGAGACCTTTGTATTTGTTAGGGTCTTGAACCATTTTCTTTTAGTTACTAACTAGCTCTAATATCTCTGATTTCAGGAAAGCGTCAAAACGAAGGCAGAGCATAGGTGTGTAAAAAACCTTATTTTTATGTTTGTATTATCACTGAATTAAATATTAGGTTAAGTTCCGTTTTCTGGTCTACCAAAAAACGGCCCTCGACTCTTCCTTTTTTTAAACGAGGTATTTTCCTCTCGACATATTATTAAAGACATGGATAAAAATATTTAGAAAGAAAAACGTCTTTTGTTACAGTATTTTTGGAGTCCCTAACCCATCCCACTTGAAAGTTCCATGAAAAATCGAACCTTAAGTAAGACGATTCATCATTTTTTCCTGTCATAGGAAATCCAACGTACGAACGAGGCCGTACCAACAGCCTTTCTTTGATGCCAATGAGAACTGTCAATCATTCAGACCCTTCTCCGTACGCCGTTTCCCCCTGTGCTGCAGTATATCAGCCAATAGTGGAAAATACCAGGCCACACAACCTAAATGATTGCAGTAACTTGTATGAGAGTTTGAAAAGCGTCAAGAAAAATTCACAGCGAAGAGCGGCGACTAACTCATTGTACCAGGATTTGAACATTGCCAATACAGATGCGTCGAGTGTGAATGCGAATTCAGAGGAAATGAATTGCCCACCGGAAGCGGAAACGAAAACCCCTTCGTCGTTGGCATCAAATGACAGTAACTCTTGTGGACCAACAATTGCCAGTTCAAACAGACGCTCTGTTAGCGCTAGCTTTACTCCAACGCGATCAAAAAAGAAGCCGCGGAGCAAATCCGAGGTATTAGAACGCAAGAAATTTTCTCTTGTCAAAACAACTGGGATATACTCTCTTCCTGTCACGAATGGTACAAATCCTGCGTCGGTTGATTCAAACAAGCAATGTGATTTAATATCAGTGCGCATGCGTTCAAAGCAAACTGTGAATAACAGGACTGGAGAATTAGACCGCGAGGAGTGTCCTGAAGATGAAACAAAAATAGACGAATTGACTGTCTTATGTCAATCAAACCCGTCGTCATCGTCACCAGACAAAGACACCACACCACACCACAATGATATTGGTCTTAGTAATATGTCTTCAGAAAGTGATGCAATTCGTGAAAGCTTACAAGAGGATTCTTTAAGTGGCTTGGAAATTGTTGTAGAGTCTGACTGTAGCGAGTATGATGAAACAGAAAACCAGTCTAACCAGTCAGGCCCGTTTTACTATGTACTGGAAGGACCTAATCCAACATGAAGATACAAATCAGCTTTCTATTTTTTGTTACAATAAATGGATAGTAATGCCTTGAATTTCGGTTTTGAATCGTTCTATCATTGATTCAAACAACACGAATGTTTTGTTCTAAAAAATACAAGAATATAACAGAGTTAGGGAACTGTGTTAACAGTCCGAAGTTTTTCTATTTTTATGATATTGTAAGTGTAAGACTTATGACTTATCTACACTGTAATTGCTCAGATTTTGTCTATTAAAAATTCCATTTAATAGTTTCAGGCAACATCTCCAGAATCAACATTTTACTGATTGGCTTACTTAATTACAAAATACAAACGACCTTGTTTTGATGACGATGGCATGAACTTTGTATTTAAAAACTGAAATACATTCTCTGTGTCCAGTGGAACACTCGTTAGTTTCGTTATTTACACACGTTTCGAGTACATCAGTAATATTCTTTCCAGAAGAGGGATTGGGGCCGGACCTGTTTGGTTTGGGAATTGACCGCTCCAGAAAATACCATAACATACCATAATGCTCTTTGTTTGTCACCCCAAAATTTTGCATAAGCATTGTCTTCAATTTCTCTTGGGAGTTAAAATAGCCCAAGAGAAACTGAAAACAGTGCTTATGCAAAATTTTGGGGTGACAAAGAAAGAGCATTATAGTATGTTATGGTATTTTCTGGAGTGGTCAATTAACAGGCTTGTGACCGCACTGACTTCATGAGCTGAGAGGATTGAAGTACGGGTGTTCTCTTAAACACAAACATATAAAATACACCCTGTGAATCTGCTGTGATGGGTTTCTCTATTTGCGGATCCTCACTGCGTAAATACTTATGAGGTCAGAAAAAGAAAACGTTTCGTTGTGTTTTCAATATCGAGCTGACCAATAAAACGAGGGCCGGAATAGTAATACGCTTAAAATTTCCCAGTGTGGCCTCATTCGACTTCAAGCAAACAAGACAAAAATTACAAAATTGACCAATAGATCGAAGAAGAGATAAAGTGATTTCATAATTATTAAAATGAAATTTCAAATTTTGATACAGTAGTTGAGAGAATTTTTTAAAACTGACAATAAACAGGGAGCTAGGGGGTGGTCTTGGGGTGCCCGTGACCCCCCCCCCCCCTTTGTGAGTATGTCGCTATTATTCAGGTGGCCAAAACGCGCGAGTCCGAAGAATCAACACGCAATAAATCTTTTCCAGTGCTAGATAGTTACTTACTCCATTTGCAGTACCGAACATCTGCAGTGGACCATGTTAAATTAAACAGAGTAATTTATGCCACGTGGAACTAAATCTATGCAGCTATCTTGTAGGCTTGTCCCTCCCCCCACGCTCGCTGCTCATCCGAAAAAAAATGTCACTTTTATTAAAACACGGCGTGGATGTTGACATGCCAATCCGGTTAGCACCCTGGGTGTGACTCAGTGTGACTCCCCCTTTGAAAAATCCTAGTTACGCCCCTGATAAAAAGTAGATGAACTAAAATATCGCTCTCCTGTAGATTTTTGGTTTCGATTGAACGCGAAAGTTTTCTTTTGTTTTACGCAGTCACAAGGTACCGACTCTAGGACACTTTCTTCGAAAGACTGTTTCGATCATATCCGCAGCATGAGTTTTCTTCATGTAAAATTGCGAATGGCTGTGGTGTTCTTCATATTAATTTCAGTGGTATTTTTTGATGTAATGGCTAATAAAAAGAACTCGATCAACCGTGGCCATTGTAATCGTGCGTGGAAAAGTGTGGTCAATAGTCGATCACATCTCTGTCGCAAGAATGAATCTAATGTTACGATTTGGTTGAACAACAGTGAAGGTGGTAAGTGCCGTAATTATCTCTGTATTAACCTTTTTTTGCTGGCACTATCAAACATGCTTTTACATCGCTCTGCTCTTTTATCAGAATATGAAGGAATCCTTTTGATGTTCAATCAAACTCACTGCGAAGCCTCTCTGCTAAGCGAAACGAAAATCCAAGAGATCACAGAAGCCTGTAATGTGACTCAACGTAAGCGACGTCACCACACAAAAAAAAAAGGCGCCCAGATTCCAGTGGATGAGAGACTGCAGGTTACGATCGAAGGACAGGATGAGTCAAGTAGATACGAAATAGGATTGAAAATCAGCCAGGTATCTTTCTTTCTTCATTCTCAAGCTAATTATTATTCAATCAGTGAAAAGCCAATAAATGACCACCATTATGTCAGGTGGATGAATCCTGACACCTAATTAAACACCAGATAAAACAGTACCAGATTTTCATCAGATATGAAACATGTTTTGCATCTGAGATCAAACAATTGCATTTTAATGAGGTGTTTTATTGATTAACATAACTCATGGAAACAATGAAATACCAGAGACAACATGTTATGTGTGTATCGTGTTTATCATTTTATATAGAATCGACGTCGCACCACCAAACAGTACAATATACTCACCAGATTGAAAGGACATGGAAACATCAAGGCTCTTTACTGTTTGTTGCTGAGTGTATGCGGTGCTAAAACAGGTAACAGACAACCACTGCAGATTTTCCAAAGGACACGCAACCGAAATTTTCTGTTTAAGGTGGCTGAACACAGTTTTGGCAGTTTGTGAGTATATGTCATTTGTCAACTCATGGCATAAATTGATGAAAGATTTTGATTGACAGCAAAAATTTGACGTTTTTGTAGTTTCATGGCAACATGAACGATTGAATACAACCTTAAAATTTCACTTTTGCTCTGTTTACATAAAATTCACTCATTAGATTTTCCTATAAACAAAAACAAAAAATCATTTGTCAACTTCCATTTTAAAGTTCTCATTATCTAAAGTACGATAAAAGTAAAAATTCTGCTAAATATCACAAGATTTTAATCAGTAGATTTTGAGAAATCTTCTTCTGTGTAACATTTCTTTTTTCGTCACCATGTTTGTTTGTCTAATTTAAAACACGCGCCGTCACGCGAGTTACCGCTGACCGCCCGCAAAACTGTGTTCAGTCACCTCCGCGTGCGCGTTGAGCCCACTTGAATTGACGGTAATGCACGACCGACCGTCCACCATCGTTTAGCCAAACATGAAACTGATTCAAGACACGCTATGTCACTCTTTTATGAAGTGATATGCGGCGTTCTATATAACAAGTCAATTTTATTTGCAGCTGTCAAAATGAGGTATTCGATAAGAAACGTGTCAGGCGCCAAGATGGAAAATGTTGTTTTGTTTTTTGTTGTTGTTGTTGTTGTTGTTTTTTCCTCACATTTTTCATTTAGTCATCAGTACAAACTCATACTAGCTGAGCTTATTTCAATGCTTTTACTCTATCCAGCCCAGAATCTAAGTTCGTTCAAAAGCCAGTGAAGCCCGGCGGGAGAAAACATCGAGTGACAATACTTAATGACGTCATTGTATTGATCTCTGTCACAGATTCATGCGCATGCTCAGTACAAGTAGTTTCCATGAACAAGGGATCATCTGACTCCTCTAACGTTTCCACCACTCTTGGCCCTGAAGAGCCTAGGCTCCCCGAAGAAGGTAGAAACAAGAGAAGAACAGTAAAGAGAAACACCGTGGAATTTTGCTTTGTGCTGCTCTTTCTGGTATTAGAGATGTTGGTTTGTGTTATTTTGCCTCTTATTGTTGCAAAATCAAAATACAGGTAACAAAAACACTTCTTGCCCGTAATTTGAACATGCATATTCTCATTTGCTTCTCTTGATACATTTTCTATGGTACTGTTGAGGAGAAGTTGTTAGGCAATCAACCCTTTTACTTAGTGATCGTTTTCTTTAAACTTAACTGTTAGTCAATCTTAGCGTTTTCTTCATGAGCATTTCATCTATTGTTGCTCTAAGCGAGGCCATTTCCGAGTTCCAAAAAATCTCACTTTTTAGTCGAGGCTAAATGCAAAACCTTCCTTGTGATAATGAGTTTTATTTGCAAGAGATAAAAAAAATTCATATCAATGGCTTTACACTAACTCTCGTTTTGAAACAGAGGCATGGAGCAGCTTGTCTCGCAATGTTGTTGCTCTGCATTTTCGCCCGTCGTTTCTCTTAGTCACGTGGTCTGTGTGACGACTATCGTACCGCTGAGGAGAATATATTAAACAATCAACCCTTCTCGTTTTTTTCATTAGACTTGTTCGTTACCAAAAAGCCGCGAGGCGCTGGGTACGAGAGTGCTTGTTGACACACCATTCTCGGCTTGCACTGTCACGCAATGAAAAATAAAAATGCAAACCATTCAATACAGAAGGACTAAAATCTGGGAAATGAAAAAAGATAAATGTACAAAAACCGTTGCCACCGTTTACCTAAATTTATAAAGCTTTGTATGGAAACGTCATGTTGTTATCCTTTTCAGGAACACCAATTTGGCCGCCGGATACCAACAGAAACATCTGTTTTCGAGTTTTCCTACAAATGCGTGAATTCTTCGCTTGAGGAACTCATAAAGATTACAGTAATATTTATTCTGAGACAAGGAATGTTTAGATTGCAAAATATCCCAAAATCGGTAATGTTTTTAACCCACATAAGAGCTTTCCCGGCCACCAGCTAAATGCCGCGTCACGCAAAAGCCTGGAATGGAAATTCAAGCGTCCTCTCTCGCAAAACGAAGAACCCTTTCGAACCAAAAATTTGTTTATGTAAAGATGTTTAGGTACTGTAATGCCTCGTGAAAGTAGAAACTCAGAAGAAACGATAGTTTCTTAGTTTGATTTTTGGTGACGTCACGTGCAACCCAAGAATACATTAGACACCTTTAGATTGAAGGGGGAGGACGACTACAAAAACAATAGATTTGACGTAAAGTCTTTTTCGCGTCTTGTCAAAAAAAAAAAAGACACACTGGAAAGCTTCATTATCCGTCTTTTCCACCAGAAACGTTAGCATGGTTCTTTTTATTAAGGGAGGTTAAGCACTTGACAACTTGCTTTCGTCAAAACGACATTTTCATTAAAACCCGTTGTAAAATGACAACGTTTATCATGTTTTCGCGCCAAAATGAAGCGGGTTCACGTGCGAGCGCACTGCTAAGTATAGACCTTGTCACGGTTTTCGACGCCATCTTGACGAGTAGGCAAACGCGTGAAAAATTACAGTGTTTGTATGAGAATCTAATGTCGAATAATTTCCGTAGAACGGCTGTTCTGACAAAAATATGATTTGTAAACTAAAACTTCTCTCCTAGAATTCTACTGAAAAAATTTGAGGGCGTTACACGCACTAGAAGACCTAGAACCACTTTTTTAAATTTTCTATACATTTGTCTGTAAGAAAGTCCCGGGAAAATTGCAGACAATTACATGGAAAATCTAAAGCAAGCCTCTGGAGAAATCTAAGCTCAGGTACGTCCCCAAACGTTTTTAGGACAATCCTTTGTTTTGTAGCTTTAGTTTACAACTGATATTTTTTTCAGAACAGCCTTTTCACGGAAATTATTCGACATTAGATTCTCATATAGACACGGTAATTTCTCACACGTTTGCCTACTCGTCAAGATGGCGTCGAAAACAGTTACAAGGTCTATAGAGAAAATCTCGTTCTCGTAGTTGTCTTCGAATCCTTGCATACACGGTGTAGTAGTTATTGCAAAAAGTAGTAAGTAATTCTACTACTTTAGAAGGTCTTACTTATTCAGTTTCCAAAAGCTAACTATGAGTTGTTTAAACTTTACAGACGAAATTCATCAGTTGAAGTCGAAAACTCTACAAGTACGTATGAAAAAACTAGCCATTTTTTAGGAAAATATTTCACCTTTTTTTTCTTACCGGCGAGACACTGTTTCTCTGAAGTATCAGAAACATTAAGGGCCAATTATTTAAACGGGGTTTAGCCAGTGCTTAAGAAAACGGCGTTCTAAGCCTTTTTCACTTTGCCCAACGCTTTCATCTTAACACTATTTATCGTGGACAGCTTCATGAAAGCATAAGGCCTAAACTGGAAAATCACTTTTTTTCTTAAAATAACCCACTAAGGAATATATCTGGAGGTCCAGAGATTTGCTAAACCGCGGCCTAAGTTAGACTTCGTTTAAATAACCGACCTTAAATTTTTCCACAGGTAATCCTTCGTATCAGATTGGCCCTCAACTCCTTCCCTCATCTTATTCATCCCCACCGCAAGAAGCTGATGAAGAATCTTATCAACCCCCCTACCAGCCCCTGGTAGAGAACACTAGGACACCTGGGGGGAATACTGAGTATCTCAGGCCAGTAGTTGAACGTGGAGAGGCCTCTCGCTTTGTCGCAGCCGATCCAGCGTCCTACCAAGATCTCGACCAAAGCGAGCAGCGAGAGCATGGGTACCAGAAGAGTTTGACTCAAGTAGATGAGACTAGAGAACCATTCTATCACGTTCCCGAGAAAACTGCCGCAAAAGAGGGGATCCGAAGTACTTCCGGGACTCTCCGAGATCCTATGTACTATGTCGTAAAAGAACTCAAAAGCGTAAACGCGAATGCTTCTGAGAAGTTCCCCTCTGAGAATTCCGTTAAAGAACCCATTTATTGGGTGCTCGAAGACCCAAGAGAAATTGAAGAAAAAAACACAAAAGACGAAAAGTTTTGAAGTTTTATTTCAAGAATTTTGGAAATGATTTTTTTGATCAGTTTCTATCCTGTCACTTAAATTTAGAAATGTTAGTGTACTGTTAGAGCCGCTATTCCTTTGACCTGAGTGCCTGGTGCAAAAATAAGCCAGGTATTGTCGATCAAGACCGACCATCTCTGAGTTTCTAAAGACAAAAACATGCGATAGATGTGATTCAGCCGCCTCAATTCCATTTTAGAATTTCTAGGAAGAAAGGGTGAAAGCTTTAGGTGCAGTGATTTGTGGGATCGTTTGGGTGGACAAGCGTTAGTTATGATTGGTCGATGGTACTCAAAGCAACTATTAACCAATCATAAGTAGCGCTTGTCTAGCCTAACAATCCCAGAAATGTTTGCGCTTAAAGCTTGTATCCATTTGTCTTAATTATAATTTCTGGAGTGGGATATAACAAAAATACAAAACAACAGTTGTGTTCATGAGCAAATATATGAATGGGACAAGTGCGGAATAAATATTTCTTATGCCTTTCTTGGGTTTCGACTGTATTCTCTGGATTTAAGTTTAAAAAATGTATCCTTCCCTTTTTTTTTTCTTTTAACCGAACCTGACGGATAAATTCGCATTTTGTCAATTTAAAAAAAACGTGAGTTTGTGATGGTTACAAAATGGTTTTTTACGGTTGTATAAAAATAATACTTGACTATGGTTGATACAAATCGTCTATCAGGCAAACCCTCACCCACCTGTAAGAAATGAAGGGTTACTTAAGCAGCCTGTTAAATAAATAGAATAATTATTTTCTAGGTTTAATAATTCTTAAATTATATCTTCGAATGTAAACCACTTTTGGTCCGTTGCTTTCATTCAAGTGTTAAATTTTTACAGTAGTGTACTCCTCATAAATGGTCATAATGCGACTACAGTTCCTCAACCAAACTCACGTGAAGTGCACATGATGCACCGCTCATGACTTGCACACGACAATCACGTGGCCACTATGGTGCATTGCCTCTCTTTCAATTTTTTCTGTTTTTTTGTTGTATCATACTTATTCAATAACATAGCAAATGGCGTAGCCTCGCTTTTATTTTCCTTCTTTTCTGGCAAAGCTCACGCGTCATCCGCATGTTTTTCTCGTGTTGTATTGCCGGCATGCGTATGACCACGTGATATTCACGTGGACACTGCTGGAAGTGGTCTTTGCCGCTTTTGCGTTGCTTGTTCTTGAAGCCTATTTTTGACCGAGTCAACTCCCAGAACCTGTGTAAAAAAACATTATAAATGCCCTTAAATATCAAAACATGCAAAATCAGTCAAGCCATGCTTGAGTAGAAAGAGGTAAAAATATGCACAGTGCACAGTATCGTGTATCAATCAACTTCTTATTAGACATTGAGGCATTAGTTAATAATTTTTATCCACAAGAAAACAGTTTAATTTGTCAGCAATTAACCATTTACAGCTCCTGCCATTTATGATTGAAAGCAGTAGTTTTATGACACAATCATGTTAGGTGTATCATGTTTTAGATACACAGTTCAAACAGGGGCACCCAACGAGGATATAGTTGAAAACCACTTAACATAGCATTGTTAAACGTATTTTAGTATTCAAACGGTAGATATAGGCATATTTTTATCCCCTAAAAACTTTTCATCTGTTCGGATTTCCTAGCTGAACGTCTAGTGATCCGAAAATTATAGGGATAAAAACTTACCTTCTCGAAAATTTCAGCCAGGAAAAGGCTCCCGAAAATTCTAGGTGGCCTTTTTTTGGGTCAAAATCCGTTAAAAATGGGTAATTATACCATTTTGTAGATGTTCGAAAATCCTAGGAGAGGCAGGCAAGCAAGAAATTTTACAACAAATGCTCCGAAAATTCTAGATCTCAAATCGTCTTCCGAACAGATATTTTCCCGAAAATTGCCGTTGGGTGCCCCTGTTCAAACTTATCGTTTTAGCAGTTACTTAAATGTGTCAAGTTTAGCATTAAAATCATATCAGAACCATTGTTTATAGAGTGACGGTACTTATCGACGATATCAAGGATGTTATTACTGCGCATGCATGGCACCCGCTGCGTTGTACCAGAGAGCAGGTACCAATCACATTTTTTCTGTCTACGAGTCTCTTTGATCAGCAACGTTTGTGTGATTGCTTACTTTTCCATGGTTAATCCTCCTATGGATTCCAGCACGCTTCTGCCAGCAACGTGGGGCAAATTGGGTGTACTTCCCTCGAATCTAATCAGTTGTTTGATTGCATTGTTCTCATCCGTTCCAATTTTTGAGATTCATTGACTGTGTCACGATTTTTTTCACCCGAACAAAAGCCAATGACCACGGTTAAAAACTTATTTCCTTGTTTTAAACTGACGAGGTTAAGGTGATGTGGTATATCTCTAAAGTAATCGTTATTCGTTCTTATAGCGGAGCTCCACGAAAACTGAACCCACTAGTTAACAAAATTTGGCTATAGATCCATCCGAGAATTTTTGGTTGTCACGTGACTGACGTTCGGCCGCACCACAAGCAACCAATGTGAAGTCTCGCACTTTCTAGCCAGTGTGAGAGCCTGCAACCTGATACTGCACTTTCACGTTGTGGTCAATTGACAGCTATCAAAAACAGGGTATTCGTTGACCAGTATCACTTGACCGTATCGCGGGCTCAGGTGTTGACCTATAGAGGTTATGTGTTCTTTTGAAGTTATCCGTTGACAAGTTTCTAGTTTCTAACCGATCGCGGGCTCAACTCTAAGTGGATTTCTTTGTAATGGTTACAAGTTGATTGCTTGAAGTAAATTATAAATTTAGTACGGGTGCTTCGCCTTTAGCCTTGACTAAATCTATATATTAGTGCAACGAATTATAAATCACAGTGTTCAGTGTGCTCACACTATTGATGTGCAATATTGAGTGTCTTCCACGTGGACACATGCAATACTCAAGGGCTTTTACCTGTGTCCGTCGCCATTAAACTTTGCACTTCCAAATCGTTGAGAAGATTCTGGCATTAAATGTTCAAAGTTAACGTTAAATTACAACAAATTAAGTTAACAGCGATTTAGCCGGTTTACCTCTGACGTTAGCTGAATTCAAAATTTACTTTATACATAAAGCACAAAAAGAACCTTTTTAACACATTTCGCGTTTCGCAGAGCTCTGTGTTTAGTAATAAACTGTTGACATAACCGAGTGTTTTCAACCGTTTTTGTTATAAAGAATCAAAAAGTGGCGTAAGCTATGGTTTATAAAGTGTTCTCAGTTGCAATTGAGGGATATGTATTTGTTTATACACTGTAATACTTCCTCAAAGTACATTAAACTTTAAAGAGAGTAAAATTTAGGGGTTACTGTTTATTTATAAATTCGTTTAAGACGTTTACTACATACAATCCAAGATATTCTTCATAGAGTCTTCTCAGTGTTTCTTTATCTCAGTCAGGTAGGTACAGGCTTATAATTTGATTATATAACTATTATTCTAAGTGGGAAAAGGGCAGACAACAATTTTTTTTTATCGGTTACATTTTTAACGTTAACCAGATTCAAGCTAGAAGATCACAACTTTTTCTGTGACGCTTTAACCAAGGTAATTTACACAAATTTTATAGGAACAAAAAAAACCCTTTAAATTTAAATGGAAGCTAATCAGAGATTCTTTCCCGCTTCTTTCGAAAGCCTTCATTTTAGGAGTCGTGGTCAGTTTTGCGGTCACCCTTGAAGCTCTGTTCACACTGTACCGGACAAAAGCTATCAGTTATAGTAATACTGTGAACAGCAACGGCAAAGAAGTGGAACAAGTCGTTCACAAACATCCAACTTCGTGCTCGAGCGTTTGGCCGAGGGGGGTTTGGTGAACAAAATCTCAGTCCTGACTCCTAAATATTTACTTCCGTCTCAGTGGATTCCAGTCCTCCCTGCTCCTACTTATTCACTTCCGCTAAGGTCCCCGATACCTGTTCACATTACACCTAAAGCGTGGCACAGAACCTATCCGATATGTACCGCTCCAATTTCGAGATCTGCGCGGCGCAGCTTCGCTCTATCATGGAAATCGCGCCAAAATCGCTGTTCTCATGTGTGAACAGAAGGCCTTTCCGGTTTGGTTTTCGCGCAGGTGCAAGGTGACCTATTCGGGAAAATTTGAACATAGCCTTACTAACTAACATGTTTAATGACATTCCTTATCGCTTCGTCACAACGCATCCTAATCTGGTGTTCCTGTGGCACTAAGGAAATAATTTTTGAGCTATCACGTGCGACTGCAAATTAGCCGCCCTTATTAATTTTATCAGGGCACTTCGGCCGGGAAACTGGACTCCTTTCGACTCGACTTCGTTTCCGTAATTTTTCCGTAAGTGACGAACGCGGATCCGTGATCAATGATTACCGTACCTCTAGTTGTTAACCTTTAGTCAGTTCTAATAACAGACGCTTTCGATAAACATTTAAGAATAAAAATCAACGATAAAAATTTTGAATGACGTTTCGATGACTCGCTCATCATTTTCAAATTCTAAAATGTTAGTTATCCAGGAAAAGAAACCCAAACTGAACACTCAATCAGACTCAATAAAAGCGAAACTATTTAGTACCTAATTAACACTCATTACATTCCACATTGTAGTTTTTAATCACGTGCAACGAGACTTCACGCGCATTCTTAATACATAAACGGAACTTTTAACAATCTAACTTTTTAGAATTTGAAAATGATGAGCGAAGTCATCGAAACGTCATTCAAAATTTTTATCGTTGATTTTTATTCTTAAATGTTAGTCAGTTCTGATACCATATATTACCAGCCCAAATTATTACCCATACCTGCCAATTCAAGATGGCGGTTCTACGCTTGTCCGCTTTACTCGGCAAACTGCTCTTTTTAATCACCATAAGACCTCTCCTTCTCTCCTCAATCCCCTCTCGAGCCATATCGACCGAGTAATCGTCCTGAAGTTTCTTCAGTTCTGACGGTTTGACGGAACGCTCTAACACCATGATAATTTGCGCCCACTGGAAAAAAAGACGATTACATTTTTTCCCAAAGTCAATTATGAAGACATGAAATGTGTTTATAACTTTTGAGTCTGTGGACGAAACTCTATGGTCAAACTGTTCAGATTATTGGTTGAAAACCTTTACCTGTCTTCTCCATTCTTTCTCTGAACGATCTGAAATCTGCAGGACAAAAAAATTATAGTCACCTTTTCAGCCCCCAAAAAAGCCATGAGTGACAAACCTAACAGTAACATTACAAAGTTAAGAAAAAAAGCTTATAAGAATTACTGCTCTGATGAGTAGATCAGCATGAGAAATGCTTTGATCTTTATACAAGTTCCTTCACCTTATTCTTTAAGAAAATATGAGGAGCCTATCAGTCTGGAAAATTTCTTTGAGGACATTTTGGATTTGAAACGCTTTTCCGTCAGTTTTTACTATCTTTGTGAAAAACTCAGAGAATATTAATCTTTTTAATCTATCACAGAAAAAAACACGTAAATACAGTGGCTCAGTTATTTGGATACATGACTTTATTTATGAGCTGAATTTAGCAACTGCCCATGTTGTAGATGGCCATGGGATTGGAAGAGGATTGCAAGTCTTGCGCCTTGCCTGCTAGCAAGCTCTCCATTTGGGGGAGTCGCGAGAAGTCACGCGAGAGTAGCAAGCTGTTGCCGGTCGCTCGCGCGTTCTCACGCAGCTTGCTTCGCTCGCCATACATGGAGAGCTTGCTAACAGGCTAGTCTTGCCCCATATTAGCTAGCTCGAGACAGTCGTGAATTCTGGATTCGACGCTGTGGATTCCGGATTCCAGGTACTGGAATCCGCGTTCCTTGTCAGTGAAACTTCGATTCCGGATTCCTGGAGCTGAATTCCAGATTCCAAAGTCCAAGATTCCTGATTTCACAAGCCAAAAATTTCCTGGATCAAGAATTCCACAAGCAAAAATTTCTTGGATTCCGGAATCCGGATAACCAGTACCTGACATGCGGGCTGAGGCGAGAAGTTATAATGTTTCTATGGTCACGTCCGTCAATAACTTATCTCGCAAAGAGGCGGTTACTCATCAAGTTTTATTTTTCTCAGGTAAAAGGCGATGTACAGCAAAAAAAAAGGCCCCAACCTAACTGCGTCAGATCAATGTTTTTACAAAATTCCTATCAAGCTACATTGGCGAACATAACTTTTTTTTCTGGAGCTTGAGTGAAGTTGTAACACTTACATTCTGATAGGTGTTAGCCATCATGGCGATCAGCATGTTCATGAGTAAAACTGTGACGAATAACATGAAGTAGAAAAACAACATTTTTGCCAACGTTGCATGCCGGGATTTATCGAATTGGAAAAACTGCGGAGAAACAAAAGGTATTTGTCAGCCACACAAAGTGATTAAGGAAAAAGTAGGGACACCAAATGAGTTTGCTACAAAGACAGTGCCAGGAGATATTTTAATTGATATTTTGTTTTTACGTCGACGTTAACTCAAGAGAGACTGGGCCCCAGGAACATCAAAGAGTTTGACTGAATGTTGCTAGTCAGTGAGATTCTGGCCGGAAAAAGTTCCATTGTTTAAGGTCATATGACCTTGAAATAACTAATCATGACAAGGCGCAACGTTGAAGAGAACATTCCAGCTATATTTTAGCTAAAACTTACATCGAACTCGCCAAATGTCATGCGCATTAGTGTCATAATAGTATAGCCTTCATTCTGATAGCCCTCTACTCCTTTCATCACGTAGGAAAATGCTGTGAAGGAAAATGAAGAGGAAACATTGTAAAAAGGTGCTGTCAATTTGCAAACCTCGTTGCCAGGGCTTTTCCGTCAGAAATTAGGAAAGGAAATAAGAGAAGCCCTGGGAACGAGGTTGGTTAATTTTAGTGAGATTCTGATTTCATGATCATGGAGAGTGAAAGTTTGCCAGGCTACCGAACTATTCAATCATTGGTTCATCAAACTGCCCAGGAAACTGACCGAGCAAATTCCTCGTCCCCATGAACGAATCCGATACTCTGTTGATTCTTGTAGCTGGTAGGATGGCTTAAGAAATTCTTTTTCACCAACTAAAATACAACTCTAGGTGCCAGAGAGTTTTCTTGCGCCGTTTCCAGTTTGGGCTCCTGGTTTCAGACAATTGTTTATATTTACCGCACAGTACCAGCGGTTTTATTTCTGGCAGCTTCTCTGCTCGCAATTTGTGTCGCCCGACTACGATGTATCCCGCCGCTCCCGAAAAAAATTACCTTTGGTACCCAGGCCCCTGGGTACTGAATTACATTCTAATGCATGCTCACCTTGTGCAAGACCCACTACGTAAATTATATAAATGATAAAGAATCTTGACATGTCTCCAGCACACATTCTGTATATCATATTCACAAAAGGACCGATTGCTCCAAAACCTCTGAAAAACAAAACGAAACCAATGAAGAACATCCCTTCCAAGAAAGCTGAAACACTAACCAACGTGGCCGTCGTTTGAAAAGAATGGGGTAGGGGAGGGAACGCCCTTTTGAACATCTGTCTGCTCACAGTAATCGAACCTTAGTACCCCTCTTCCTCCCTCCCCTATGATTCTCTTACCCAGATCAACTACAGCCAGACTTAAAACTTATAGACAGAGTGAGATCGTAGATATGAAATTATTGTTTTGCGCACATGCCGATCTCCGTCTGCTGAGAAGTGGTGCGTGACAACCGTGAGGAACCGGTTAAGCAACAGACTAATCCACTTACCTACAAAAGAACAGCAGATAGCACCAGGCCATTGGAGCGGCCAGGATCATCATCGTTGTCTCAGCATCTCGTTGACCTAGGTAACGGCATGGTAACGCAATGATCACCAGTATACAGGATACAAGGAAAAGAGATTTGCCTGGAGCGTCACGCTAGAAAAATAAGGATGGAATAGGTAACGCAATAAGGAACCCAATGATCACAAGATCGATAATTCAGTATTCTGTAAAAACAGGTAGCAAGAAGCGGATACACAATACTCAAGCAAACACTAGCAAGTAACATACTGTTACAGTACTTTTGTATTAACGTTCTTCCTAATACTTTAGACAGGGCGTAAGGAGAAACAATGACGCCCTGGCTGTTGGTAATTAGCGTAGGTTTTGGGTTCCTGTTTTGAGTCAGGGATCATTATTTCGGGAAGCACGTTCTTGATACCAATGAAACTGTTAACTATGACATATGATCAGCTAAGAATACAACACGGTTATGCGAAACTACGGCTTAAGCACGAACCCTATTTATCATTCAACTGATCAACGAATTATTAATACCACGTCACCTTGATCCACATTGAGGATAATTGCTAGGTTGTCTGAGGTGGACTAAGACAAACTTAAAGGCAAGTGTCACACTTACACCAACCCACGGCTTGGCCTGTAGCTCACGCATGCGCACAGCCATATCGCACGGGCAGTGTCAGCCATAACAAGGGCGAACCAGCTGTCAATGGCTACCACTGCTTGGGCGATGTGGCTGTGCGCATGCATGGCCAGGCCTTGGGTGCACATATGTTACTTGCTTTTTAGTCTGTCTTTTTGACGCAGGCCAGGTAAGATTTACTCCTTGCGTCACGTCGTTTTTTCCCCTGCGTCGAAATGACAAAGTTGCGCATATTTATCCAGGAGACGTTGCCAGTAAACGCCTTAGTGGTATTCTGGGTCAAACTTCGTGTCAGGTTTACTGCCTAGAAAAATTACTGCCTAGGTGCAACTGAAATACTGCCGAATCCGGTACCTAAGGTTTTCTGACGTGCAGAAAACTGTTCACAGTCCACTATTTTTCCGTAAGATCGTCGGGGTCGAGTACCCACCCGTACGGGCAGCCATCTTGGTTTCAGCTGTACCGAGTCTACTTTGGCGGGCGGCGGACGGTTTCAGAGAAAGCCCCCCTGGCCTTACCGCTAAAAACGCTAAAAACTCTGGGGCCCGCCCCCTCGGTAGATTTGAAACCAAGATGATCGGTAAGCGCTCGATCCCGACGATCTTAGGTAGAATAGGGGAGTGAAGAGTCTAATTTAGACTGAGATAATCTTGCATAACTTAGTAAACTTACCAGTGTAATTAGTTGAGCTGTGATTCCTTGGGTAATCAACACATCTTTGATTTCCAGTACTAAGTAAATTATTGCGCCAAGGACAGTGAAGCCTTCGGCCACAAGACGGAACTGAAAATTCACACAAAACAGCTCTTGCTTTTATTCCTGTTTGTGTTAATTCGCGTGTGTTGCGCGGTCGACCGTTAATATAAAAATTAACAGTTGATGGATGAACTCTTTAAGAGCATTGGTAAAAACAAAGAGTACATTAGAAATAACTTGGTAAATGCTTTGTTCATAGTTAAAGTGCCCTTGGTTACTAGCTAATTCATAAGTTCTCCACTCAAATAATTTCAAACTAATGACCCAAATATATATAACATAAGCAGGATTAAAAACCTAACAGGGAGAAGGCAACCAGTTAACTATTTAAAAGCATGGCCCGGGATTTGAATTCGGGACCACCACGAGGCAAATCCAGCGAGTTGTCATAGCAGAATTTGTATTTGAACCTGAGGCCGCCAAATTCCGAACCCGAATCGCTGACCATTGGGGTACGCTGCATCCTTATTAGCCAGCGTTTTCAGCCGATTGTCATCGCTCCACATCGCTGGTGTTCGCTAGAGAGACGTCTGAGTTTTGGCCTCAAACATCCCACACTGATGAGGTAAATCAATGTTGACTCGCAAATCATCCCCAGCAATGGGTAGCAATGAAAGCCGATTGTATTTGCAGGCTACCAGCGCTGTCTTACCTTATAAACCACAGGACTTCCACACGCTAGATGAGATGCTAGGTGAATCACAGGGTAACCAACCCAGGACCATAGATACGAACCACCACATCAATGCACTGTGAAGATGGCCCAGTCAAGGCAAAAGTGGGATCGTCCATCTGTTCACCGGAAGTCAGGTCGTTGTATTTGAAATTGAGTGAACGACTGTCGAAAATTCGTGAGTGGCCTCTGTTTTGCTTTTGCTAGTATTCTGTCAAATTGTGTTTCTATTATTTTGAATCTAGATATATCAATAGACTGTTCACAGTTTCCTATTTTTTTCATAATATCGTCAGGATCGAGCGCTTACCGGTACGGGCGGCCATCTTGGTTTCATTCCCCCAGGGTCATGAGTAGATTTCACCTCATCCAAGATGGCCGCCCATGCATAACGCAAAGCGCTCGATCTCGACCTTCTTACTGAAAAATAGTGGGCTGTGAACAGTCTAGTATATCAAAGGTTCATGAAAAGAGACTATATTGCATTAGCAACGAGGTTCGTGCGATAGTAGTAGAAAACAAAAGATTTCCTTACTACATCATCGCCGTTTTCTATTCTCAAAAAATCCAGATGCCTCGGACGATAATAGATGGATAAGCTAAAAGCCAGAAGATACAGAACCGCAAATAACAGACGTCTGTAAAACTTGCCCTGCAAGAAGAAGGGAAAGCCACTTTAGCGAATTAAGCAGGTTTTACCATGCTGCCTTTTTGCATGCCCAGCGGCTGCTATTCGTCGCCTTTTTCACACCAGCATTCAAAGGGGCTGTCGCACGGTTGTTTGGTCAATTGTTACTAATGGCAATTGTGCGTCCTTTTTCGCTTTGGAACTTGACAAATTTGAACAAATATACCTCTTAAGTAGTGCTATTAAACACTACAAACAACAAAAATGAACTTTGAAAAAACTGTTATGCTAAAACGTTTTCAAAAAGCACAATTGCAATCCGTGTCAATCGTCTTTAAGTTTGTCTATCCCTGCGTCAATTTGTATTTGTTGTTATACCTTTTTTCATGTTCTGAGCTGTTATTTTTATGTTTCACTGAGAATGGTGGCGTTTCCCACAGTTTGAATTTTGATTTCATGACAAAGTTCTTTTATGCCTCGATCTGTACGCATTGCGTGCCTACAATATGTAGGCGACATAGTCTTGATTCTTACCCTAGCGAAAGTTGTCCATTTCTCCTCAAGAAGCCGATAGATGATCCCACTGTTTAACATGTCTAAATGTTCATTCGTCTTTCCATTTAGTGTGATTAACAGTGCTGAGTCTTTATCTAAATGAAAAGGAAGACAATCGATTTGATAAAGATGTAACAAGATGGGGACAAGCAGGGGAGAAAGGAGTAAAAGAATGAAAGAACGCGAACAGAATTTCGGGATAATGCAATGAGATGATAAGAGGTAAACTGGGAGTCAAATACGAGAAATCATATAATAGTTACTACTAATTGCGAAAAGCGTGAAAGTTCCGGCTTTTCCCTCCCCCAGGGTTTTTCCTTTATCCCAAGGATTGCCCCTTCTCATCCTCTTCCACCATCACCGCCCGGGATGGACGCACAAGTTTAACACATATTCGTAAGGCTAGGAAGATAAATCAGGATTTAGGAATAAATAGTTATTAGCTACGTTTGTTAGTATCATCGGTATAGTCAGTACAAAATTCCTTTTTTTGTCTGTATCTCGTTGATGGCAGGCATACCTGACTTTCCATCTTTGTTGACAGAATCTAAACTATCCAGCGGGTACCCTGAGCAAGTCATGCGTCCATAAGACCAGTATTCCTGTTAGAAACGATCATAGAAAATTTTAAAATTTCTTTCAACAATGCCCCTACAAAGCGCGGGAAAACTTAAGTGCCGCCGCTAAGTGATGGAAAACATGGCGCTGCTGCTAAGCGAGGGAAAACCTGTCGCTGCTGCTAAGGTCTGGTTCGCACGTGCGACGCAAATGCAAACGCAAGCGCAAATGAACATGCAATGCTGTTTACACTTCCAACGCACACAAGGACAGCATATTCGCATGCGCAGTCCAAGTCCTTTTTCTTAGCCGTGATGGCATGGAACCGATTGAACATGTCTTTTATATTTACCTACGGTTTGCACTTGCGTCGTACGTGTAAACCCGGGCTTAGCCTGGGAAAACATACCATGCTGCTACACGTTAAAAACAATGAATGGTAACAAATCTGTTGACCAGTTGAAAAACTGAACTTTTTCTACCACCTTATTGATTGAAAAAGAAAATGCAAGTGTGCTCTTCCAATTTACTGCTTCGAGGTTCAGGTGTAATTTATTACACGATCTTTTTTCTTTTATCAGATGGTTTCTTACCATGCTCTGATATTCAAGAATTTCATGAAACATTTCTTTTCTCCCTAATTTGGCCGCTAATGTCAGCGGGGTTAGACCTTGGTTATTCCTGACAAATGGATCGCCTCGAATCTTGTGTTTTCTCCGAGTAGCGTGAAAAAACATGTCCTATAAAACAAAAGAAAAACGGAAAGAGAATTCATTGATAGTTCCTGGCGTAGAAGTAGAAAATCTAAGTAATTTTATCTCTTGATGCAACTATGCGACAAGTAAGGTACTACATGTACATAGTAGAGTTGCTTAGTGCAAACGACGTATCGGTTGTTACTTTCAAATGGTTTATTAAGCAACTTTCCAAATCTTTAGGGGCATCGTGAGAAACTGCCAAACATGAATGAGCAATTGACTATTTTCAAATCCCTCATAATACACCTTGCTTGACATCCCCTCGCCTCAAAAATATTTTTGCATAAGTTATTGTTTTCAAATGGTCTTGGGAATATTCAGCTCTTCTAGGAGCATTTCAATATAATAGTTTACGCAAGATTGTGGGGGGGTAGGGTGGTGGAAAACAGAATTTATTATAACGAATTAGCAAATATAAAGTTAGCGAAAAATAACTTCAAAGAATGCAGGCTTTTGTTTTCGGAGAAAACCTCATTTGCGGTAATAATGACAGGGACTATTTCGAATTTTTGCTCAACCACGAAACTGAGCGAGACCTTTGTTTATGTCTGGAAAACTGCTCCGCATTGACGATCGTCCCAGTTCAATGATGATGCTTATCTTAGCTAACAAGAAATGCGAGCGTATACATTATTGGTAAGCCTGTTAAGTCAAGCGTGTACTTACGATTTTATTGTGTATAACACACAGGTGTAATACGGTGTTGCCAAATGTGTCTTGTCTATTGGGATCCGCTCCCTTCCTTATAAGGTAGTCGTACATCTCCTCGTTTTCAAAACAAGCTGCAAAGGATGCTGGGTATTCACCATAATAGGCATAACCTGTTTGTTACAAGCAAGTTGGTTTAGATATAGAACAAGCGATAAATTTGATTTGAATGTAATCCTAGCTTGCACCTTCTGATTATGGTTGGTTCGATCGACTAAGTATGACGGGGCGGAATGCATGACTCTTATGTACTTAATTCAAAGCTCTTTGGATTCGAATGTTTTATAAAATGTCAATTTCACCAGATGAGGAAGGAATACGAAAATGATTTGGGGGGAACAAAATGAAGAAATTCTTAACGTTTCTTGCAATCACAGCAAGAGAAATTCGGTGTGATTTCTAGAATAATTTCTGGAACAGAATGTAACGTTACCATTCTACTGGAAGCGCAGTGTTTTAAAGTTTCCTTTTCTTCGTGAGTTTTCTAACCGTTAAAGGTGGGTAGAACTGGTAGAATGTAAAATCTGAAAACTGGTAAACATGTGGCACTTACCCTCATAGTCGGTAACCTGTTTCATTTTATCCTTACAATCTTCTGGCATGAAAAACCTCCCTTGTGCGCGTGCGTTAACATCAGCACCACATCGACCAATCAGAAGCTTTAACGAGTGCAGATCTCCGTTGACTATCACGATATGCACCGATGTCTCACCTGAAAAAGCGATAAAGGACCAAACCATTTTTCTCTGGTGGTGGGTCTGTAGAATTGTGTTGTATTTAATCATTGTTGAAATTTATACGTTCTGCTGTCAGCATGTTTCCTCCGCCTTTTCATGGTTTGTTCTGTAAGTTGCGGAGTCATGTTCTTCCTCCGGTCTTACGGAAAAAGGGCGCAACAATTTCCGCAGCTTACGGTACGAGCGTCTAACTCCTTTGGGTCTTATCTTTGTCAAACTTTCCTCCACCGAAAGCATCGCTAAGAGAATCGACCACATTAGAAATCTTCGCGAGATAGATTTTCTTAAAAATTGTTTTCTGATATGCTCTTATTTCAATCATCAAAAAGGAGATTTTAAGTAAGTAAATTGAATAATCAAACTTTTTGTCACGAAGCAGTGGTTTTCTTTAGCGCGTATCTATATGCTATGTAAGATGGTATCGACTTTGTTTGCTAGATTTTTCCCCATTTCCATATAGACCATAATGCACCCTGTTTCCTCCTGAAACAATTTTTCATTACCATGCATTGTTTCCAATTTCTCCTGGGTATTACAGTCGTCCCAAGAGAAAACAAAAGACAACGGTTAGGCGACATTTGGGGTAAACAAGGGGCATTATGAATACAGGGTAAATTTAAGTACGAGGCATTTTGAGCAACTGAAAGCTAACGAACGTTCTTGGCTCTTATGCTTTATTCCACTCACCGTAATATTCCTGTCCCTCATACTGGTCAAATGCCATCGCGGGGTAGAGTTCTAATAGCGCCCGTGCCATCTCGATCATCATTGGATTGTTGCTCAAGAAACACAAGTGTAATGCTGTCTCTCCCAGGGTACCACGGTGCTCAAGAGACCAGCACGCTTTGCGGGGTGTGCGTTCTGAATCGTCTTTGTTTTTCATTGCGTGTTTATTGAACTGTAAAAGAAAAAAGTATGTGAAAAAAAAATTATGTCAGGAATGGCTACTGATCATGGTGAAATAGAAAAATCATAAGTTTTTTTTTTTTATCACTATAGAATGAAGAAAGAGCAGTTGTTCTTGAGACCATTGTCAAGGCATCAATTTGTTGTTTAACAAAAGTTCCGCGGGCATATCAAGGAACTGACAAGTGCGCAATGAAATTGTAACAGCTCATTTTGATGTACAATGTTGTTCTAACTTATGAGTTTGTGGATTAAAGTATGACCATTCAAATGAAAGCTACTGAGCAGTACTTTCCTGTGGTATTGTTTATTATGCTGTACAAGGTGGTCCTAACTTTTGAGATTGTGAATGAAGTGCCCATTCCAATGAAAGCTACTGGACAGCACTTTACTGTTGTCTGTTGCGCTGTTAATTGACTGTGCTGCAGACGATGGTTCTAGTTGTTTAGTAAGGTGTAGACACTGTATGATTATGTATTGCTAAAAGCTAATTAACGAACCCAACGGAAGTGTATTTTTTTCATTGTTTATTTGTTCACCTCATGCTCTTTTTCATGTTGCCATTCCTTCATCTCCTCAGCCGTAACCTCCTTTCCTTCGCCTTGTTCATATAAATAAGGAAGTAGAATTTCATTGCGTTGAAGCTCACTTATAAATCCTGGCCTTCCACTTTTTTTCCAGATTTGAACCAGTTCTGTGTTGCTATTGGGACCTTTCAAGTCCACAAGTGTGTAAAGTTTATTTTCTATCCTTCCACGCGTCTGTCTCTTCCATGCCTCGTCTTGGTCCTCTTCTGAAGGGGATCCTAACAGAGGCACCCTATTGATGCAGTTGCCCATGGCCCTCTAGAGGAGGACCTTCAAATTTGCCTGTGAACGAACAAAAAGGAGGAATAAAAGACCGTTTTAAGCCGGGACTTATGCTCCTGGATAAGTGCAATCGTCGTCACCTACGTAGGGTTTTCTGCTGGCGAGGGGGAGGGGTGGGTGAGTTCGGAGCTAATTTCGACTACAGTGATTTGAAGATAACCATCCTCCCCAGAGGTAATGGCATTGCCTTCTGTGGCCAAACATAAGAGGCCTTTGCAAGAGTGACTCGGGAATCGCTTCAGAGCTTGAATTTGATGTCATAGATGGATTTTTTTTCTTCTTCCGGTTAAGGAACCCTGATCTTTGTGGATTGTGGACGAGAACCGACAAAATTGACTTATGTACTATACACTGTCTGGACCCGGGCCACATTGGTCTAAAACGTTTGAGAAAAATGACCAAAAAATGGACATTTGTTAGGTTTCATTTTGATGTACAGTACACACTGCTCAACAATTCCCACGAAACCGACCTAGTCACAGACTTAGACCGGAGACCGCCACTTTAATATACGTTAATATATCTTTTAATATTTCCGGATATCCCGTGTTCATCAAAGCTTCAGCTCAGGAAAGGTTCTCTCCAAAGCGGAAGTAACGGAACAACTTTCGACTCTATAAGATTCTTGATCAACTTAAATTCTTCACAAACAAAAGAATTAAGGAACTTGACCCCAGTAGGTCTATTGATCTACTTGAAATTTGTAGGGACCGTGTCATTTGCGGTATTACTTGTTTAGTTAGCCCAATATTTCTTGTTTGGTTTATCTAATTGTTGCTCTCCTCAAAGACCTTGAATGTACCTGATGACGACAAACTAGGTAATTAGGCATTTACAAGTTGCCGTACCGGTACAAAATTTATGTTCCGTTTTTACTGAGTCAAGCACGGGACAACACAATTTTCAAAAGTTAAAACCGGGTTGTATAACTGCTCGCATTTTAGATTTAATTCCTGATTTCATTGCTTTAATTTAGTTCCTTATGTGGCTTAGTTCTCGATCCGATGAACTTGACATATTCTGTTCAATTTTATACTAGCCCAGTTGATCACCCGCAGATCTTAAACTAGCCTATTCCAAGCGTTCAGATTGAAAATCTAGCTATTCAATCCAATATACCGTCAGATATAGAGCGAGATTGGCAGGAAATTTGTCCGATGTATCTGACTATTCGCCAACAGTTGATGATATGGTCGTTTGCATCGCAGATTATAGATTCCAGATTAACGCTCATTGCTCTCACGGCTAGATTAGTTATGGCTTTTGTTTTGAGGGCAATGGTTTGTACTTATACTGATTTCTTGTGTACTTTTGTTTGAAGTCGATCATATTTGTGCAAGATTAAATTTTAAAATACGTAAGATTGAATTATCTTAATAAATATGTTGCACATCGGGTTGAAGCACAGTTAAGTAGATGAATACAATATAGATTTCTCAATACTTACGGTCTTCTAAATTCGAAACCTCTGGTCCTCGACATGAGGAATAAATTCGTGCAGAGGCAATATACGAAACTCGAGCATCGCTTTCCTTGATTTCGCTCCTTCACTGAGCGCGTGCTGGACGACCCGAAAGAGACTACAACTCAGCTTCTCTAAGAACTAAGCCATGCATGTTACTAGCAAACAAATGCAAAATATGTTTCGCCTCATGAATAAGTGAGAATGTTGCGCTCTATTTGCATTTTAATAGCAAAAAGAAAAATAGTGAATTTACGTCATTATCTGCTAAGGACAATTACATTGAAATAGAGCGAAACGGGATGCTTAGTTCGTCTTAGTTGGTGTCCAAATTAGTTGTAAAAAATAAATACAAGTTATTATTGTAAAGAAACATCTTGATTGGTATTTTAGCTGAAGAAATTAACGATTTTTCAATTTTTACTACTAAAATCAATTGTGGCTAATAACGGATCTGATATAATAATAACAGTTTACCCCTGTAGACGAAATTTTGGAAAGTGACCATGTGAAAACTCTTTTACAGTATCTTTTTGCATCGATACGGACACTGCAGTATTTTAGTTTTTTGGGTAATTTTGCTAAATGAAATCCAGGTGTCTTTTTCTCAAGGGATCAGTTTTAGTCACTCGTAGTTTGCAGGCTAGTTTTGAAAGAGACTCGGTAGAAAAAAGTTTACCCATATAACTACCCCAAACTAAGAAACACTTGAAGAAACGCTGCCTCGGTCGATTTTGGAGTTTGTGGAGATTATGACTTTCGTTTAAACGTGGGCAGATTTAGGCACTGGGTTTTTGATCTCGGACCTGTCTCGCAGCAGAAAAAAAAACAATAAAGGCGCCAAAAAACACAACAGCCAAAGGTGATTGCAAAAAAATAGCCTGAAGATGTCAGTAAAAAAGGTACACCAATTTCGTTGCATTCAATTTCGTTTTACGCACATTTTGCTTTTCGTTCGCTTTTTGTTCAGAGGGAACACGTGACGTACGAAGGCTACGTTTTGCTCTGGGATCGCTCGGGGAAGTCTTTACCCTGGGTACCAGAGGTATTTCTCGAGTGAGGCGGGAATTTTTGGTGTTGAGTGAGGCGAAGGAAAAAAAAATTTTTGGTGTTAACTTCACGGAAGTCCGAAACCGCGCTAGAAAAAAACTGTTGGGGCCCTTTTCGCTTTTACCGGGCCGCTGTTTTGTTTTCCATTTTAGAAGGGAGTTTTCACGGAAAAAACCGGAAACCAAAATGGACTTCGCTAGAAACCTTTTCTTGAGACTTTGATTTAAAAATGTGATTCCGGGCCCGTTAAGTTACCGGGACTTTCCAGAAACGGGCCCCTGGCTCCCTTAAGCTCCCTTCTGGCACTAGTCTTCAGACCCAGACCTCCCTCATTCATCCAATATGGCGGCTTTGTGGAGTTCCAATCACGGGCATGCAGGCACGAGGAGCTTCGCATTTAAAACTGGCCTCCTTTCGTAGAACGAAGGTCCATCAAGAGATTTTACTTGAAATCTGACTTAGATGAAAATGATTCGTTTTGAAACGAAGTAGCTGCTGAAAACAGCTGAAAAACATTGATGTTTGTGAGCAACTCATTTTAAGCAACACCAGTGAAAATTATGTCAGCGGATGAAAGAAGTTCTTTGTACTTGCGGTCGCGTTCCAGTGACAGCTTGAAACCTCAGATGGTGTTTGAACTTTTCGAATTGGTTGGTGTGTTAAGAGTACGTCCGCGTGTGTCTCAGCAGTTTTCCAAAGGTAAGCAAGCATGTCTAGTCTTTAGCACGATTTCCTCTGTTTCCTATGGGGCAGTGGAAAATGAAGACTGCAGACTGACAGCGGACTATTTTTTGGGGAGGTTAGAAAACAATGGGACTGTTGTTGTCACGTTCTTATTTGCACTGTGTAAACAATAGTCCGCAATCTGCATTTTACACTGACCGGTTACGTACATCCATAGCTACTTGGGGAGGCAGGGGGGAGGGGGCATAAGGCGGGGGGGAGGTAAATACTGCAAAACCGTACAGAAATACGTATAAACACTGCACAGAGTAACATAAGAAAGCCGCAAATCGCATTGAAATTACCTCAAAATTTCTAAACACCGCGAAACTGCTTGGTATTGTAAAACCGCAATACTGCATCTTAAAATAAAAATTTCCGAGCAAAACTGCATCACTGCAAACCATTATGCCCCCTCTCCTACAAAGCTTGCCCATCGTGCCTGGTACAGGATCATTATGAAATCAATTATTAGTCTGAAAGGTCATCCTTCTCTCCTCCCCCCCCGCCAGATCGGGCAGCAAGGCAGGACAGATGTCTAAATTCTCAGTGTTATAATGCCACCCCGTGAGGACACAGACTAAGTTATGCAATTATGCATAAATATCCAGTTGGCAGGCATGAATGATCTAGCCTCCCACGCAGACATTTTTAGGGGGGCTCGTTTTTCATCCCTCCCCACAAATGCCTGCTCAACCGGAAACAACATTCCTTTCCCATTGTTTTATTTGCGCAGTAACTGACCAATCAACAGTTGTGCAATAAAGTATTGACAGGCTAAACACAACTAAAACGTGACCCTAGAGTCACCGTTTTTCTTCTTTTCTTTCCTTCGCCAAGGTTATGCAGTGCATGGAGTATTCCAAAATTTGACTAATTCTTATTTTTGCTGCTATGAATCTAACATTTATTTCAGGTCCACAAAACTTTCCCAGTGTTTCATGTAGATCGAGTAATTACAGATTATCTTCTGATCAAGGTCAACTTTCCAGAATTTGGAAAGTACAGTGTGATTGGCTAAGCATGGGAAAGGAATGTTGTCTTTGGTTGAGCAGGCGTTTGTGGGGAGGGATGAAAAACAAGCTCCCCAAAAAAAAGCCTGCGTGGGAGGAAAACCTCTGTTGTTCAAGCAAACCTAACATAACGTAAGGTCACATTTCACACTATCACGAGCTTATCAGTGGTGTTTGGCCTATCAACACTTTACTACAAATGACTCGCTGAAACTGTCTTGAACCAATAGCAAGCAGTAGTACGTATAGTCTATTGTCACAGACTAGGCAGGTAATGTTCAATGGTTTGTATACTGCCATTTTTGCAAAAGTCTGTGACATCCCGAGATGGTTTTATAATGCTGGGAATTAAGACATCTCTCTTGCCTTGCCACCCATTGGGTGGTGGGGCGCAGAGACAGATGACATTTCAGATTAATCAATTGTTGCTATCAAGAATTTTGATCTCTAGTCTTGTATACAAACATGAGTGTGATTTGTCTAAGAGGAATGATGGGACCATGCAATCTGCAAATATCAGCAATCCTTGCATACACATTGCATAAGGTGGAAATGGGTCTTATAAATTTTTTTTGAGAAATTACTGGTCAAAGTTCTGGTCACTGTCATCGTGATGGATAAACAGGACAAAGAGTATCTCCTAGTTGTAATCACTACCCATGTGTTTTAAAATGAGAGGGACACTGTTTGACTTAGTTACGTGTCGATACACATTGACCTGTACTCGTAACCTTTGGAATGTGACCTGTAAAAGGAAGAAAGTTTGCAATGGCAAATCCAGAGGGAGGAGGCATGAAGCACGGAAGTCCCTTACCCAAATTCTTAAGTGAACTTATTGCCCTTAATGACAGCCCTGCCATAAAAACTGGTTCCAATATTGTACTCAAATTTAAAGATTCCATTTAGCATTGCTGGTTCTAACCCTAGTTGTTAATGAAATCACACCTTTTATGATTCTTTTTTGGTTTACAGATGATATAAGAAGACTGCCATCTATTGAACAAGCTGTTTGGCATAAGGACAGCAAGTACAATCTGATGGTGCTGCTCTGTAGCAATGGTAATACCAAGTGCAGTACAATGAAACCTGAAGTAGATGCGTACATGTTGAGTTATTTTTTAACACAGGAATTGAATGCATTCAATTTTAGATCATAAGTTTTGGACACAGATAGTTAAATGTAATGGTCGCTGGCTGAAAATGACTGATACAAAACTAGATTGACATTGACAGTCCAGCACCTTTAATAATTATGGGTGAGAGGAAAGGATGAGCTTAAGACAGCAAAAGACCACTTGCAACGTTCATGTTGTAAATTGGAAATCTCAAAGAATTTCTTAAATATATTTTACACTTTATGTGGAGCCCTTTTTTGCATGTTACACTAACTTGAACTTTTTGGTTTGTTTTTCTCCAAAATACAAATGAGCACCATCCTAGAATAAGCACCACACCATAAAATAAAAAATGTTATAGAACCTGCAATACTCTTTCAAGTAAATATGGTTTTTATCTTGAATTTTTTTCTTGGCTATAAAATTGCCACAACTGGTGACAAAATGGTTGAGATGCTGTCATACAGAGGGTTTTTTTTGGAAACCACAATAAACAGCATCTCCTCCCTCCACTCCTTGGCCAATGTTTGCTTGATTATTGCTTCCCACAAGCCTCATGAGTAGGGGTACAACATTGGAAAGGAGATGGGAGAGGGTGGGGGCAGCCTGGGAGGGGTACTGTTGGAAACTGTTTTGAACTATTTTTGATTAGAAAGAGTTTAAAACATTTTCATTTTTGTCATTTTAGCCAAAGTGTCTCAACAAATTTTGTTGCGAATTGTGGTGTGGCTAATAAACCTATTTGATTCTTTTGTGTAAAAGCTTGATTTCCTCTTGAGTTGTGGAAGATATTAAAATTTTAATAATATTCTATATTTGTACTGTGTTTTGATCGTTCCAGGTTCACTGTTGTTGAGGGGAGAAGAGAGAGGCAGACCTCCAGTTATAAAACAAATTTCTTGGTTTCAGGTACCTGTATGATATTAAATGTTATTATCTTCATTATTGAATGAGACCGAGTGTGATGTGAAAAATTATGCAGGTAGAGGAAAGTGTCATCCACTGAGGCCAAAGGTAGAGGTGGATAACAGGCTCCAAGATCTGCATGATTCTTCACATCATAGAAAAGGCAAATTAAATAATAATATTGTTTTATTATTCATTGAAAATAATTTATTTCTATGTTCTTAGCAAGACCATAGACTGAATATTGATTCAACCACTGCCATATTTTACCTTTGAAAGATTAGCTCCCAGTACTTTAGTCCTAACAAGTGAAATTTTATGATCATTTCATCAGAATCCTGCAAAGTGCATCAGAACAATAACATTGGACCCTACTGGCTCATGGGTGGTGTGTGCATGTATGAACAGTTGCCTCTATGTTGTACCTGTCGCTGGTGTCGTCATGGTAAGGTTCCAGTATAGCTGTTGTGAGCTAAAATCTTTCTTCAGTTGAAATCAGTAATTCAGCTATTTTAGGTGAGCTTATTGCTAGGGTTCTTACCCTGGTAACCTAGGCTGATATTCGTATTGAGAAAAATCTCGGATGGCTGGGTCATGTGCATAGAATGGATAATAACAGACTACCAACGCAGCCGTTATACTCTCAACTCTGTTTAGCAATGCGTAATCAAGGGAGGCCTCGATTTGGACTGAAAGATGTTGTAAAGAAAAACATGAAACTTTGGAGAGACGCTGATCTCAACCGATGGCGGGAGAGTGCCAAGGACAGACCTACCTGGAGGAGATTAATTTATTAAACTGTGCTGAACCTTAGAACAGTCTTAGTCGAACGGACCGACTGCACCAGTGATAATGATAATGATGATGAACCTATAGGCTGAATACTGGTTTAACGTGAGAACAGATTTTATCTAAAACACAGCCAACCCTTTTATTGCTAAAACCTGCTCCAAATCACAACTCAGATCTGCAAGTAATAGTCCATCATTGGACAAGGCAAGACCAAAATTTAATAATAGCCCAATTTGTTTGATGAATTCCTACCTGTAGTCTAACATGATGACTGGGCAGTGCAAGTACCAGAGACTATCATTTTTGCATGGTAATTAGAGAAACATAAATCACCATACTTTACAGGTGTCTGTATGTCCAACAAATTTTCTGGTTTGTCCAAATTAAAGAGCACCATGGGATGCTTTATTAAAAAAGTTAGATAACCCAGGTTTATTAGTGTGAAATTTGAATTTACTGTGAACATTTAAAAAGCAAATTTAACATGGGATGCTTTATTAAAAAAGTTAGATAACCCAGGTTTATTAGTGTGAAATTTGAATTTACTGTGAACATTTAAAAAGCAAATTTAATTTGTTCCTTGCTGTCTACAATTTGTTGAATGGATGCTGTAAAAAGTGCAGAGAAAATTATCCAAGAAAGTGCTTTTGAACGAAGGAAAAAGAAACCTAGATTGAAATTTAACTTCGGGCTAGCTATATCCCTTTTTTTCTCAAAGTTTTGTTTATTTTCATTCAGAGCAACACTCATATTTCTTCTGAGTATTGGTCGACCAGGGACATCACTCTAATATTAAGATGTGAAAGACGAGGTAAGAGATTAATATTAATTTTTGGTGATTTGAGAGTGAAGTTTGTAGGAATTAATTTTTACTGGTTTTAAACACTGTTGGTGATTTTTTTTTTTAAGGTCTCCCATCCAGTATTGTCTGGTGGCATAGCGTTGATGATTTGGATATTGGTATCATTGGAACTGAGGTTAGTAATGCGTAAACTTTCATTATCATGTTTAAAGAAAGACTTTCCCTTTTCTAGGCTTGCTATTTTCTTCATGATGGGCTGATGACCAGAAAAGCAGTCGCAGAAATTTTGCAATGTTCTGTGATCTTCCTAGATTGTTCTGGTAGATCTAGTAACGGAGGGAACAAAGCACATTAATTTTTTACATCCAAAATCTGTACAAACCCTGTTATTGGGCTCCTTTTTTTGTTATTGACCTTGGCTTCATCTCAGTCCATAAAAACAAACAAACAAACAAACAAACAAACAAAACATTGCCATTATCCAGTAATTTTGACTTTACGCTTAGTAATGCATAAATGCACATACATGGATAAATTTGCGGAGTTTTTCAGACACATGACGTTTGTTTTTCTTCAGCTTGGTGAGGTATTGTTTGTGGATTTGAGGTTGAAGATGATGGTTGCATCAGTTGAAGTGAAGGAGAGTATCAAGTCCTTAGAGTTGATGCAGGATAAACAACATGAAACCACTGCACTGCTGGTGAATATATTACCTTTTTTTAATTAGTGTAGTCATCATAGTGTCTTTAGGAAATGTCTTCCATGTTCTGTGGTGCACAACCCATCAGCCGAAAATTGATGGTACATCATTTGCTTGACTTACCTTTTAGTTGTAGTGATAATATTATAGTAATCCTTTTAATGATGATGATAATAATAATAATAATAATAACAATAATAACATCAAGAAAGTATCAGAGAGAGCTACTATGACAGAGATTCAAAAGATCTCCATGCTGGGATCTGTGCGAATCCTCAGAAAGGTGCTCAGTGTATGAACAGAATGATTATGACTTTTGCAGTTTCTGATGCACAAAAAGAACACCAGCAAAGACTGTGATAAAAGAGATAATAATAATAGTAATAGAATGTTTTCAATTAAGGCAATATGAACCAAAGGAGACATTGTGGATGAAAGTTTGACGAAAAAGGCTGTATATTTTGAGATCTGAAAAGAAGGCAGACATGACATTGAGAATCAGTTCTTGTTCTTTGATGATGATGACTATGACGACAACAATGATGATGACAAAGACGACAACGGTGATGATGATGATGATTGTGATTGTGTTGAAGGTGATGATGGTGTTCGGACATTGTGATGTAAGTGATGATGATGACAATAATTTTTATGGTTATGGTGATGTTTATAGTGATTGTGGTGATGAAGTGATGATGATGATGATGGTGACATTGCGGATAAAATTTTGGATGGTGATGATGATGATGATGATGATGACAGTCGTGGAGATGACATTGACCGCAATACAGTGGGAGTGGTGGTTGTCCCTTCCCCAGAGTTTGCAATGCATACTGCGGAAGAAGCAATTTGCCTGTGTATATATAAAAAAGGTATTCATTGGTTTTAATTCCCTGTCAGATCAACACAATATCTGGCGACACAGTTCAGATGCAGTTAGAGTGCAAGGCTATGAGGAAAGCAAGTTTTGAACAGATGAGGAGTCCAGTTTCAGCCTCCTTTACAACCTCCATTGCTGTTGCTATGGGTTATGAAACACTAAGCACAAGGACCATACCAGTGGAAAGTGTGTTCTTAGGAATGGGTGATCTTCAGGACAAAATACAACCCATGCCTGTTAAGGTATATATTAAAGGGTTAAGGGAAAATGCTAAGAATTTAATTTTGCAAATATTGAAAAACAGATAAGACTGTGAAAGTGCTTCCAGAGGGGTTTTATTCGACTCAGAAGTTAGAACCAACTTGTACAGTGTTATAAACAGTACTACAGGAAAGTACTGCTCAGTAGCTTCCCGGTGAATGGTAACACTTAGATGATTTCATCCACAGACTCAAAAGTTAGAATTTTTTATTTATAATCCATAATTCATTCTGGTAGTGAAATGATCTTGGACAACGTCTTTGGATACATTTAAATCATTATAAAGGCACCTTTACAGTGAGAATAGTAAAACTGACAACAAGCTTAAGGGTACATGCTTAACTGGGTCAACAGTCATTTTGTTCTTGCGGCATGTGAAATTCATTTTCATGTCAAACAATTTAATCAACCCTAACTGAGTTGAGTTCATTTCTTAACTTTCAGTCCAGTTCTGGTAACATCCAGTTCTCTGTTCAGTATGCGAGAAATCAGGTGTTCATTGGAGCTCGCAATAGAACTACTGATATTCTTGAGGTAAGAAAATGATTCTTCTTCTTCTTCCTGTATTATTGTTGTTGTCATTTTCCATTTTGCTCTGAGTTCTGGCTGTTCTCATGCCAACATACCTCCCAAGGGAGCCTTGTGTCGTAACAAATGACTAATGGTCCCCTAGGTACACTCTGCTGCTACTTAAAAATCAAGCACCTTCCTCAGAATCCCAGGCTGTTCCTGATAGCATAGTTTTTTGTCCAGTTCTAACCCTAACTCTGGTTTTTCATTCCGTTACATCCAAGTTTCTTAGTAACACTAATGTAAACATTTTCAAACCCCACATTCTTCTAATTTCTCTCTTCAAATCCTTATAATTATTTTTCAACTTTTCAAATTATTTGCATGTATCCTACTATCTCCAGGTATAACAATGTCCACAATTATATATTTATAAAAGATTTGTTCTCCTTCTTGCTCACTACAATAATGTCAGTTCTTCTTCTTCTTGCTTTAACAAAGTTATCACATTAGATGTTCATATCCCAGAGCAGCTTTACTTCATCATTCTCCACAACCCCTTCTGGTACATGTTCTAACATTCATTCAGTCGTTCACAAAAGAGCACTAGCATGCAGTAAGATCTAGAGTCATACTAATTTTGTTTAATAAATGTTCTTTCAGATTTATGACATTGATGTAGAAAATTTACCAATGTTTGTTTATCAACTGCCTCCTGGGGCAACAGATGTGTTAGTGACTGACAGAGTGATATTTACTGTTATTCATAAGAAAAGTTCTAGTGAGGTTAGTACATGTAAAATTCTTATTATCCCTTTGTGTGGTTAGGTCAATAATATTTAAACCTTGCATCCTGACACCAGCAGGTTATCCTTGATTGTCCTTTGACATACCCCATCCATGTTTTCTTTGTTTCGGTTCTTCTACATTGCAAGTAGAACCAGTACCAGACCCAACTGACAGTCAACATATGTTCATGCTAGAATGTCCTGATCCTTTCCGCCATACAATGGCTGGCAAAGCTTGATTAATACATTCTTTAGTCTTCTTTTTACTAATAACGTCTGATACATATGTATATATGTAACCCAGCAGATTTCCATACAGCTCAGTTTTAATCTGATCACTTTAACCCCTCCCTGCAAAACTGTTCTTCCCTAACCAAATATTAACACTAACTTCTCTCTAAGGGCAAAATAAGTTGAGTTATGGGAGGGTTGGGTGGGCATTTTCTTGCAATCTTATACCATTCCTAGAGAAATTGGTATAAACTTTTATTAGTAAGTCACTCACACAACTTCAGAGCCCTATAAAGGCAAGCAATTGGTGGTACAGAGGTTTAACCATCTTTACTTTTTTTTTTTTTATCTTCAGACTTTCTTGTGTGTTCAATCCAGTCAGCTAGCTGAGACATCAGTAGCTGTTCCACAGGGCCATCAGGTAATAAAATCTACACGTTAATTAATTTACCAAAAAAGAAATAAAATGAAACCAGGAGATGTTCAGATCCTAGGTGGCACATCAGTCAATAATTTAATTCATTGTTTTTAAACAATGCGTCAACATTTGTCGTATATTTGTCATCATATTATTCTTAGCATGGCGCAGATTGGTCCCTGTTTTCAAGGCCCTATTCATGGCTAGACTTACATCATGATAAGACTAGGTAGTTTATGGTACAACTGTATTCATTGGTCGAGATTTGAGACACTGTCTAGCGATAAAAGTTCTGCTATTTCAGACCTGGTCATTATTCGTCTAGCTTGCACGAAAGCAAACAGTTACAGTAATTTTGTTACCCACCCTCCCTCCCTAATTAAAATTATCAACCTCTTCACTTCTCAGAAAACAGACTCAAGTATTATTCAGACTTTCCTGTTGCCTCCAGGAGAAAAACCAGTTGCCATGTTTCAACACTCAGAGACAGTGGACAGTGTAGTGAATGAAGATGTTGCCTGGATGAATTCTGCCGCCATGTCACAAAGCGTTGATGGTTTGATCCTGGTCACAACATCAGGTGTTTTCCAGTGCAAGCCAAAGACATCACCGGAGAAGTTGTTCCTGGAACTCGCTGTTAACAGTGCTGACACATCAGCAGCTGATATTTTGGCTATCACATCTGGTCTTGATGTGAATAAATTGTATGAGGTGAGTGCACAGGCAGTGATAATGGATTTTAACTCAAATATGTGTCATGTATAATTGTTAAGTAGGAGGAATATGATTGTCTTGGTAAGCCAAGTGTAGCAGGGTCCACAGTTGTGACCGGGTGGTCTCCAATGGGCCTAAAAACTGAAATCTATCAACCAGAATTTCTAAGCTAGTTGCCAGTATGCGACTGGATATTATGTTTTCACTCCAGTATCTTGAAGAGGTATTCAGGAGAAAAGGTTTTGGCTACTACTTTTTGTTCTCCGGAGACCAAAAATTGTTAGTCTAGTCGCCAGATGGCTACCATGATTAGCCTAGTAAAATTAATTTAATTTGGGACCCTGTGTAGTCCTGAAAAAGACTGTTGTTGACAGTGATTGACAGTTCAACAACTTGTGTGGTAGTCATCTCATGAAGCCTAGATGTGAATAAGTTTTGTTAGAGGAATACATGGACATTTGAATCTCCACTATTAAAGGCCACCTCTCCACACCAGCCACCTCTCTACAACGGCTGCTTTTTTTGACGGACAGTCCATACAATGACTCTTGTTTAAACCTGACTCTACAAGGGCCACTTTCTTCAGTCCCCAAGGTGGCTGTTTTGGAGAACTTTAACTGTATGCCACTTTTTACATATATTTTGTGCCAACCCTTAACTTGTAGAGTGTTTTCACATGACGTCACGGTGGCCATATTGGTGTCCCAAAACAATAAAATGGTGGCCATGTTGGCGTCCCAAATCAATCCTGTGGGAGTTGAACTCTTTTCTTATGCAAACACTTTCTTTTATTCCAATAAATTTGCATACTAGATGCTGGCCACGTGAGTGAAAACACTCTATTAGCAAACTGGTATATCTGTGCGCAAACATTTTTTGCACACTTTCATTAGTTGATTAACTATATGTTCACCGTTTATGGCTGCCAATTCAGAACTAAGGTGTCGAAGAGTGTTGTAACTCTTCAGTTGTAGAAGTCATCAGCTGTTTCAAAGTTACTTTTCTCTGATGACCATGCAGGAGCCAGATTGATTAAAATGTCCTAAGAAAAATTTTACATTTACTGATTTCTTGACAATGGCATGTTGTTATGAGACAATGTATCCACAAAATATCTTTATAAGATTGCATCCTTAATTTGGCTGTAGATTCACTTTAAAGTATTATAACATAATTTCTTGCCTTTGATATGAAATGTCTTTCTCTTTTCTGGTCTGCATTTTTGTTTGCCATTAAACCACTAAAGGTCTTGTTTTCTCATTTTTGTAACAGATGGCCGGTGATGAGGCATTGAGAAATGAAAACTATGAGCATGCAGTGGAATTATACCATTTATCAAAGGTAATTTCAACCATGGCGATTGATATACTAGATGAATAAATGTAACAAGCATAAAATGAACAAAATAAACGGTGCTTGCATGCACATGCAACACTCTACCAAGAAACATCAGACAAGCAGAGATGCTTAGGGAATTTAAGATTAAGCTCAAACACCATCTTAGACAATAATACCTGAGTGTACATGTTGCATTGATTAATTATAATTATCTAGTCTCTTTGATGTCTCTAATGTCTTTGTTTAATTTGTTTGTGTCAGGGTTCCATTTAAACTAGCTCTGCTAAATTGGTGCTCCTAGATAAATATTGATTTAAGTAAATCAATCAATCAACTGAAAAGCAAAGCGTAATAAATTATTATAGAAAACATGAAACAACTGTCCTTTTTGGCAGCATCATTATATGGAAGTAAATTACTGCTCTTTAATTTAACTTTCATTCGAATGGCCATACGTTGGGATTTCACCCAGAGCCTGAAAAGTTTAAACCACCTTATACAGCATAGAAAACAGTACCAAAGGAAAGTACTGCTTAGTAGCTTTCATTTGAATGGTCACACACTTTGGGATTTCATAGACCGACTCAAAAGTTAGAACCACCTTGTAAAACATAGACAACAGTACCACAGGAAAGTACTGCTCAGTAGCTTTCATTTGAATGGTCACACTTTAGGATTTCATCCACAGACTCAAAAGTTAGAACCACCTTGTACAGCGTAATAAACAGTACCTCAGGAAAGTCAATAGCTTTCATTTGAATGGTCACTTGAGGATTCCATCAGACTCAAAAGTTAGAACCACCTTGCACAGTTAAATAAACAACACCACAGGAGAGTACTGCTCAATAGCTTTCATTTGAATGGTCACGCATCAGGATCAGAATTCATCCACAGCCTCAAGAGTTAAAGTTAGTTAAGTATGCACATTGGAAAGTGAAAAGCAATATTATTGAGAGCCTCTTGACTGATTTAGTACTGCTGTCTTGATCTGTTTTCTTATTTTGGGTTTATACAGTGCTCATTTGAGAGAAGAGTTTCTCAGTTTGCTAAGTATGGAAGAGTTGCTGATATTCTTACATATCTCAGACAGGTACTTGGTACTTTTGGAATGGCAGAGCATTTATTTTTAATCAGCTTATCTTTCTAACCAAATAGAATCTATACAGAAAAGAGCACTTAAAACAATTTTCCCATATGCTAATGGCCACTCTGATGCTCCTACATCCTGTAAGCTAGTGTGGGTGGAGAAGAACACAGTTATGTACACAGTGTTTTGCAACATGAAGGACCTAAACCATTCTCTTCATCATCTCCTACTGACATCTGCAGAGAATGGCTGTCTATGCACCTTAAGGATTAAATCAGATCAGCTATGTGATTTTTATAAGAATGTTACCACCTGCAGAACTAAGCACACTGAAAACTTTTTTTACTTTTAAGTACTTTTAACAATGTACATAGACTTTATTTATGATATACATAGAATGATATCTTGTCTGTCTATTTCTTTTCATTGTAATATGACTCTTTAATTCTGATTAGTGAATTACTGCAATAGAGTTGAATACACAATGTTTATAATATTGTTATTGTTATTGTTGTTAGTTTATTATTATTAATCTAAGGATTGGTCATGAGGTGGTTTGCTGATTCATACTTCTCAAACTCATGAGTAATTCATAAAGAAAATGCAAAGGAAATTAATGTTTAATGAATGTTTGGAAATCAGATGAAAAACTGCTCATTTTTGCATCCTTAACATCTCATACTAAAATCATTTTGTTTGAGAAGTAATATCACCTGGAAGTTCGTCAAAAATACTCCGCTGCGCATGATATTTTCAACTCTCCTCTCAGTGTTTCATCTGGTGATGAAACACTGCATCTCATTCTTGATATATTACATCACCAATTTTTTGTGAGACTTTTTGCGATGAGGAACGTCAGTGACTCAGGGACAGAAATTCCATACTAATGATGTAAATCAATGTTTTAAATGAATCCGGTAGTCATGGGTTTCCAAATGCAAATTTGTTTAATTTTACGTTTCTCATGGTGGATTTTGGTAAAGTGTTGTGTTCATCTGCGAACGAGCTCCAGCAAAACTCAAATGCTTCTCCTAGAGAAGAATATTTCCACAAAATATTAAGTGTTTTGTTATAGATTCATCACATTTACATTTGGCCTTTATAGTCTTTTGTCTTTTGTCTTTTGTCTGTCATTGTAAACAATAGCTAAAACAATGTAACTACTCCGTTGTTCAATCAGCGCTTATGAGCGGATTCCGGACAGATTTCATGTCATCAGTATGGAATTTCTGTCGCTGAGTCGCAGACGTTCCTCCTCGCGAAACGTCCCTAGCAGCAAGGAGAGAGGAGAAATGGTTGTTTTCACAGGCTAAGTTGTTCTTTCTTCTTGTCATTTTTCAAGGCACTGAGTAAGCACAGTGATGTACATACTGCAGAGAGAAAACACTTGTCCAACCTTACTCTATTCTGCTTCATACAACAGGTCAGTTAAAGTGTTGTTCAGCCTGGTTTTAACTAGCAATGGTAACTCAAGAGTCATTATTTCACTTTGCTAAAAGGCTTTGATACAAGTTTGTTTCTGATTGCCCTTGCTTGTGTAGGCATTCATTTGTACTCAATAATCTCAAGCTTGTGTTAATATACTTACATAATGTTACCTCACTAGCCCAGGACTGGACAGGGGGTTACAGTCAACTCCCTTTACATCAGACACTGTAGGGACCTCGAGTTAGTGTCCTCATTACCGAGAGTCCATAATAGTGGGAGTTTATTTCAGTCAAACATCTGTAATTTTTTTGGCCAATGATTTAGCTGATGTCCGTATTATCGAGGTGTCTGTTATACCAGGGTGTCTGCAAGGCGAGAGTTGACTGTACTTTGGAGTCAAAGTGAAAGGGATGATCAAAGGCAGGAGGTAGTCAAAGCCAAAGAAATCCCTAGAGCTTCCTAAAAACCAAGCAAATCCCTGGACCAAAAATCCTATGCTTAATTTCAATTCTGAGGCGTAAAAAAATTCAATAAGGGATTAAAGTTGTTGATATATATTCCACATTTAAATGCCATTATTTTGTCTGACAGCTAGGTGCACAAGCTGGATTTATTTCACCTCAAAATCTAATTTTTGACAGGTACTTCAAAGCACTGGGGACGTTATTCAACTTGCAATTCTGTCAGAGGCTTTCAGGTAATAGCCTGCAAAAACAACCATATCTCCTTGCTTCTTGTCGCTAGGGACGTTGAGTTTCTGCACCTCACCAACAGAAATTCCATACTGATGACCTAAATTATTAGTGTTTACATAATTAATCTGGCAGTTATCGGTTTCCAAATGTAAATTAAATTTGTTTGATTTTATGTTTCTCCTGGCTGATTATGGTAAGGTTTTGTGTTCTTTGTGAAAGAGCTCCAGCAAAACTTAAATGCTACTTGTAAACAAGAATAAAATTTAACATTTTCCCCAAAATATTGACTGTTTGGAAGTTTGGATTTTCCAAGGGTACTTACCAGTTTGCACCATTCTGTTTGGGAGGTTTCAGAGAAGATGGACGGTGATTTCACACAATGCCATTTTTAGGTTGATTTGGATATACCCTGAAGTGGGAATATTTCTTCCACCATGGCAAATTTTTACATTTATGCACAAGGAGGAGGACATGGGGATTTGTAGTGTTGCTAATTTTTTTTCTGTGGTATTGCTGTGAATAAAATCCCATCTTGTGGTCTTGCAGTGATCTCAAATCATGTGATGTTTTTCATTTTAAGCCTGTGGTGTTTGGTGAAAAAAAATTACTTGTGGACCCTTTTGTGATGTTCTGATTTATTGTTTGACACATTTGACTGACTTACCCTTGTTGAGTAACTGTCAAAACCTATTTACATCATCCCTTTTCCAAGAACCTTTTTAGAACATTTAAAAATCGGAGAACAAAAATCAAATTGTGGTGTTGGTGGTTTATCAGCTTTTTTTGCAGTGATGCAGTGTTCGTTATTTTCTTTTTGTGGCCTTGTGGTGTTGACAATCCCCCAATGCCCCCCTCCAGCTCAAAAGTCATTTCAACTAGCCCCCTCCCCCCTCCCTCCAAAACAAAAATGGGTGAGCAGGATTAATAAAGTACAGTTCTTCTGTAATTTGAGTTCCCCAAAAGACTTCACTTGCCCATCGGGCAAATTAAGAACAGAATTCACTAGCCTAATAGTAAAATGCACTAGCCCTGGGCTATCAGACGTTACTTTCTTTGCACCCTGTGTTGTAAGCACCCTAACTGAATGTACCCATACCATGATTATTAATTTTTGATGTACTTTATAACCTTTAGTCAGTTCCTTAATGACAATTTTGATTATGATGAGTCCACTGCTTTGGAGCAGCTATCAGCATTTGGTCTGAAGAGCTTCATGTTTGATGTAGCCAAGGTATGTAGTTACACATGGTACATATTTTTCATTGTATCAGCCTGGGGCTTGTACATCTTTGTAAGGGACCTTTGGAGGGCTCATTAATGGAGGGGCTCATATCCAAGGGGGCTTATAACTGAGATAAAAAAAAGTGCCTTGAAAGAAGCTACAGTATAGGAGCAGTGGTGATCAAAATATGTTTTGCATTTGCTGGTTTTTAATTAAAAATCTTCAAATGTTGTAATAAATTGATTTTGTTTTCAGAGTGGGTCTTAAAAATAATTTGGAACTAAAGGGAGGTTTATATCCCGAGGCACTTTTAATCAAATGTATTTTTTTGTGTACTGGCCAGGAAATGAGTGTACATCTTGATGGGCTTATAAATGGAGGGGTGGGGGCTTATAGGCATCAGTTTACAATAGCTGTATTGTAATATTGTTGTACGGAATTCTAGAAATATGCACTGAAAACCAATGCAAAACCACGTGTGTGTGCTGCCATTTTATTCACTTCTCTTACTCATCATTCAATATAATTTTGATGGACAGGCAAGAGGCTTAATGCCAAAAACTCTGGACCTCCTTGCACAGAAGGGGCAGTTCCACCTTCCTATTGAGCTGCAGAGCAAGCTGGCATCTCGAGGATTTACAGAAATTATCAGCAAAAGTGCTAATGGTAAGTGGAAGAGGAAGCTAGCTTTTTACAAATACTTTCATTTAGTTTGTTTATATAATACAATTGCATGCCCATATAAGGGCTTAATGCATTCCAGAACGTCCAATCTATTGTGTTTATTTTGCTTGCACAATGTTGACATTTTGATAAATTAATTAAAGTATTTGTATGTTTATATGTTAAAATCTCTAAGCATTAAACTCATTACATGTATGTTAATTAATTGATAAAACATAATTACTTGAATTCCATTTCAATGGATGGTTTCAAACATTTACCTTAATCCTCTTATTGAAAGGTTTTGGCTAAGCTCAATTACTACTTTACCCCTTTGTTATCCTCTAGATCTTCTTACATTTTTAATGAGTTAATAATTTATGTAATTTCAATTAAGGTGCCTTTATTCAGTGTATGGACCCTCAAGAAGCTGTCACATTTTTGTTGACTAAGGTGAGGAAGACTTTAGATTTAAATATTGATTTTTTTGTCCCATCATTTCTACAAGTGGATGAGAATTGCCTGTTGGAGCAGGGCTGGAAAAAAGTGCTGTCCAGTCATCCAAGTAGAATTTCCTGTAGGGCAAGTAACATTTCATTTTCACTTGGGCAAGGGTGCAGGCAAGTTGTCTGCCAACTTAATTGTTTTTAAAGACTTGCCTAGGGGAAGGAAAATTTGAGAGCTACGTAGGAGCAAGTTTATACAATTCGAATTTTTTTAGCTATGTGGAGGTTGTGATGTAACGTTTCATCATTGCTTTATTTTGCAGCCTGAGACCATTCTTAGCCACATGAAGTTTCTTCTATCTCGTCTGACTTCACTTAATGAAGAAAGTCTGGTACACATTGCTCGGGTGTTGGATCCGTCGCGCCCGTCATTCAGGTCTCTGGCAAGTAAAGTCAGGCCACCCAGGCAAAGGTAAATGTCAACTTTCTCAGGATAATTTTGCTCCTGATTTTTGACCAACTACATGCTTGAAGGGAAAAGAAATAGAACCATGTTGACGTTATTTATTGTGAGAGTGGTGGTGGTAACAGTAGTGATAATGATAATGGTGACGATAGCAATAATGATGATGATGATGATGTAGTGCTCCAAGCTGTGACCATTTTGGTTGCCACGGTGAGTAAAAAAAAATTTGGGCGGCTAAAATTGTTGTAAAATTCGCCAATTTGGTGACCTGTCATCAGGAATCACATGCCAAGCTATTCCCAAGAAACTTCTCGAGAATTTGTGAGATATGTTTTCCTATTAGTTAGTGATTTTGCTCTGTTTTCTTGATTATTTGCCTAATTTCACCATGGTTCTCAGGTTATTAAGCCTTGAGATGTCCCGTGCACCTCTAAATTCAATTGTGATAGTTGGGCAGCCATTTTGATTCTTTCAAAGGCTCATGTAGTGTTGCACAAAGTGTCCCTTTTTTTCTGGTGACCATTTTATAATTTTAGGTCGCCAAATTTGACTTTGAACAAAGTTGATCTTGGAGCACTGTGATGATGATGTTGATGATTATGATAGTGGTGGTGATGCAGATATTAATCATGGTGATAATTCTGATGACAATGGTGATGATGATGATGATGATGATGATGATGATGAAAGTAATGGAAATAAATTATTATCATTGTATTATTATGAAAGTGATAATGACAATGGTGTAGTATACTAGATGATTACTCATGCTTGATAACATTTTGCATTCTGTTATTGGTGTTTTTTTTTTCCCTAGAACAGCTTCAAGTAGTTCAATCACTTCCTTGATTTCACTTGAGAGTGTTGTAAGCTTTGGGCAGGTCAGTTCTCTCTCATTATGTTATATTTTTATTACTATATTATTTGTACTAGCAATCAATGAATGGACTTACTAAATGTTTTTTACCCAACCACCTTTTTATCTACCGTAGAATACATCATTCAGGTTGCAAAGAAAGTCAGTTTACGTCTTGCCATTGGGGCAAGTTGTTGCTAGTATGTGCTAGCCCAAAAAAATTTTTGATAAGCAGCATTGATTACAGTTCTTTTGTAATTTGAATTTCCCAAAAAACTTCACTTGCTCTTAAGGCAAGTTAAGAACAGGATTCACTATTCTAGCCCTTTTGCAAAATCCACTAGCCCTGGGCTATTGGACATGATTTTTTTTGCATGCTGTTTATTACCCACATCCATCTATCAATGCGGTTCCTGTCTCCACTGGATAACAGATATGTCACCCTCTTTGCGCTAAGTACATTGACATTAAAGTAAAGTCTTTTTTAAAATCTTTTTCTCAGGACGAGAATAAACAGCCATCACTTCAAGATATAATTGAGCTGTTTCTTTGTTCTCTTTTGGTCTTAAACCACATCAGAGATCAAAAGTTGGATGCTATGACAAGGCATGTCTGAATTTTTTTAAAATTATCTCTTTTGGTTTATTTTTTTTTAAAACAATAATTGTTATTATCCCAAAGCAGTGATTCATCTATGTGTAGAAACCAGCACTAGCTGTAGTGAGTCCTAGGACACACACACAAGCACCTACAAAACTGTGAGTCCCTGATAAACGAGGCGAAGCAAATTTTCAAGCAATCAGAAGCGCTTTCCAAATCTGGGTAGGGACACGTCATCAGTATGGAATTTCTGCACTCATTTTTCAGACAGCAATTCGCAGGGAAACCAGTTGTAACATTGTAAAGTGTCAGCTGTTTTCTCAGGTTACCCTGTGCATAAGTATATAACAAGTGGACAGTTAAAGATATTCTTCGTTTTATCTCAGTGCGGAGCAATTAAAACTGCATAAAAGATTTAATTCAGCTGTTACCTCCTAATTATGAGCAGAAAAGAAGTTCATTGTTCATTCAAATGAATGGATAATTTGTGCATATTTAAAAAAAATTCATCCAAGATGTGTGGGTGTAGGTCAGATGAATCTCTGTAATAGACATTTTCCCTTTTTCCCAATTTCAAGATACTTTAAAAATTCATGCATAAGGTACATTCACTAAAATAACTGACAAAAGATGTTAACAAAATCTATTCTTCTATCTTTCATTTCTAGAATTTCAGCTGTTAAGTGTATTTGTGGAGGAAATCAAACTACAGAAAATGGATTTGGAAAAAAGAGGGTAAGATAAACGAACATCATTTCTTGCAAAACTGAAAAACAAAATTATCAGTGCCTTGAAAAGGTACTTTGTAGTGGCGGATCCAGGGAAGGGGCCTGGGGGGGCCTGGAGCCCCCCCCCGTTATTTTTAGACCAAAATGAGGTCCGAAGGGCGAAACAATTTTTTTTTGGGGGGGGGGGGGGGGGTCCCCTCTTATCTTAGGGTCTGGAAGACCCCCCCCCCCTCCCCCTTAACTGAAGGTCTGCAACTGCCTCTGCTTTCCAATGGAGTGTTTTCACTCACGTGGCTAGCATCTATGCAAATTAACTGGAACAAAAGAAAGCGTTTGCATAAGAAAAGAGTACAACTCCCACAGGACTGGTTTGGGACACCAACATGGCCGCCATTTCATTGTTTTGGGTCACCAATATGGCTGCCGTGACGTCATGTGAAAACACTCTATAGCTTTCATGCTGTGTTGTACTAAGGTGGTTTTGACTTATCAGTCTGTGACTGAAATCCTTTGGCGTGACAATTCAAATGTCAGAAGACTATAGCTACTGAGCTGTACTTTTACCTTGTGTGCTTAGTTCTCCCATTTCGTTCAAAATTAATGTAAATATTTCCTCAATGAGAGAGAGAAGAGTTGATAAAATTAATTGGATCTCTTTGATTTGCTGTTCACAGCCAGAGAGCACAGTGGAGTTCCTGTGCAGGCCTGTGAGGTTGTCCTGTGGCCAGCAACACACTGCTGTTGTAAGCTCCTCTGGGGATGTGTACACATGGGGGAGGTCACAGAAAGGAAGGTACATAAAATAATGTCCATATTTATAAACATAGGTAGAGAATTAAACTGGACAGCCATAACTATATCAATAATTATTGCTCTTTTATTTAATCTGATGGAACACACTTTCTTAACTTTTGCTCCATGCACTGTATTCTTTTCTTTTCTTTGTTTGTTTGTTGATGATGAATTTATTTTTATAAAAGGAACCTGGAGGGCAGGAAGAAGCGAGGAACTACAAGAGAAATCACCTCCCCTTGCTTTTTTTCTAATTGTATATATTTTGAGAGTTAATTGAGGTTTTTTAGGAACTTTTTTAAGTATTTTTTTGTTAGAGCATATTAGAACATAATTATTTAAATGTTATTTTTACACTTTGCAAATAATAAATAATAATTATTATTGTTATTATTATGTTACTACATATCATGTATATCTTAATCCTGTACCATCCTGTTCTGTTTTATTATTTTTAAGGTTGGGCCATGGTGATCTGATAGAGGAAGAAGGAAAATCCATTCCTTTCAGAGTAGAAATCCTTCACATGCATAGGTATTTTTCAGTTAAGCCTTTCACCACTAGACTGAATTAATTATTGTGAGACGATTTGTCATATTTTTAACATTTTTCATCTGTAGACAATATCCTGTGGCGCTACCTCAAGCGAAACCTCTTGGGCCAAATATTTCATTTTGCATGGTACTATTTAGGTTGTGTAAATGTTGTTGTTGAAAGCTTAACCTAAGTCATCTATTCTCTTTTCACTTCGTTCTATCCATTAGGTAATTCAATGGTTGTTTTCTTGAGACAAACTTTTGTCAAATTGAAATTGAAATTGAAATATTTACAGGGCCTATAAACAGTGATTTTGTTACAAATAGTATGGTGAGTCCTGGGACTCAGCTTGTGAAAAATCATGAGTCCCAGTCCAGAACCAGTGAGACCCAGTTAAAAAAAAGACTCTGAAATTTAAAATGCTTGGGCCTTTATGTAACCAGGCAGTTTTAAGACAGACTCCAAAACTCTGTATTACAGTATACTTAAATTAAAATATAGTCCTTTTATTATTTTTAAAGCACAACCAAGGTTAAAAGAAGTACGCATTATTAAACAACAGCCATTGAAATAACTTCTACAGAAATTAAATGAACAGGCCGGATATTTCTACAAATACACATGTTCAGATTGATCTATCGATCAATCTTTGCGTCCCACGAGACACATGCCATGAATTATTTTGCGTCTTTGGGGATTTTTATGCATCAGGGACACATGATGCAGAGGTAACAAAATTGCTGTATGAAGGGGAAATAAACACCTGCATGATATTATTTGGATAATTAGACATAAGAGCTATGATAATCTGTTTGTACTGACTAAATTCTGTTTTACTTAGGGCATGTTTGATTAACTGTATTCTGGATTAAGAATAAATGGAATAAACTCTACGTATCATTTATTTTGGTTTGGATTCATTTTATTTTTTGGTTTGTTTGCCCCTAAATTTTCATAACTTATTGTCTTAAAATATGGGAAAATGCAAATCAAAAAAAAAAATGGTTTATGCAGAATTTGGGGGGCAAAAAATAGATATTCCAATATAATTATAGAAAGGTCCTTGAAATAGGATCATAGTGCAGCCTCTAAGAGGTCCATGGAGCATATAGTACAAGAGATTTGTAACAAAACTTTTGCACATTCTTATTCTGGGATCCAATCAATCGAATGCACGGTCCTTAGTCCAGGAATGTTTTGTTGTTGCAGGATTAATGTGTTATCTGTAGCTTGTGGGTTGGAACACACTCTGGCACTGTGTCGTGATGGGGTAAGGCATTTTAATCTTCTTCTTAATCTAGAATCATTTTTTATTATATAAACACCAATGAAATACCAAGTGAGCTTTCGCGCAAAAACTTGATATCTTCACATGTGAAAATATCACCGTTGCTATGGCTACATAATAAATCGCACCTTTCACACCAAAAAACTATTTAAGTAAAATGGTTTGGTATTTCATTGGTGTTTATATAATAAATAGAACATTACATGGTCGCTTGGAGATATGAAATTTCTCTTCGAGTGTTGAAAAATATTTCACTAGTGAGCGCAGCGATTTTTTTCAACATGAGAAGAGAAATTTCGTATCTCCACACGGCCGTGTAATATCCTCTGTTTATCTTTCTTTACCCCAAAGACAGGCATTAGTGGTAATGAAAAAACAAACAAAAAAAAATACATGTAGGGATTTTGTTACGAATAGTTATGGTGAGTCCTGGGACAAATCTGGTGAAAAGTCATGAGTCCCAGTTAAAAAAAGTCTGAAATTGAAAATGCTTGGGCCTTTATGTAACCAGACAGTTAATCTGAGGACAGACTCCAAAACTCTGTATTACAGTATACTGAATGTGACCACATTGAGACAACAAAAATGAATTTTACGGCTGCGTTTTTCATAGATAAACCAGTAAAACTAGAAAGTTAATCATGAAAGTACTAAGTAAACAAGAATACAAACTTAACTGAAAATTACAACAGCGAAATAATAAACCAAATAAAAGAGGAAAACGAAAGAAAGACTAAAATTATTATAAAAATAAAGAGTCCGATCATCAATTTTAAACCACAAGAAACGGTCCTGTAGCAGCCACACTGAAATTAAAATAAATAGTTCTTCTATTTTAAACCACAACAAAGTTTAAAACAAATATGCATCATTTAACAACAGCCATTAATAATAATTGCCACAGACATTACACAATCAGGCCGGATATTAATTTCTACAAATACACCTCATGTTCAGATCGTTCGATCGATCTTTGCATCCTTCAGGACGCATGCCATGAATTATTTTGCGTCTTTGGGGATCAATATTATTTTTATGTGTCAGGGACGCAGGATGCAGAGGTGGTAAAATCACTGCATAGGTCAGTCATGACCCTCCTGGGCTTCTGTAAATGAAAAATTATTTCTGAACATTTCTTTTACTTAATAGGTTTATTCTTGGGGTTCTTCTGAATATGGCCAGGTATGTGGCACCAAGAAAAGTTTGTTACTTAATTTGTAAGACAGAGAGAAAATTAATAATGAGGATGTGTGTGTGTTGGCGGAAAATTTGCTTGTGAAGTATTATAAAAATTAATTTATATAGAGATGCAGTATTTAATACTGTGCAAGGCATATTCAGTTGGTTAATTGGTGGCTTCTTCTACCTCAGATCAATTAATTTTTGAAATTCCACAACAATTTCACAGCTGAATTCTGAATAACTTTCTAGTTATGGACTCCAAACATTTCTCTGAAATTTATTTGGCATAATGTATTAGATCATTTAATTCTGATACAAGAAATCAGCCGTTTAAGCAAAATTTTTCACAAGACTGCTTTTCTTTGAAAAGTTAAGTAGGGTCGACTCTTAAAGCATTGATTTTGTAAAAAATATTTACCAGTAAAATTTGATTGTTATTTTCATATTGTTGGAGTATGATAGCTTTAGTTTGTCTTTAAGTTTTGTATTCATTACATTAAAACTGAAACAGATATCACAAAAGGTCACCATAGTTCAACGTGCCTTCAGAACTAATGTTTAAAAATTCACTTATCGTCTCTAGCTTGGCCAAGGAGATACACAGCAACAGACCCGCCCTGTTTACATCACTGAACTGTCAGACAAGAAATGCATAGCAGTGACATGCGGCCATTATCATTCTATGGCACTGTCTGCGGACCATCGGGTGTGGTCTTGGGGATGGGGTGTCCATGGACAGTTAGGAGTGGGTAGCATTGAAGATAGTCTCCTGCCCACACATGTGACAGCACTGGATGAGTATGAAGTCACTCTCCTAGCAGCAGGTTACTCCCACAGTGCTGCACTCACATCACAGGTGGGTAATTTAGTATTGGGGGTGTTTGTGGGACTGGCTGGGGTGTTCATAGACAGTGAGAAGTGGGTGGCAGTGAAGATAGTCCACTGGCCGCACATCTAACATCACTGGATGTGTATGAAGTCACTTAGGCATGCGCAGTTATTTGCAGGACACATGATGGGCGTTCAGCCAATGAAAAGGAAGAAAAGTTTGCATTGAATGGTAATATTTTTTAATTGCTATTGATAATAGTTATTGTTACAGTTAAATGTATTTTGTTAATCTCTTGCAGGGGCAAGTGCTAACATTTGGAGGAGGTATATAATTTTTAATATAAGCTTGTTAAGAGGAAAGAGAAGTTAATAGAACTGGAAGTGTGCTGCCTTGTGAAAAAAATGTAAAACCCAAGTCTAAGCTGTACCTTAATTCCCCCAGAAACTGATTAAGGGGCAACCCATTTGACTTTTAAGGGGGGAAGGGGGGTATGGGTGATTTCAGAAATACCTGAGGAAAAAATATCTGCACTGAAAAAATATTTCTCATGACATATAATACTGGAAAAAATCTTACACCATGATATGTTGGGGAAAAAATTATGATCTCCAGAAGTTTGGGGAAAAATAATTCTTTCCCAAACCAGATCACCTATACACACCTAAAGCCAGCTTATTGTAACAACAAACAAAATTTTTATCTGATTCTGTCTTTGCTCTGTTCTTCTTATGTACCACTTTAACAAATATTTTGGCAATATTATTTGATCTGCTTTAGGGCTGTATGGTCAACTAGGGTTAGGAACAAACAGCAAACAAACACTCCCTCAACTGGTGAAAAGCTTGAAAGATGAGAAAGTGTATTTGATCAGTTGTGGATCATTTGAGACTGTAAGTATATTATAATAGTCAAGAGATTAATGTTATTTCTTCACTATTTTGGACAGTTCTTTCCTGGCATATTTTTTCTTAACTTGCGAATAATTATTATTGCTCTCAGATTGCTGTGACAGAAGACCAGAAAATCTTTAACTGGGGTAGAAGCCCACACTTTTTCCGATTTTATATGGTGAGTACAGTTTTGTACTTAATTTTATTTTAATATCTGTCAGAAAATCTATGCTTCCTGTCCCTTCAAAAAATAATTGTGACTGTCCCACAGTCCCACCCCCCCACCCCCCACAAAAAAAAAAGCTTATCTTTAAAAACAATATTGTTGTAGGGAGACCAATGCTCTGAACCAGAGAAATGTAGGTTACCTAGGTTATGATTTTTATGAAACAAAATTAATTGAGATTTTCTAGTCTTCCTAGAGCAAAACTAAGGTGCAAGGGGCCACTGGCCAGACATAATATTATTAGGGAGCTTAAGCAACAATGATGGTGACGGCTGCAAAAACCTCACTTGAAAAAAGTGAATTTGTGCTGCCTCTAACTTTATCGCTCTTATTCCATCTATTTTAATTCTTGAGATGTTGGCAACTTTTTTTGAGTTGAATTCTAAAGGCCTGTATCAAATTTCAAGACAAGAAAAGAAAGTTGTTGTCTTGTGTTCCTGTCCTCGGCAAAATGTGAAATTAGGCAGTTTCACTTTGTAGTCGTGCAACGACGGCAAAGAAAAGTACAAGAAAGCGTGATGCACTTTCAAAGTTGTTGTTTGGCAAATATAAACCTATTGCTTTTTTGCTGTTCTCCTGGCCATTGCCGTCGTCGTTGTTTAAGCTCCCAGATTTTTTAATGGAGGTGGTGCAGGCTGACGATCATAAAATTTTTCCTGACATTTAACAGGTGTATTATATTTTTAACAAGTAGCAATATCCATTCCCGTAAATATGTTGTTAATTGTAGTTTATGTTTGTGTAATGTTTATTTTCTGTGTATTTTAGCGCCCTGAGTACCGTTCCAAGCGTTCTGCGCAGACCACTCTTCCCATGAACTCATTATCACACCGTTTGCTTCCTGAGCACATGAACTGTACCTTCTCTTCACAAATTAAGGATGTAAGTGATCATATCGTGTATCTAATATATAGCCTTAGCCAAGGCCAATGTCTTTCTGCATTAATTCAACTTTTTTCATAAGCAGGAAGCAAACAGGATTCCTCCTAAAATAAAGATCAATGATTGTTGAAGACCAATAACTGGTCAGCAGAGAATTTAAAAAAAACATGTCACCTCAATAAAATGTGGACGTTAACCTGCAATACAGTAATGTGACACTTGTTAGTTTGCAAGTTAACGGGACTCGACTGTACCTTTTTGACAGTGTCTAATAGCAAGTTTAACACAGATTTTAGTGGAACTCCACACGTGCACAAAGCGCACGCGAGCAGATGGAGCCCCATACCTAAGAAAATGTGGTAATCTATCCATTCAAGAAATTTGGGTAATCATGTGACCGTCTGTCCGTCCATCTGCACGAGAGGGAAACCAATGTGAAATGTCAAACTTTCTAGCTAGTGTGGAAGCCTGTAACCTGTGTTTAACTTGATATGAGACATCCATATTATGGTCAAATGACAACTGTCAAAAAGGGTATCCACTGATCACATGACCATATCGCGGGCTCAGGTGGCAACTTCTCAAGGTCGTGTGTGGCATTTTGAAGTTTTCCGCTGACCAGTTAATACCTTTTTGATCGCAGTCTCAAGTTTATATTTTTCATGTCATATGGTTCTCCCTGAATGTTAAGTATAGATTTGAGAATTTCTTTGTAATGGTTTAAAATCCATTGTCTGTAGTAAATTTAAAATGTACAAACAGGAGCTTCACTTTTAGCTCTGGCTAAATCTATATATTAGCTTGGACTCCAAGCTGGTAAGTGTGACATTTCACATCTGCTAACATGAAAGGGTGGATGTATGGATAGGCGATGTTGTCAGAACCAAAATTTCTTGGATGCATAAATAATCAAATTTTATTACCCTGGGTGCTCCGCCACACACAAGAAGACACACAAGAGCTCCTTTATGACTCACAGTAAAATGCGTGCACAGACATGTCACCTAAACATTTGACATGGCCTTGTTTCAAGTTCTGCTTCTCCACTGCCTTGTTCCCAGATGTCTTTAGCCTGAGAAAACGGCCAACTTTTCACAACGCCACCACTTGTCTCTCCAGGAAAAGATGTCCGAGAATGAACCCAGAAATTCCATACTGATGACGTATCACTGCTAACCCTGATTTGGGTATTGCTTAATTCTGGAGACATCCCCGGTGTAATATAATTTATTTGTTTTCCTTGTTTTATAGACCTTTGTCAGTGTTAGATTCATTGTTAAGGATGTTTTGTTTTCTTTGTTTTATGTCAGCTGTAAGTAATAAATTATATAACACCAGAGATGAGCCTAATTCTGATTGTTTGTGCTTTGAGGGAAATTTTCTTCAACCTATCAGAAGTACTACTGTACCTTGACCTGTTCACAGTGGTTAGGTTTCCCTATGTACACTGGCAAGCTTAGGGTGCTTTCCATTTGTCAGAACTGACCAGCAGACCATTCCTGTTGTAATAAGAATTTCACTTTTAATCAAAACTATCCAGCCAGATCAGTCAAATCCTAAATAGTATGCATGAAGGAAATGGTTTTTAAGCAAAATCCTTTGGAAAAAGCCGATTTCATTTGCTAACTGACTGGTCCGGCAATTGTCCTGCTGGCCAGTTCTGACAAATGGAAAATGCCCTTAGATAATAATAATAATAATAACTTTAATAGTAACATCCTCGTGAGGTTTTTCAGGAACTATTTACAAACTATTTACAATTTATAAAAGCAAAAATGACAATAAAAACTCGAAATCACAATTTATGATGGTATTCTACTAAATGTATAGCGGAATCTGCAAAGAGTTCCATGTACGAGTGTTACAAGTATGAGATCAAACCAAGCTGTACATGTATACTAAGTGGTATTCTGTCTTGTTCTAAAGGTGTGCTGTGGTAACTGGCATTACATGATACTGATGGAATCAGGGCAGGTCTACAGCTGGGGATTCAATGACTATGGTCAATTGGGTCTGGGGAGTAAAATGGACAGACAGGTATTAAGGGCGTGGCATGGGGGGTGGTGACTCCCCGTGGAACAGGAGACCATCACCTGAAGCATGCAATAAAAAATATATTAACAATGTACATGATGATGGGAGTTTTAAAATAGCAGAATATTCTCTCCATCAATTGATCCTTCTAGGCCATCTAGAGATCCATATCACTCTTTAAAAACCTAATGATGATATCAGAATCCTCGCTCAGGGTTATTATGTTGCTATCATTAGTCTATGCTTACTTTGAAATTGACACTGAACAAGATGAAATACGCAAAAAGCCTTGTTAATCAAGCAATAAACTGAATGAACTGAATGATTTTACCCCTTTTTGCTAATTCCTAGTATTTTGGAGGAATTAATAATAATAATAATAATCTTTATTTCTTAAGATAAAATTACATATCCTAAGTTACAATATAAACTCAAAAAACTATTTAGTATACATATCATATCTAAAAATTTTTCTGTTACTAAAAACGTTCTTAAACCTGTCAGTGTAGATTCTAGGGACAGAGACTGACGTATTTCTAAGATTGTATTTCTAAGATTGTGGGTGGCATCTGTCAAGACAGCTAGGGGCATCTTAAACATTTTTAACATAGAGGGGGTGTTGATTAGATAAGATTATCTTATTTTATTAGGCCATTTACAGTAACAATATTTTAACTGTGCTAAAACTACACTTTTAGTGGTGTTCATTAGAACACTATAATTATGAGGTAATGATGCAGCTATAAAAAATGATGTTTTTCCCCTACATCTAGATATCTCCCAGACTACTCCACAAACTTTCTAATAAGTGTATCACCATGATCAGTACGGGTGCAGAATTCTCTGTTGCCATGGATACTGCAGGATTGGTGTATGTCTGGGGCAGAGCTGATTCAGGACAGGTAAGATAAGAAGGTATACAAACACTTCCATTACCCACAGAACTTTCTATGACCCCTTCAGTGTCCGTATATTACGGGGTTTGACTGTACTATTCTTGCTTGCAGCTGGGTTTGGATTTCAGTTGCATCGGTGCCAATAACAAGGAAGTCTCAGTGCCTTGTCAGCTAACAAGTCTTCCACCACTGAACAGAAAGGCATCCATCTCAAGTGAGGTAAAATACAAAAATCAAAAAATAAGTTTAATTCACCATCACATCTTTATCATTTTGCACATAAGCACATATATTTGACATTCTAGTCGTAGCAGTGTGCAGGATGTTAGCCTACAAGCAAGCTCTCCAGGGCACTCTGGTGGCAGGGCCAGAAAAGGAAGGAGAGCTTGCAACTATGTCTCTGGAATTTGAATATCTACGTGGGAAAATTTGATGTGAAATGCTGATTGGCGGAGATGACATGAGTAATATGATGTCATTACCCTTGGTGCATGCTTTCATATGTTTTACAATTTTTGTTTACATTCGGACTTGTCTCCACTTGGCGGAAATCTGACAGCTCAGTCAATGGAGAGCCACAGGGGAATTGGAGGTGGAATTCAAATTCCAGAGACATAGTTGGAAGCTCTCCTTCCTTTTCCCACCCTGCACGGCTGCCAGAGCACCCTGGAGAGCTTGCTCACAGGCTAGCAGGATGTTTGTCTCTTGAACCAAGTTTAGTGGCCTTAACTCCAACAAGTCTCCAGTAGCTCAGGTGGTAGAGCATCTGGACTAGTAACCAGAAGGTCATACGTTCGACTCTTACTGGGAGGATTCAGATTTTTTTCTTTCAAGTCGCTTGCGTCACTGACTGAGAAATCATCCTTCTCGTCAAAATTCTTATTTCAAGGTTTTGTCAGATTAACCCATTTGCCTCCGAGTCACCTGTAACCACCCGTGAGGATCCACCTCCTCTCTACCACTTGTGGCATGATCAGTTTTAATGGTCAAGGATAACTTTGTCCACTAACTTGTTCAGAGTGAATAGATCTTTCAAACCATACCAAAATGAGCACGATTCAGTCAAGGACACCAGAGAAAAAGACAAAAAATCATGTAACATTGACCAGAAAATTTGCGTGAAAATCTTGTTACACTACCCACCTACCTCTCCTTTCAATCCAATCCTAAGATCCTAAAAGCTTTCCTTAAAACTTTCCCCACCAAAATGAAGCCTACTACATGCCTAGCAAGAGAAAAACAGCTTTGTGGTAAGTTTTAGCTCCTTTTAGCACAGCAGTAACCAGAAAACCACTCGACTAGCTTCAAAACGCATTTTTTGACAAAATTAACCTTCAGGGGTCAATGGGTTAACTTTGAAACGAAAAAATCTCCAGATGTAGTTTTCTAAAAAAATAATGTTGACAAACACTTCCTTCATGATTGTATCCTTACAAAGTGGAACACACTTTTTGCTTTGATCATTTCTGTGTTACTGCATTCAGTAACATTATATTATATTATCCACATGCTTTCTGAAAACATTACATTTTGTAATAATAAAATTGACTCACAGCAAGTATGATAACCATCCACAGCACCATTTAAAACATGAATGTGATAACTGTCTCTGATTGATAATTATTTTCTCAGCACTCACAGAGATCTGATCACAATCTGGATCTGGAAATTGAGTGGGATCTGCCAGATCTCTCTGCAGTGGGTAGGTGCCATTTTTTGGTTTTTACTTTTTTCTGTTTTCTTTACCTGCAGCACAGGGCCAATATATTGTAGCTGAATTGTAGAGTGCTGTCCACACTACAAGATCTCGTGGCAGCAAATTCTGTGGACCTTAAAAAAAATTAAGTAAATATGGTACTGTGGTTGCCCTGTGTAATGGTTAGACCTCTTGATCTGCTTGGCTTGGATGACCACGATAGACATGGCAACCCTCTCTCACCCTGCAAGCAGAGCCTGCTTTATTCTTCTTCAGTGAGGAGAAGGAGGAGAAGAAAACGAGGTTCAGCCTGAATTACTTCAAACCTTTGAGGTCACTGTAGTCCAAACTGTTGGACTAGGCAAATCTTGTTTCCCTTCCTCAAATTTTTTTTTTGGTTTAAGCATCCCTTCATTGATTTGTCACTGAAGCAAGCTCACGGTTATTAGACCTGTGTCTAAAGCTATGTCTTATTATTTAGTAACATGCCGCGCATGCTCAACAAAGATCTTACTTGATTCATGCATCGAGAAAGCATATTAATTTAAAGATTAAAAGGCTATGCTGGCAGGATGATCCTGTCTATGCGAAAGCGGTTTTTGCAATGTTATTTCTTTGTTCCAGATGTATGGATGCGGTGAATAACGAGAACTTTTTTTTTCTTTTTCTTTCTTTTTTTTGTTCTGGAACATAATTATTCTTGACTTAAACTCACTGCAAGATGTTGTAATTTTGTATACTAGGAAACAGATTATTTCCTTATGGAAGAGAAGCAATGAATGTAGCATTATGTCAGCTCACCGAACAGTATGCTGCACAACCAATGATCAGGTATATAGTGGCAGTTACATCTTCCTGTTTATATAGTTATTTATTTTTTAAGCATTAAATTTAGAGCGTCTTTTAGTTCTTTTGTTGACTATTTTTATTGTCTTGTTTTTGTGTCGTAAGTGAGTAGCTGAAATCGCTTAATGCACCTACTTCCCAACCAGTCAGTGTTAAAACTGGAAGTTCAATTTTCCCACACATACTATGGGCTGAATTTATTTGCTTCAAAATCTGAATTGTTTGTTTTAGTTTCCTCTGGAATTGGATTAAAGACATTAATTGGTTTAATTTGTTTTCACATTCCTTGATTGTTAGGAGGGATGTAGGGGTCACTTGCTGGTCATGTTGTATGGAAACTTCTGTGATGTCTAATTTTGCTTGCTGTTACTTGTTGTTGTATTTATTTCTCAGGGTTTATATCCTTGATGAACAGTCAGATTTAAAAAAATATAAGATTCAGAACAATTTATTGATATTGGCAGTAATAAAGGGATAAGTCTTATTAATTTTCCTGTCTGGTATTTTCTAGACACTGCTTGGATATCAAGGACTATCTTGCAGCTGCGGTTGTTTATGAAACTCTTGGAGAATGGCCTCAGGTAACTAAATGTGACAGTGAAAAAGTGAAGCTTCTGAGTTCTTGTTTTTAATGGCCCAACCAATCATGGTCATCATGTGGAACATGTATTGACGAAAAAGGTGTACATGCACCTAGGTTGTTAGGGCCCAAATGGTGGGAGCTGAAACTTGTTTCTGTAGCATAGTGCACCGAGAAGTATTGCTGCTCCCCGCTGGATGGGATGCTACTTGTAGCCCATTACAAGTTTACCCCCAGCAGTATGTTGCCACTTGTACACCTGGGTGAAGAGATTCAAAGTGGAGCAAATTTTTTGGTGAAAGGAAACAATGCAATGACAAGGCTTGAACCCAGACCTCAAAGATCTGAAAAGTTCAGCTGGTGTTAACCACTCAACTACCACACCTTCACACATGCATAGAGTAACCAAAGTAAAATGCTAACTCCATGAATCACTCCTCATGAAAGGCAAGTCAGTGTCAGAAAATCTGAAATTTCATGCACTTTAATTTATTGTGGTTACACTTAAGATCTTACAATGGGATTTTCTCTGGACACTCAAGAGTTAAGACTACAAACATTATACTTCTCCAAAATGATTATGGAGACATACAACAGAGACATACAATTTATTATTGATCCTGGTAACAAAAATAAATGGATTTTGATAAGCTTCCTAATTATAAGCATTTTTTGGTTTGGCCTAGCAGGGGGTGGGGCACTTCCTAGTAATAGGCTGATAGTGATGTGCCGCTGGATGGGGTGGCATTTTTACAACTCTGTTGACTATAAAGGGGTTGTATTTTCAATAAAGTTACTAGAATGGGGCGCACATTGTCAGGATTTTGGGGGTAAGAATGTTCCGGTTATTAGAGATTTCAAACCGTGAGGATTTTTACTAAATTAACCCTTTAAGTCCCAATACTGACCAACAGCAATTTTCTCCTAACAATGTCCATACATTCTCAAGAGATAAGGTTGTGAGAATATAAAAAATGATCACAAAAGAGAAAATGCATCGATGTTTTATTAAATTCTCTCAACTAATTCTTAAAGGAAATGAATGGAGATCAGTTTGGAGAATTTGTATGTGGATACTGGGGCTTAAAGGGTTAAGTGGAACTTAATGTGCCAATTCATTTCAGGGTGACCTTGATAAAAGGCTTTATAAGGTAGATGCATCAATAGAAAGTGACTAAGTTGGGATCATGAAAATTACATTTACCCAAAAGTGACTAATACAGGGTCTATAGTTGGCCACAGATTGACCATAATAGGGTAGGGGTTGTGAGAGACTAGTGGCACATACCCAGCAAAACTTACTCAATTAACCCCCTGGGTTGGCTTTCAACCAGTCTGTTGGGAAGATTGGATGAAGAACCAAAGGAATATCTGCAAAGAAGGTGAAAAGGGCTTAATATAGATTAGAGAATTTGTTCGAAAAAAATTCTCACAATCCATTTCTTTACTCTTCACCCACAATTATCATGGTTTTTGAAGTGGATGAATGAAATGGTTATTTTTCCTGTAATACAGTGTAAAGTTAACTCATTGTTTTTTAGGTCCTTGGATACAGTTTGAAGTTTCTCAATACTTGTTTTTCCTCTGCATCTTGTGAAGTTCCAGGCAAACTTACTTCCTCAGCTCTTGAAGTTATGCATCATGTTACCAGGTCAGTGAAACTTAACGTGTAAGTAATGCTGAACTTGACAGGAATGATAGTTTAACCCTTTCTATTTCAAGGATACTAAAAAGATTCAGTTTACCAAAAGTTATATTTCAAATTTTTTCAATTTTGTTGTGAACATACTTAACCAAAGAGGTTTCATCTAAATGGTCACACTTCCATCCACAGACTCAAAAGTTAGAACTACGTTGTACAGCATAATGAACAGTACCAGAAAAAAGTGCTGCTTAGTAGCTTTTAGGTGAATAGTGGTACTTAAAGATTTCATCCACAGACACAAAATTTAGAATCACCTTGACCAGCACCACAGGAAAGTACTGCTCAATATTAATTATAGCTGTTAAGTGAATAGTCATTAGTGGTACTCAAGGATTTCATCCACAGGTGCAAAAGTTGGAATCACCTTGAACAGAATTAACAAACAGCACCACAGGAAAGTAACTGCTCAGTGGCTTTCATTTTAATGGTCAAACTTTAGGATTTCATCCACAGACTCAAAAGTTAGAACCACCGTGTACAGCATACTAAACAGTACCACAGGAAAATACTACAGAGTTGTTCTGACCTCAGAATTTTATCTTACTTCTGACCAGTGCTTCAAAAGTTTAAATCAGATGTGGTTGATCTGATGAGATACTAATAAAAATCAATAATACCATCAAGTGACTTTGACTCTGAAGATGATTACCGCATGGGTTGTCAAAACGTCACTGTCAACAACAGTCCTATTCAGGACTATGTTCACCTGGACGATCATACTCAACCTACGTATAAAAATTCTTAAATCCATGTTTTTTTCACCAGGAAGTTCACCGAAGGTCAGATTAGTGGTGAACAATCAGTACAACAGGCTGTGTGGCTTCTACAAGAGGTTGTCCAAAACTTCTAGTAATCTAACTTACAATTAGTTATTTATAGTTTTCTGTATTGCAATAAGGTTCACTTGACTATAGAAGGTTTCAATGTCTTGTTACACTCATCTTATATATATATATATATAATATCAGCTGCATTGTATCATCCATTTTCATTTGCTTGATCTCTTCTTGGTAAAGTTAAGTGTTTATGGGTCTTGAAACAGAGAAACAAAAAACTTGTGATTTGAACTTGTGATTTATTGGAATAAACTGGAGATTTCTTGGCAGAAAGGAATAGTATTGCTCTTTGAAGCAGAACATCCATCTGTTCTCATAGAATCAATGTTAAGATCCACTAATTTTAATGTCGAGCTTACATCGTAGGTCTTTCACAATCCTTTACTACGTACGTTATGATACGAGCCGCACGTTCTAAACTAATAACACCTCGTATGCATACTAATCACTAGGCGTGTCACGCATGCGGTCACGCCATTACATCTCTCCCCCCATCACGTGGATGGGACGCAACGGTGCGAACGAAAACAGCAAACAAAAATAAATAAATAAACTAAATAAATTAAATGTTGCTAATAACGAGTAAGCCCTTGTGTCCTTTACAGGCTCTAATGTAGCTAGTAGATACGCAAATTCTCGCTATTCGCAAATAAAGTCCTTATATTTAGTGTCCTTTGTGGATCTTGTTTTCCTTCTGGGCCTGTCCAAGGGCACATGTCTTCGCTCTGTGTCACGGTCTGATCCGGGCTGCTGAGATCTCTGCCTACTCTCGTACTCAGCTGTGTCGCTGTTTGCTCTTGGGTGCTCATGACCTTGCCTTGATTCACTGGATCTGTCCGCTGGAACTGCATCTCTACTTGGCCCTGCTAAGGGTCTGTCCGCTGGCAATGCATCCCCACTCGGCCCTGCTAAGGATTGCTCTGGACATTCAATTATAACTTCATCCGGTTCAAATGCCTCACCGCTGTCAGAATCATCATACCGCGGTGATTCCCTACAACCATTTTTGAGCAGTTACCAATCGGCGTAATTCCTGGTGCGAATCCTAACACTGTTCTTGGCAGTGACCAAGCTTCCCTTGACGCCAATGACTACCATAGGTTCCGGGTCATACAGAGGGGTCAGGCTGTTTTTACGTTCCTGCTTGCACAACACAGTGTCCCCGACTTTAATTTTCATCACGGCTGTGTGTCTTCTTTTATCAGCATATTGTTTCATCTTCTGTTTTTGTTCTCGGTCCCGACAGCGGATCATCGTGTCATCCCTGTATTTAGGCTGTCCCTTGACTTCAGGGAACTTTCCACGTAATTCCCTTCCGAACATGAGCTTGTTCGGGCTGACTCCAGTTGTCGCATGCTCAGTTGCTCTGTATGCCCTGATTCCCCGGTTCACTTCATCCCTCACGGGTTTGCCTTCCAAAGAGGCGATCCGAGCGGTCTTCTTTACTCTCTGCATGAACCTTTCTACATCGCCGTTGGCTTCTGCCCACCCGGGTGTCACTTTCCGGTGCTTAAACCCTCCTCTTTTGCGTATTCTTCGAATTTATGGCTGTTGAAGGGCGGTCCGTTATCTGATTTGATTTCTTTTGGCACTCCATATGTGTCGAACACCCTCTTGAAAGTCGGTATTGTTGCTTTCTCGCTCGTGGACCCCACGAATTCAACCACTGGGTATCTGGCATATTGACAGTAAAATACGAGGGCGAGGTCACCACTCGCCATTGGTCCGCAAAAATCCACGCTGACCTTCTCCCACGGTCCTTCCGGTAGGTCTGTCATCCGGAGTGGCTCGCGATGCGTTTGCGGCGTGTGAGATTGGCAGGCGATGCAAGTGGACACGAACTTGTCACATTGTGAGTCCATTCCGGGAAACCATACATGTGCTCTCAAAAGCTGTTTTGTTCGCACCTGGCCCTGATGACCCTCGTGCGCAATTTCCACCATTCTATGTCTGAGTTTTGCGGGCACAACGATCCGATCCCCTCTCAAGACAATCCCGTCTACTATGGTTAGTTCATGGAAAACTTGCCGAAATTCGTGTGTCCTTGTATCGTTTGTGTCTATCCAGCCTTGGTTGATGTACTTCTTTAGTGCTTGAAGTGCTGGATCTTCCTCAGTGGCGTCCTTTACCGGGTCTCTGGTGACAGCTTTGGGCGTGCTGCACGTTACCACATAGTTTACATAATGCCGTACCTCCTTAGTCGTTCCCAATTCGGACTTGGAGCACTCGTGAACTGGCATAGGGTGACGTGATGTGTAATCTGATATGTTCTCTTTCCCAGGACGGTACTCTACTATGAAATCATAGTCCATCATACGATTGACGATCCTTTGGACCCGGATCGAAGATGTGTGGGTGGGTTTGTTGAACACACTTTCAAGAGGCTTGTGGTCAGTCACGATCTTAAAGGGTCTCCCATACAGGAACAGGTGAAATTTCTTGCACCCAAAATCACCTGCTAGAGCTTCTAATTCAATCTGGCTATATCGTTTTTCCGGGTCGGTGAGGCTCCGACTGGCATATTGCACCACTCTCCAACATTGTTCTCCAGGCTTTCTCTGCGTAAGTGTTGCGGCCAAACCCACAGGGCACCCATCAATATGAAGCTCGTGCTCCGCCTGGGGATCAAAGTATGCTTGGACTGTGTCGCTACTGAGCATGTTCTTAAGTTCCTCGAATGCTTCTGAGTGTTCCGGTTTCCATTCGAATTTTCCGGTCACTAGCTCACCCAGTTTGCACGCCGCTTTCTGATACTGTCAGGCTTCCATGAATCGCGAACTATATCTGACCGTACAGAGGAATGAGTTAAGTTCGGCTGCATTTCTAGGGCGTCCTGCAGATTTAATGGCTCTCGCTTTGCATGGGTCTGGAGATACTCCATCTTTAGAGAACATCAAGCCATAGTAGACCACGCGACCTTTTCTGAATTCACATTTTGCTCTGTTGAATGTGACATTCTTTTCGCGGCTTCTCTCGAGTAATGCTACCAGGTTTGCATCGTGTTCTTTTTTGTACCGCCCATGCACAATGATGTCATCACTTATGTTGAAAACTCCCTTCAGGTCGTGCGTCAATTCCTCTCTGATCGTCTCTTGAAATATCTCTGCCGCTGACCTTGTACCATAGTTGAGCCTCTTATACCTGTACAAGCCAATGTGAGTTGAAAAGGTCGTTACGTTCCGCGAACTTTCTCTGAGTTCAAGTTGGTGGTATCCCTTGCTCATATCCAGGTGGGAGAACACCGTTGACCCGCTCAGCTCATTGACCACGTCGTCTATTGTGGGGTGCTGGGTGTGTCTGCGGGGTATTGCCTGATTTGCCACGCGCATGTCCACGTTCAGACGTATCTGGCTCTGATCTTTCTTGGGCGTAACCACAGGCGGTGACACCCATCCTGTAGGTTCGTTGACTTTTTCAATGATGTCTTGATCAATAAGATGCTTTATTTCTTCTTCCATCTTCTGACGTACGCTGAACGGTTGCCGGCGTGGTGGCTGTGCAACCGGCTTAAAATCAGGGTCTACATTCAAATCGACCTGGATTCCTTTTAGCTTTCCAATTCCTTGAAACCTGTCGTTGTATTCCTCTAACACTTCATTCAGGTTGTCTGTCCCTTCTGGCTGATTGCTTTCTGTTGCAATTGAATTGGTCACAAGAATCATTCCGAGGTCTCTCGCATCATTGTACCCGAGCAAAGGTTCGGTGCGGGTGTCTCCTTTTATTAGCTGCCACGTGATCACTTTCATCTTTGTCTTAGATTCCGTAAGCGCTTCAAAACAACCCAGAACAGGCAGCGTGTTTGCTTTCGACGCTGCCCCGTATGGTTTTATTTGGCATCTTGACTTTCTAACCTTTACTCTTTTGTCTAGGCCGTATTTCTTGAACGTTGCCTCATCCATAGCGTTAACCGTAGCACCGCTGTCCGGTAGTACCGTAATGTCAACTCCGCTAATTAGCACTGTTTTTAGGGGCCTATTGTGTGACTGTCCGACGGGGTTCACCTCTTGCAGCGTGCACGTGGACTCCTCATCACTGCTGTCCGACGATGTGTCAGATATTTGCTCGCCTCCTTGTGCTAATTTAATTTCTTGCTTGTTTTTGCAACACTTTGCAAAATGGTTTCTTTTGCCACATCGCGTACACTGTTTTCCAAAAGCCGGGCATTTTCTTTGCCCCCCCCTGGTGTGGCCAACGTTTCCCGCAATTAAAACACAGTTTTTCTCTACCTTTGTCGACAGTGGTTTTATTGATTTCTTGCTTGACAGTCACTTCGGTCGTCGTTTGGTTTTCTACTCTTGTAGCGTGTTGATCCGCACTCTCAAGGCCACGAGCGTATTTGAGAGCTTCAGCTAGCGTTAGTTGGTCTTGCAAATGCTTTTCTTCTCTCTCTTTGATTTGCCGTTCGTTATCATGGCCATTAATATCTCTGTATCCAACCACCCTGCCGGAAAATCACAGTGTTCGCCCTCTGCTTTTAGCCTAGCGATGAACGAGTCCCAGGTTTCATCTTTTTTCCTGTATAGTGCAACGAAATTTGTGTTTATTGAACAGCCGGTTTTGCGATTCTTTGAACTTGTTCAGAAGTGCGGTGATAGCTCCGTCCAAATCCGTTCCCGTATCGTCAAGCTGTTCGAATATATCTAGTGTGGCTTCGCCTATCGAATCTAGGAACAATGATCTTTGTTGGTGCTTGTCTGTGATGTTGTAGGCTTTCAAGTGGTTGTTCTTGAACCGCTTAGCATATTTTGAGAAGCGCGCGTATACCGTTTCGGGGTCATTCCGAACGTCGAATTCGGGAAATTGTTTGTATCCAATGTTTACCGCCATTCCACTTTTACCTCGTCGCCAATTTAATGTCGAGCTTACATCGTAGGTCTTTCACAATCCTTTACTACGTACGTTATGATACGAGCCGCACGTTCTAAACTAATAACACCTCGTATGCATACTAATCACTAGGCGTGTCACGCATGCGGTCACGCCATTACACTAATGTCAAAGTAATTAAGCAAAAAACAAAACAGTTTATGAAAGCAGGTCACACAATTTGAAAGCGTGGTTTGTGATATGTTAAAAAATTCTTTGACCCCATTTTTTCTTTTAATTTACAGATGTTGCAGTTCTGGCATAAAAACAATCTTCCTTTTGACAGCCTGGAGTGTTTCCTCTCAGAATATCTGGACATTCTTGGCTATCCTCTTAGTTTATTGATGATCAGGTTGGTCCTGATTTCTTGATTAAGTAATCAGGGGACACTTTCACAAAAAATACAGTTAAACCTCCATTAACCCTTTAAGCTCCAATATCCACATGAAAATTCTCCTGACTTATCTCCATACAGTTCTCATAGAAGAAGTTGAGAGAATTTGTTAAAAGATCAAAACATTTTCCCTTAAGTGATCATTTTATTAATTCTCATAACCTTTTCTCTTGAGTAAGTAGTAATATTGTTCAGAGAAAATTGATGTTTGTCACTCTTGAAACTTAAAGGGTTAAGTGGTCACCTATTATAGCCAAATTTGTTTTATTGTGCTGCGCGTTTCGCAAACTTCAAGGAATTCAGGAATTTGGGGTTTTTCTGTTCCGTCAATCATCTTAGCGGACCTCTTAGGAAAGACATGTTTACTTGTGATTGGTGCATTTCGATCGACTTTGTTTGTTTCTGTGTTTCAAGCAGGGGCACCCAACGAGAATATAGTTCAAAACCACTTAAACATAGAATTGTTGAACGTATTTTAGTATTTAAACGGTAGATATAGGCATATTTTTATCCCCTAAAAATTTTTCATCTGTTCGGATTTCTTAGCTGAAAGTCTAGTGATCCGAAAATTATAGGGATCAAAACTTAACTTTTCGAAAATTTCAGCCAGAAAAAAGGCTCCCGAAAATTCTAGGTGACCTTTTTAGGGTAAAAATCCGTCAAAAATAAGCAATTATACCATTTTTTAGATGTTCGAAAATCCTAGGAGAGGCAGGCAAGCAATAAATTTTACAACGTTGCTTGTGATCACCCTGATTCAGGGAATAGTTGACTAGTTTTCTTCGAGGATTTTTCCGCTCTTTCTTGTTCTTATCTCTTGCAAGAATAAAGAAATGTCTGCCCCCTGCCCTCAACAAAAATTCCACTCATCATCACAATTTCCTCTGCTATTCTTGAGCAGTCTAGAGTCATTCTCGGTTTTGTTTTTGCCGGCCAAGCTGGACGAGTGCGCTGCAATTGTGATTCAACTACTGATTAACCCATTAAGCCACACTATACAAATACAATTTTTCCTGACTAATCTCCATATATTTCTGTAAGGAATTAGTGGAGAGAATTTGATCACCTTGATGATTATTTCTTCTTCAGAAAGCAGCGACCGCATTCAAGTTTCCTTTGTGAGCTGTCTGACATTTTTGTGTTTTTTTTTAATAATTTTTTTCAGAGACCCTTTCCTTTCATCGTTAATCTCTGAAGACCCTCAAGAGCTGAGCCAAAGTGGAGAAATGGAAAGACCAATGCTTCAGTTTAGTGCTGCATTCTTCAACAAGGTTGTAAACCATGTTGTGAATGAATTACAAGAAGAAGACAAAGGCGAGGAGTATTCTTCAGACTTGAAAGCAATTCTTACAGCATACAACGGCACCACAACTGTGTCCACTTTAAATGATGAAAGCTACTCTCAGCCATTTGCACAGCTCGATGCTGGTGTGCAGCTTCAAGAATTCAACACAGCACAGAAGCATTTATGGCAAGAAATCACGGACAACATCAAGAAGGATTTAGATAGACACCCTTACATTGCATTATCGATGACTGCAGCTGCGACTGTTGCATCCGCGGCTGTTTCTCAGCAGCGAGGTTGGAGGGAGGGAGAGTTGGCCTCTGAACTTCAAGCAGATGTAGTATTGTTTACCTGCAATCATCACTTTCCCAGAGTTTATTTTCAAGAATTTGTTTTGCCTGAGTTCCAGCAGCGAATGTCTGAATTGACACTGCCCCTGAAGCATACAACGAAACTGTTGCTGAAAATTTATTGCAGGGTGGAAGGCTGTCTACCGACTGCCTGTCCAATATGTGTGTACAATTCCATCAGGATGGAACAGTTGGAAATGGTTGAACAAAGTGCAAGCGGAGAAAGCTTGCAAGCTAGGCCATGGGATATTTAACATTTAATTTATACCTTTTCATATACACAAGTTTTTGTGAGTAATATATAAGAACTGAAGGGCAAAGAATTGATAGTGAAGAAGATTGATAAATTCACATAGTAGACAGTTATTTTTCCATTTTTTATATCAGTATTAAAGTGAAAATGGCCATATTTCTTGAATCAGGACAACTTTATTCATCAAAATAATATTTTGCAGCATCAAAGATTTTAAGAGTTGATTATTATTTATTACAAAAACTACAAAGTGTTCTGTTCTATAAGAACTATTAGGAAAAGAAAATTTTGTGAAACATATAAGTCACGACTAAACATTAGTATAGACACTATACTTCAAAGGTAAAATAAAATTGAATGTAATATTACAATCAGGATTCTTACAGGGATGATATAAGAACAGAAAAAATTATTGAATAATTATTATGCAATATGCAAAAATCTGCAAGCAGAAAATTATAGTACTTATTTTGGCTATAAAAAGGAATAAATCTTGTCAAACAAGTTAACAAAATATTGTATGATTCTCTCTTCCATAACATCACAATCCTCAATCATAGTCCACAAAAATGCTGTTAGCAGGTATAAAATCCTCCATCATGCTTCCTGGAATATCCACCATTTGTTGCTGCACTGTGGTGACTCTCTGTTGATAAGAAAAAAAGGTATTTTTAGGAGAAAGCTCAGCGTGTATTAATAATGCTTTGAGAGTGGTTAACTAAGGAACATTTCAAATTCCTCTTGATCTGTGACTTGTGCTAAAGCTGATTTGATTGTTAAGTTCAGCTCTAGCAATTTAAGAGTGATATTTTATTCAAATAGCATACTTATGTTAGACCATGGATAAAAAGAACACCGTTCTCAATCATCGGAATAGTGTAAATTATAATGCATTGACCACACTAAGTTTAGTGGGTGATAAGTGTGCCTATTAGAAACAACGGCTCCAATATTTGTTCGTAGTCTGAATAAACAGCTGACATTTTCATGAGGCCATCACTGGTTTCCCTGTGAAATGACATATGAGGAATTTTGTCACTACCCAGATCTGGGTAGTGACATGCATGTCAGCAATATAGAATTTCTGTGCTCATTCCTAAGACGTAATTTTGTGCAGAAATCGGTGGTGACATTGCAAAGTTGGCTGTTTTCTTTGCTACTGATACTGTTAAATCAGGCTGTTTCAAATGCTGGTTATCTGCATGCCAAACATGCATGGTATTCATTAGTTAGGTTCAGTCGGGCACATTCAGTAACATGACATTTGTACAGTTGGTATTCATTAGTTAGGTCGAAGGAAGATCGAATGGGCACATTCGGTTAGAAGCCCCGCTATTTAACTTTTTTTCCATGAAACATTTGTATATTCAAGTGTAAATCCCTTATTGGTTAGGCTCACAAGTTCAACAGGTAACCCAATTTTAAAAGAAGTGCTTCCTAGCATGGGACTCCTCCACCCCACCCCCCCCCAGCAGGTGGATAAACCAGTCAGTTCATTACCTATTGCTCCATTGATGCTGTGGATGCTCTGCCGTTGTACACTTGTGCTCTTCATCATTGGCAGTTTATACAGGTCAATTTCTGGTTCTTCTGGTGGTGGTCGATTCTTTAAAATCCGCCTACACATAAGAACAAACCTTGCTGTAAGTATTTGAGGTTCAAAACTGGGAGTGCACCTTTTCTACAAGAATGTCTTGTTTAATAATTCATTAAGTGACTTAAGTGACTGGTTCTTCTGGTGGTGGTCGATTCTTTAAAATCCGCCTACACATAAGAACAAACCTTGCTGTAAGTATTTGAGGCTCAAAACTGGGAGTGCACAGGTCTTTTCTACAAGAATGTCTTGTTTAATAATTCATTAAGTGACTTCATATATTATTACACAATCTTATGCTATTGATGCACTGTAGTCAATCCTGACGTAATAATGACCACCCAAAATGTGAAGATTTAGTGGTCGCTTACAAAAAATTGCTCCCTGGGACCCCTTCTAAGAAGAGGTCCTGATCCATCCCCTCTTTGACATAGAATTTGTTGCATTCAAATTCCAAGTTCAGTATTGTGTAGTTCCATGTTGTCAGTGAAAGTTCTTTGTATACTCAGAGTGGTGTAGTACAGTCACACAGTTAACAAAAAGAACACACCATTATGTGTCAAGTTGTCACATACAAGAGGTTTGACAACTGTAAAACTTTCAGGCAAGGAGTGGTCATAGACACTTATCAGAGGTTCTATTTATAGGGCTTTGACTGGAAAAATTTTGGTTTGTTAGAAGCGGTTCTAATGGTAGGTGGTTGCACATAGACGGTTGACTGTAATTGTGAAGGACACCTACCCATGCGGCACACCAACAGTTTCATGTTGTACTAAGGTCTCGGCCTTTGAGGAAAGAAACTCTTTATGATGGTCGTAGGTTGACTTGATGACAAAATCCAAGCTGTCATTGGGAGCCTGCAACAGAAAAGAACCACATCCTGTCAGTTGATAGCCTGCAAATAGCAGACGCATTTCCAGTCATTGCTTCTCTCCCTTTTTCGGAGGGAGAGAAGTGACGACCGGAAATGCGTCTGCTGTTCGCAGGCTAGTCAGTTGATTTTAACTTATTGTTAAACAATCGCAACAGTTGTTTATCAAGACTCCTTTTTCCAGGGTAAGATTGGGGAGCTTTGTGAACTCTCTCTCTCTCAAAGACAGACACGGATAGTATGTTTCTGTGAAACTGCCCACCTACCCCTCCCCTAAGCCATCATTTTGCCTTAAGTGAGAAGTAACTGTTAATGTTAGCTTAGGGGAGGGGTGGGTGGCAGTTTCCCAGAAACCTAAATTGCTTCAAAAGAGATGTCCACCTTACAGAAAATGACAGAAGAAAGGCAGGGACTAACTGGGAGGTGTCAATTAAGGAGAGAGGTGACCATACACTTTAACTAAAAGAGGCTCTCTAAAGAATTTTTACACCTATCCATTGTTTGCTGTTTGGAACCAATGATAAATTAAATACATCATCTAGCAAATTATGTTTTTAGGTAATATAGTAACCTGTGGATCGTGATGGAAAATTTCTCTTCTCGAACTTGCGAGTGTGGCTGTTCTATTGAGTCTGTCCCACGGAGAACCCTCTTGACTGGTGCCAGTGTTGTTTAGTGTTCCTTTTTCTTTCACCTGTAGTTTAAAAAAGAATCAAACAGAAAATGTAGTCCAGAAACTGACAGTGTCGAATACATAAATCAAACCTAGAGGCGAAGTTAAAAGAACAGTCGCGTGAGTAAAAGGCATGGATTAATGTTTGCATTTCGAATCACGCGTTCCTTTCGACATTCTTGACTCTCGAGCGTGCCTTCTTCTCGCCAAAAGAAAGCGTTTCGCTCACTTTTTTTTTCTTTAAAATCATCAGCTACAAATGATCGTGATTTTGAGCAAATTCGAGGAAATATGGACAAGATCTGCCGCTATTCTGTGGACGTACAATGGAGCTTAGTGATGAAAAGAGTGCAAAACAAAAAACAGCTGGAACTTTGTAAACAAAACTACAACAGATTAATTCAGTTTATCGCACTAGAAAAAGGGTTACTAACGGCATCGTTTTCTGTTATCTAAACTGCAGAATAAGCTTAATCACTCTTAAAGTTGTCGAGATGACTGGTGTAATAGAGGCTTGATGATGGTTCTTCAATACTACTCCGAGAATGATTTTATTGGACCTTGCCCAAAAGGCTTCGCGAGTGATTGTAAAGAAATAAATCATAGATCTTCTTGTTCTGTTAAACAAACCTGTTTGCCTTGTTGTCCACAGAAGTCGCTGTCATTCTGAAGTCTTGGAAAAGGGTAAGGATCGCGAGGCATGTTGCAATCTTTACGAGAGTTCAATGAAATGTAGTGAATAGAAGATGTTTTGTCCTCACAAAGCGTCTGTTACCATAGTGATACAAATCCGTGAGGAAACTGGGTTCTAGCATGGAACGAAAACTGGTTCCCAGAGCTATCACGGTCATCAATCCCATCAGCCCCTTCGGCCTACTGGTGTTGTAGCGTATATGGCGGCGAAGCACGTGTAGAATACCTTTGGTAGAAATAGATTTTGTTTTTTTGTCATGTAAGCGTCAAATGTAGCTTCAACTTTCTCTGAAAGTACTCGGCTAAGATGGGTATTCAGGGACTGCAGGAGTACGTGGAGGCAAACTGTCCAAGTGCTTACGAAGAAGTTGATTTGAGAGAAGTCCTATCCAGCGCAAGAGCTCCGGTTCTTCTGGTAGATGCGAGAAGTTGTCTTAAACATCTTTACGGCCCTAGTACAGACTGGGTTTGTGGAGGACAATGGAACGAAATGCTTCGCGCCGTGGAGAATTTTTCTAGATCTTTTCGCCAGCAAAATATCGAAATTTTGATGTATTTTGACGGCGAAGGCGAATCACAGCATTTGCACGAATGGATCAAACATCAAAACGAAAAAAGACAATTAGCTCGACAAATCCTAATGCATGTCATGAAAATGAACTGCTATCCTGGCAAAAGACTTTATTTTCCACCACCGGTGGTGAACACGTGTTTGCGGCTCGCCTTTCTCAGCTGTGGTGTTTCCGTGTCGAGTTCGACGGGTGATCTTCACAAAGAAATGGCGATGTATTGCAAAACCGAAGGCTTTGCAGGCATTATCAGCCATCACGCAGACTTTCTGATGTTTGATATACCGAATTATTTTTCCGCCGATCACCTTAAATTTTCCAAGAAAGACATAACGACGTTGAGATTTAAACGCGATGCGATGTTAAGTGCTCTTCAACTTCATCACGACCGATTAGGGTTATTTGCAAGCTTACTAGGAACTTCATTCATCCCAGAAGAAATGCTGAGTTCATTTTATTGGAGTCTCTTAGGACCGGATCATCCCTTGGCCAAAGTACAGGTCGGTACACTGTCGGTGTAATATTTACGTTTATCATTAAGTGATTTAAAGGTATAACCGATATCATTAAATTCAGTGATAGACATAACATTGACGTTCTTAACAAAGGTTCTTTGTTTTGGGGGTGGTGATGGGGGATGAATGAACTAATCTTCCTCTAAGTGCTGGAGTTAGGGTTTTTCCCTTTTTATTAGAAATTTGACTTGATAGCATTTTCTCTGATTTATTCTTATTTTGTGCCTTTTTATTGCAAATCACAGCAAGAATTCGTATCCGATGCTACTGATCCTATCTAGTTTCTTCTACACTATCACTGCATAATCAAACTTACATGTACAGGGGTTTCAATAAGCACTGACGACCGAGGAAACAAATAAGATATCTTGACATATGATTGAAAATGTAAAGGCCCACTGGTTTTGAGTTATGCTTTAGTTATGCAAATGCTGTATTTCAGTCAATTCTTCACACGTTTCTTTAGAGGTTTACACAGATTTTGTCGTCGTTCAAATGTACATTTGTTCATTGCTTGTTAGTTGTGTGGCTGATAATGGGAACGTGGGTGAAAGCTACCTTTTGTTGAATGAAAAACACACTCTTCTGTACTCAATTTTGTCCCCAGAAAGCTGGAAAGTGCATTTTAGGGCACTGAAATCTCAAAATCTTCTGAGGGAACATACCCCCAGACCTCCTAGAGGTACTGGATTAACGCCCCCTTGTTGATACAGTCGGGTACTCTATTCAAACCTGATGGCTACTTCAATTTTATTATTATTATTGAAACCCCTGCATGTAGATGTCGTGAAATTAAGAAAAATGGTTACTTTAATTAAGAGGCTGAGTGGTCAGAACACTGGTATTGAGAGTAGTCAACATCACTTTTCTCCTAACAATAAGAATTAATACATAATCAAGAGCTAAAAAGGGTACGAGAATTTTCAAAGTGATTGGCTTTAAGAAAAATGCTTTGATCGTAAGGCAAATTCTCTCCACCAGTTCCTTAAGGAAATCTAAAAATCGGTCTAGAGAATTTGTACGAGTAATCAGGGTCCTGTCTTAACTGCTATATGCGGCTGTTGTTTTTTGGTAGTCCCAAGTTTAACTTTCTCCGGGGCACTTGTAAAAAGCGAACTAGTATGCTTCCCATATGTTTGGATTGACGCTGCCAAGGATAAGTGTTTAAAAGCAGAGTTATGACTGTTAGCCAATTTCTCCTTTATTTGTTGTGAGAGATGTATATGGGGTATTATTGAGAATGTGAATATTCAGTAGTTAAAAATAATCAGCTTTTTTTCATAGGTCAAGGAGAAACATCAGCCAATTTTTCCAGCCAATGACACAGTCATCACCAGTGTAGTTACATTTATAAAGAGTTTAGCCGATGTTTCTAATCTAGACTGGATTGCACGCCAAGTGTTCAAGTCAGAAAAGGTCAATTTAGCTGAGGTCACAGAAAAACTGAAACAAGCTGTGGAACATTACTCAAGCCTCCCACATGAGGAATCCTCTGCCCCCCAGTCTCCTGGTATTGCCCCAGGTAATACAAGATTAGCTATCACTAATGGTGTGAACTAAAGTCAAAATTTGGGGATCGGTTATTTCAACAAAGTCTAGCGTAGGGCCCAGTTTAAGAAATAATTTCTTAAACTGGGGCCTACGCTACACTTATTATTATTAGTCCTCCAGATCCTTTTCTTAGTGGGTTAATTTAAGAAAATAAGGGCTTTTTGAGTTGACGCTATATGTTTTACTGAAATTGTTCATGATAAAAGCACTGGACAAACTGAAAATGGCTTAGAACGCGGTTTTGTTAAACACAGGCTAAACTCTGTGTAAATAACTGGCCCTCAGTGTTACCCACAACACCACAATAATAATATCCTCTCTCCCCTTTTATGAGATGCAGTTCTTTTTTCAATATCTGTATATCCTATTTTAGTCTAGATAATTAACAATTATTCCTCGAGCCCTAATGGGCTCTGAGTCAATAGCCCATGAGGCCGAAGGCTGAATGGGCTATTCACTCATAGGCCATTTTAGTAAAATCCAACTAGTTGGTCAAAAATATCGAGACAAAACAACTCTAGCTAGCAAAACGGGATTCAGCTGCCATTGTTTTGGTTTTCAAAGCCGGCGCTTTTCGCTACTAGTGGGCTATAACATATAGCCTAGTAGTAGCTCAACGAATCAGAACGCAGCATTGATAATATAGACCACCAGTTGGATTTTACTAATTACAGATATACAGTAATTCCTTTGAAGTAGCCAATCATTGAACCTAGGAAGAATGTAGGGCAAATCAGGAAAACTGAACCAACCAGATGGGAAAGAAACTGTTGCGTTCCATCAATACCTGTGTAATAAAAAAAAATTGTTGTTTGTTTATTCATTCATTTACACTACTGTAAAATTAAAATATCCTCTGCTTGCAAAGAGTGAAGAGGTGGGCAGAGGAGGATATCAGGTGCACATTTACTACATATGACAAAAAAAAACATGAAGCTAAACTATAAACAGAAATACAAAATACAATGTTAGTTCGACTTGGTCCTTATTTGAGAAAATTGCAATAATCTGTTTGTACATAACTTATTGATGGTGTTTTTTTAGGTCGAAAACAGAATGAACATCAATATCAGAAGATGTGGCAGCATTTCCAGCAACATCAGCTGGTACCCAAGCCTGTCGCTCCTCAACAGAAAGACTATGTAAGTATTGTGGAATCTCCATTAATGAGTGCCAAGGGACTGGGGAAATTTGTTCGTTATATTCAAGCGTTTGTTATATCGAAAACCTCGATTTAAAGAATTTTTGGGAAAACAAGCTAAATGTTCATTATATCGAGGTGTAGTTAATGATTAATTTCCAACGGCGAGCATTTCCACATCTCCCTCTGCTTTCCTTGATATTTAAATAATTATTACTCCATTCTTTGGCCAGCTTAGTTTACCCTAACCCTGCCCTCTATGGCCTCTTTCATATACCACTACGTGTTGACGTCTTGTAGTTCTGTGTTTTCCAGCTTTTGTACTTGAATAACAATACTAGTTGTAACCAAAGGGTTTGGGAGGGTGGGCAAGTTTCAGTTATCTCATCAGAGATCAAATCGCTCGGTGCTTTACGTGATAAGTTTTACGTGATAGCAGGTCAAAACATGCATGATCAGGTTACAAGTGATAGAAGGTCCAAATGCGCATGATCATGTTCTATGCATTCCATTCATTCTTATTGAAAGTCCAAACAATTGTTGGCTACATACCTGCCAAGCATGCGCGATAGCAATCTGGAAATGATTTTCTTACACAGTGTCCTTTCTTGTTGTTTATCAGTTGTTAAGTTAGCATGTTTTCTGGTTTGTTTCTAGGTGTCTCAAGATTCTGCCAGCACGTCCAGCCAGATACCAAGCGTGACTGCTCTACAGCAAAGCCTGTCGTCACTTCAAGTCCAAGATGCACAAGAAGGAACAATAACGCATACCCTTCCACTTTCACCTCCAGGAGAATCCCAGACACTACCAGAAACCCCAACACCACTGTTACCCGACACATCCCAACCTTTGCCAGTGTCGCCTTCTCAAGTCCTCCCCACTCCACCCCCATCGTCTGAATCTTCTCCTCTGGTACCCCTCTCCGGGAGAGAAACTGATCACATGACCACTGCCGAAGCAACAGGTGGGTGCACACCCAAGTTTAACTTGCGAGGCCTTTCAGTTGTTATAGACATAGTCTTGCTGCACTGAATGTGATGATTTTTTTTGTTGTTATCACAACTGTTTATCTATAGTTAACACTGCCTGAATTCTCATATATTTATTGTTTGACTGGAATGGATTCTTGTGACGAGAAGAATCTCTGCTAAGCTTATGTAATGATTTGTAACTTAGGGGTTTGAAACCAGAGCTACCCCCCATCCCCCGATTTTTTCCCCTCCACATGTATTACAATGGCACTGTTTAAACATGTAGATAAGAATCCATCTAAGAGAGCAGTCCACTTTATAGAATCAAGTTTCTCTTTTACAAACCTTTATAGAGCAAGGCTGTCACTAAGGGCCAAGGCCTGGTTGCATGAAATACCCTTAACAATTTTATGACAGGTAGATGTACATACACTTGTACATGCACTCGCTTAAGTGGCCCACTTAGGTTAATCACTTGAGTGGCTGCACTTATAATTTTCACAATTGTTCACTTAAGTGTCATTTATGCAACAGAGATTGCAGGTGTTGCATAAAACTTTTTTTACAGGAAAAATAGTACGTAAATTTATGGCGCATAAATTTACGGTTTCCTTAAAAAAATTAATAGAGTGAGTCATTAATGAAGTACTATATTTAAGTTACGTGTGCCCTTAAGTACACTGTAGGCCCGTAAGTTACCACATAAAACAGAAACTTACGAGAGTGCTAAGTGTGTTCCATGCAACACCCGTTAGTGTACCCATAACGGATTCGTTAACTGAGCACTTAAGTGCAGGTTTTATGCAACCTGGCCCAGGAATGGGGATTACCCCTGCCTACTATGAGCCAACCTTCGGCCACTTTGAGAAGAAACAAAAAGTAAATTGAACACAAAGAACTTCCTAGTTGTTCAATTTCCAACCTACTTATTGCATAATTATACTCAGCAACATAATGCCCTGATGTAGTTAAGTTGCGTTAAAAAGGTTGAAGAATGGTAGGGAGTACTTCTAGCTGTCCATTTAAATGAACTGTCTGTGTTATAGGTGTTTTTATTGGGCTGCCTGTGTCAAAGCCCAGTAAAGTTCTGGGCAGCATGTATGTCAAGAAAGACAAAATAATGGATGCATAAACAAGAGGGCATTGTCTGTCCCCACCCTCTTGCAATGGGAGAAGTCAATTATTACTTTTTGTTATATAGACACGAGTGTTTTGCTGGAAAATATACCGCTCGTAAAATTCATAAAAACTACATCCGGGACCCGAGTGGTTTATTTTCCATAATCTCACACGTGAGTTTATCGATGAAGTAATTTTGGTAATTTCCCTCTATTATTTTATCGATGTCATTTTGTCTATATAATCGGAGAAGGTGGATAATCATCTTAGTCATTTTTGGCATACGTTATTTGTTGTAACTAAACTTTAAGGCCTTTGAAAGGTGACAAACAGACACAATTGGGGGATAAGAGCATTTGGTAGATTGTCCTCTCTTATTTCCAGACTATTTAAAAGACCACGGCATTGCGCAGTGGCCAATGTACTGCAATTATGGAGGTCTCGTTTAAGAAAAAGTTGACTGTATTCTATCCTGTTTTGTCCTTTTAGAAGCAGACGAGACTGCTTTTAAAGGTGCCATCCCAGACATTCCGAAGCGTGTCCTAGACATAACTGTGTTTCGCCTTCAGTCCGGAAGCATGACAGAAACTGTTTTTCAAGTCCTTACTAAAGCTGAGATTAACATTGACATGTCGATAGAAGATGAGCATCTCCCAGAACGTCTACCATCTGCTCTTCTTTACCGTAAAGTTCGGCAACAAGTCTATGGAATCCTCTTTGACTTGGCTCCCAAACTGAAGAACGACAGCAAGTTTGATGTGAGTTCCCTTGCTGTCAAGGAGTGGTGTGTTTACGGAGGCAGACGGCTAAATGATCCTGATGTTGTCGAACCAGTTAAACTCAACTGGGATGTGCCACCAGTTGAGAAACTTTGGTTCAACAAGGGTTCGGCAGCAGACAATAACCGGCTAAAGGCGTTCTTGTCGTGCATGAATAGTGATACTCCTAGCATGACACAAACTGTGATTGTGCCCAAGAGATTAGTGATTCTTTGTTGTATTCTCAGGTACGTGTAAATATTCTTTCTTTTCTTACAGTGTTGGTTGGTGGTGTGCGTGTGTGTGTCTGCATGATAGACCCAAATATTGAAGCGCTATTCAAGTCCTTGGGTTATGGCACGGTTAATTTTCTTGAAGGAGTTCAGGCCTTCTACTGATTGCAAAAGAATGAAATGTGTAACGTTTGATAACTCGTAGTACAATGATGGTGGCTATCACTTTTTCCACCAAAATGATGCTGGTTCATTTGTGCGCAGTACTAAAGCCTCGTTTTCAAATGTCGGGAAAATCCCAGACGATCGGGGATTTCACTTTTTGCCAACCATCCCAGATTTCGCCCATATCTCAGATAATGGCCACAAGTTTGTTCTAGAGGCGCCATGTTTATGTGTGATAGGGGACTGGTGCCCCAAAAATTAGGAAATTGGTAATGAGCGAAATCCATCGCAGACGTCCCCGAGAATACAAATTTGAGTTTTCATTTGTCGGGAATGATCGCCCCGACCATCGCAAAAATCTGGGACCCGTCTGGCGAATAGAAACGCTCCCGATCCTCTAGCCTGAGATCATGCCCTCTCCCTATTATCCCTTTATGTCTCTCACGGGAAGAGGGCATGATACATTTCTCTGTCGGATCACATGTAAAAATGCCAGAATCTGGACTTTTTTCTGATTGGATAGGAAACAATGCGGATGATTTTTTACGATTGGCCAAAATGACGCCATCCGTTAGTAGTTGTTGATTTCAGTCTGCATTTTTGCTTGCGTAATAAGCAGTGAATACACACGTCAAAGTTCGTTATGAAATTTCTGCCCGCTCATTTTTTCTTGAATTTGAAGAATGCCAAATAGAAGTTTCATCCATTGAAATATTTACCATCTCCAAAGATACCAAAACAGTTGCAGTCAAAACTTCAGCGATCATTTGAATGCAATTTGATATACAAGTTACAGAGGCGACAAAACGGGTTCACTTTTTCAAATAATCAATTCATGAATGGAATCTTGACCTGGCTTGACTGTATTTCCTCCTTCAGAAATCATGCTGCTAATTATTCTGAGCGATCTTCGCCATACACAACACCTTTCAGTTATGGAAATATGGTGCTTCAGCCTAATTTTTTTTCCACTGCTTTTCGGTACAGAACGAAGTCAACGAGCTTTAACCAGTAAATTCTTTATTATTTGTAGCTATTCATAAAGGTACGACAGCTCCAGCTAGCAGTATATTTCATCAAAAAAAACAACACATTTTTTTTTTTTTTTTTTTAAGCGCCATCTGAACACGGACGTATTTTTAAAAATTTTTTTTTTCCTAAAACTGATTTCAAAAGAGACATTATTCGGGCCTAAAATTTGATTCCCGTTTGGTAAACGCTTATTGGCTAAAAACATGACAGGTCAAGCAAACGTTAGAAATTGGGGGGCGGTTGACTGCTTGTAAAATAAATGTATCAGGCGTTATTTTTTTTTCCCTCTCGAGCCAAAGAAGAAAAAAAAAAAAAAAAAAAAAGACACCTGATCTCAGGTTACCGATCCTCCAGATTTGTCCCCGTCCATCCCAGACAATCGGGGATATCTACAATTTTGAGTTTTCATTAGTCGGCAAAATCTGGGACAGTCTGGAAACAGTAAAATCCCCAATCATCTGGGATTTTCCCGACATATGAAAACCAGGCTTAAGTAGTGACAAAATCTTGTCCTCATGTTTGTCCTTGTCTTAAAAAATGTAAAGGTCTCTATTAGCAGAAGTGTGACTGAAAATGCATATTAATTTTTTTTAAGACAGTGGCACCCAGTAGTGACCACAGTCAAAACTCAACAAAATTTCCAATTTCCTTTTTTTGAAATGCTAAGAAACAAATAGTTCCATGTGAAATTGCTACCAAAGATACTCCATTTGAATGGTCACACCATAGGATTTCATCCACAAGCGCAACTGTTAGAACCATCTTACTAGATGCCATCATTCACTGTGAGAGTGCAAGGGGTAACTTTGGCAACTTCTCTGTACTGTCTTAGGTACCTTACATCACATGGACGCTTGGTGTTGACTCCTCGTGAATTAGATGCCTTCCTTGCTCAAGCCCTCTCACCTCAATTAACAACTGAATGCAATGCCTCAAACCTTCGAGAAATCAAACTCCAGCGCGTAGATGCACGTGCTGTACAACTTGCTTCCATCTTCATGAGTGGTGTTCAAGCTGCCATTTTTGCCAACGATGCTTGTGCTGTGCCCATCCCATGGGAGTTGGTATGCCCATGGAACTATTTTGATGGTAAACTGTTCCACAGCAAGTACCTTTTGGCTTGTCAGAATGCAACGCTTGCAGAATTGTGTGATGGAAAGGTTAGTTTATAGCAATGGAGTTATAAATTTTATATAACCGTGATTGTTACTTGAGCTTCCTTTAGAGTGCCAAATTCTTAGAGCTAACTTTGTCCTTTGGCATTCAGACTCAAATGCACCTTCAGGGCTCAAAGTTTAAATTTGAGTTTGGTAGCACTTGTTCTACCAGATGTAAATTTTTAGGCGCGCTGCCAAAATTTCAGGCACGCAGCTGAAAATTTTAGGAGCACAGCTTATTATTATAATGTTGGGAGCATCTTTTTTAAAATGAAAATTAAAAAGTTTAACAGTGCCATGTTCAATAATGCATAGGTATTGAATTTCAAATGCCATACATCTTATTGTGTCTACTTACACACTGATTAAAATTATTTGTTCAAATAAGGTTACATTGTGGCTCTTTATGACATTATGCTAGTATGGATACTTATGAAAGTGGTGCAGAGCATCATCTTGACTTCTTCCTTCATACCCAGTTACTCGCTAGATCTTCGTCCATCATACTTTTAAGATTGTGAAGGCTTATTCTTTGTTCTTTTTGTCTTTTCAGAATGGACGAGTGGAGAAACTCCAGCGTATGCGATGGTGTATCACAGAGGGGCTTCAGTCTGAGTTTAGTCCTGGACCCAGAATTCCTAATGCTAGCATTTTACCACGATTCCCTGGTCAACATGGGGATGGTCTACTCCCTACTCCCATGTTTCCTTTTGGACCAGTCCCCCCTGCTCTTCAGAGTGTCTCAATGCCAAATACTGCATTTTTCCCTGCTGGAGCTAACATTCCTCAGATACAAAATGCAGGCATGAATGCAAGGCGAGGGCGCGGACCAAGTAGCAGACAACCTGTTTCAGGACTCGGGGGTCAGTTAGAAGTGGCCGGTGTTCCCATTGCAAGGTGGTCGGGTAATAAGGCTGGGCGTGGCTACAGCGAAAGGGAACGTATTGTTGTTGGTGGTCCTTCAAGTGTAGAAATGGGTCGACCTAAAGGTAGGCGAGGTCGTGGTTATCCCCAAAGAGGAAGACGTGCTGCAAGTGCTGGCACCCGCAACGTCACCTGGGCAGTTGACGTAGATAAGGAGTATGACCGAAGCATTGGTTACGTTGAGCAACCAATAAAACCCAAGAAGTCGACAAACATCAGTCAGGTACGAGAAGGTGGTGATGGTGGAAATGATGTTCCGTTGGTAGCTCGAGGACGAGGAGATGGCGCCAACGATATGGAAAACCCTGTAACAGATAGTCTTGGAGGTGGGGGACCCCTGCAGGGAGGTATACACCCCCACCCAATCCCTGGGCATGTGGCGGTAGTGCCTCATTCAGCCCCGGTACATTATAATGGTCAGCCATATGGTACACCTTCTCCAGAGATGCCGCAGATGCCAGTGGAACCCGGCTTGGACAAAGCCCTGGGGAGTCAAGTTCCTATCATCCTGGCCAAGCCTGGTGACATACCGGTACCCACAGGGATAGTGAGGGGTCGTGGAGTCAGTGTGGCCATGGGTGGGGAATTGCCAACATACAATGTACCGACCGGAATTGTTGACACTGGATCTAAAGGACGTGGCTGGTGGTGGGAAAAACAACAACAACAACAACAGCAGCAGCCGCAGCCGCAGCCACCATTGTGAACTCTACAGTGATACGTACAAATAATAATTGTGATAGAAACAAAAATGGTTCATTCAAGGACAATTCACTTGCTTTCATTCAGTCTTTTCAATCCTAAAAGAGTCGTAATTTCTGAGGTTTGATTGGCGGTAAGACAGCTTTGACTTGTCACTGTTAAAAAGCACATTGTAACTAAACCCAGTTCATGTTTCTCGGTGGGATGTTTTTGGTAAGGCAGAAATTCTGTCATTATGCTCCATAATAATAATAATTATTATTGTAGTTAAAAGATGCAGTTAAGCATCATTATTTTGAATGTATAGTAGTAATGTCAATTAACATTATTGATATTAATTTGCATTAAGTACTGTTTTGTAAACTTTCAACCCCGCAGTCCTGACATCGAAACGAAGTCTACTTTTGCCAAAAAAAACCAATTATTTTTCGTGGTTGCATCAATTCATGTATCATATTTTGTGCTGTAAACAACTACATCCATTGAACAGTAAGCCAATTAGCAGTAAACTGAAGACAAGTATCGGGGTTACTCTTGGCCAATGGGGATATGAGGGTAGTAATTTTGATGTTTTTGACATGTGAGATTGCTGATGTTTAAGTATTTTCTTTGTTACTGAAATATTCATGTTTTAGATAAATTAATTCATTTTTAGGAAAGAACTTCTAGACTGGATTTCTTTGCTGGTGTTGCAGTCTTTTTGAAACAGAAATCCAAAGGTGTCCAATCTTGACAGATTTGTACTGCCAGTCAAGGGATCTGCTCTCAGTTTGGAAATATATATCAAAAGTTCTAGGTTGGATTTTTTGATGTTGCAGTATTTTTGGAAGAGTACTTCAAAGGTCGTCAATCTTGACACATTTGTAATGTCAGTCAAGTAATCCTCTCTCAGCCAGGAACTACATGTTAAGAGGTCATGTTGATATCACCTCAGTCATTTAAATTTATCATGTTCAGATTATCGACTGGGTCATAATGGAAAAATCTCTGATATGATGCAGACCATTTGGGGTATTGCAATTTTTGCCAGTGTAGAACTGAAGATTATTTATTTCTATTTCATTGTCTCGATCATCTTCATTTTGCCTCAAAGTTGAGGCAATCATGATGATCTGGTCATTTTGTGGAACCAGGCCTATCCACATAAAGTATTTTGGCTTAGGAGTGCTTGTGGTAATGGTTGAGTGTATATTATCAACCAACAAGGTCAAAATATGAATTGAGTTTTGCAAAAGACCTTTCGTTTTCTTGTATTTGGGGATTTAAAGATTTCAGTAACTTTTTCATTCGCCTTAAAAATTTCATCACTTGTGTTGATTGTGGTTGATTGTAAGTGCCAATACTGAAGAACGATAAATAATAATATCCTAAGATGTTGAGGGTTTGATTTGTATCTGATTTAAAAATAAATAAAGCTTTATTTGCTACAGAGTAACAGTTTTTAATCAGGTCAGTTGTTTGTTACCGTGAAGTAACATTAGGATTGGCAAAGTGTGTTGTCTAAGGGTATTCCAAACAAAATCAAAGTTACGACAATCACTTTCAAGAAAATGATGATCATAAAGATCTTAAGGGACAATTACATTGCCATTTTGATTAAGTTTGACAATGCTTGTCATGTGATGATGGCGAGGAAATTTGTTTTGCTTATTTTAAACCTGTTACTCTTTATTAATGTTTCTCATTTCCCTTGCCACTGTAGTGGTTGTTCAAGCTCGATAGAAGTGTTGACACACAAAGCAACATTCTTGACATGAGACGATTATGTTTAAAAACAGATGATCTGATGGAAAATGTGCGACAAAAATGACGTCCACCGGTACTTATTGAGAGGCTAAAAGTGTTCTTATCAATCCTGAATGCACAATACATTACTGTTAAAAACAAATCTTTGATGTCTCAGAGCTGAAAGCTTATTTAGCATCTGCAAAGTGTCCCAGGGAGAGTACTTAAGCAATATGTGAGTATAGGTGAGCCATTGAGGGTTTGAAGCTCTGACCCTGTTTAGGACAAAAAATTCTATGATACATTACCCTCATTAGGACAACACCCTCACTTAGAACAAACGACAAAATGCACACAGTCTAGTTTTAGAGCTATTTATTGGTAATTGCAATAGAGTAAATTCACATTAATCTAGAGTCACGGCTTTTGTATATATTTGGAGTACAAACAAATTTCATCAAGCAAATCAAATCAATCATAGGGGCAATAACCACGCAGGCATATTTAGGGAAATATGACTTCCCTAAAAAGCTAGCAGACAATACCCTGTTAATAATTAGGACATGCTCTCACAGAATTATTTACCCTATTTAGAACAGAGAGGACAAAAACCATACCCTGTACAGAGTCACATCCCCGTGTAGGCCATATAAGGGAATAAACTCCCTGGGCTATGTTTCTTGCCTGTCTGTCATTTACCCAGACATCGGACACAACTTTCTTTGCATACTGTATCTTTTAATAAGGGCAGCACTAAATTATGCTTGAATAAATCCACGTAAATGTCCAAATTACCCACATAATGAATAAAATCATAAAAGGATGACTGTTTATCCCTGGATTTGTACTCTGTTACGAGAATAATGCACTTATCACTAGCCATCTCAGGGGGTCAACTCTCGGGATATACAAGGGCATGATGCAGGATTTGTTGACATAATGCCAATTTTGAGCAAGCAATGGGGGTACAACAAGTATACTAAAAAAATCTTATCCTTTCCCATTCGATTAATTACAAAGTAAGCTGAACTTCATCATTTGCAGAAGACGGGTGCATTTATTTTTATTTGCTGACTCAACCTTCAACATTACCACTCTTTATTATATGGCTACAATGGTATGTACGTTGTTATTGGCTGCTAAGGGGGCAAGAGTTTCTTGTAATGACCAGGCATTACTAGCTAGGTGAACAATGCTTTTACAATCTGTGTTAAACTTAATGGGGGACATCCATGTTATGGTCAATTGACAGCTGTCAAAAAAGAGTATCAGCAGACCAGTATCACATGACTGTATCGCTGGCTCTCATTGGGAAATATTCACCTTTTATAACTCAAACGAACTCAAATATGACATCCTCGCTGCGATCGATAAAGTGAGCGGAATTTTGTAAGAGACCGCTGACAAACCGATGACTCATCTGGTTTAGGTCGATGTTCACAGGTGCTTTCCAACTCTTTGAAGTGACCTGTTTTTTAAAGTTTCTGCTGACCAGTTTTTGGTTTTAATTACTAATCGCAGGCTCAGGGCCATAATGAAAAGGCTATATAAAAAATGACTTATTAACCTTGTTTATACAGTCATTACAGGGAAATCTCAGACCTTGGCCTAGATGTATGGCCCTGGTCTGAGATTTCCCTGTAATGACCTCACTCTTGGTCAAAAAGTGGTATATAAAAGAGGTATTTCTGATAAAGCAAGAAGAAAAAGTTATTGCCATTTGCAAGTCCCTTCTGTCTCCCCACAGGAGGGCTTATGGTAATTTTTTGTTCTTTGGGGGGTAGGGGGGGGGGGTTAGAAAACATCATTTTAGCATTGTGCAATTAACCAGGGGTTCAGCTGGCTGATAGGTGATCAGGGCATAAAGCATTATACTCATTACAATTTTTTTTCCAAAACTTGTATGCTTTAAAAATGTGCATGCCACATGGCAATTGAAAGGCACCACACATGTTGAAGGCTAGTATAATTTTATAAAAAATTCAACTGTTTTGTAAATGCTTATTGTGCAATTATGCCACCTGTGAAAAATTATAGTTAAGTTTTCACTGAACAATGAATCATTCTCTTGTTTAAATCTACTAATAAAAAAGTCCAACATCAACAATATGTAAGCTTACCTATATTAAATTTCTGTTGACTAAAGTCCAGCCAGTTCCTTTTAGTGGTAAAAGACTACTTATGAAAAACAGACGTTAGAAGTCCCTTTAGCTGTCTAAGAAGCTGCAATACATCACTCATATCTGGGCAGACGATATTGTCCATACCGGGACAGTTATGAGGTGTGCCATTTAACTTCAGAGTCAATGCGAATCCTTCAACTGCATCGTCTTTTGCTACAGCATTGACATCTCGACCCTCCATACAACTTTTGTAAGAAACATGTTTCAGAAGAAGCTTAGCAATGTCGTCAACCTTCTTTAATCCCCTTTTTTGGAAAACCTTTATGGCCTCCGCACGCTCTTTTGCACGGCGCTGTTTAACCTCCTTCGCGAAAATGATGCCTTCGAGCATTTCATTATAATTGCTTGGTTCGATTTCGTCGAATAACTCATGCTCTTTGAGTTCTTTCAAAGATAATTCATGGCACAGGAAATGCACTTGCACTTTAAAATTCTAAATTGTACTTCTGGGCCAGAATAAGCGTGCTCACAACATCCATTCCTTCACATGGCATCATGTCGTCTATGAAATCTTCGCACTTGCGAAGAATCGAGTCGATTTGATACTCGTGAGCGAGTTCCAAGATGTCTTTCCATGTGTGGAGTGTTATTTCTTCCTTTGAAGGTGGATAAATCATTAACAGCAAAGTTTTAAAGCTGGATGCTTTCTTGCCAGGTAGCCGAATTTCACCCTTTTTCTTCTCGCTGAAATTCGAGGTGAACATCGCCTCGAAAACAGGAGACCACAGCGCGAGGACATTTCGATGAACGTGGAATCTTTTGTTTTCTACGAGGAAAACAATGTCGCTCGATTTCCAGGGCTTTGAAAAGTCGAGTACTGTAGCTTTCTCATCTGTCCGCTTACGCTTAGATGCGCTGGCCATTCTTCTTTTCCTTCAGCAACAAGAGAACAACGAAAGACCTTTAACCACAACGATGGCGGACAAAGAGCGTGCGTTCCCGCGCTTTTTCACTGTAGCCTCGATGCCAAGTATGTCTCCGAGAAAGACTGGACATTAGGTTTCGTGCTGATCGTGGAGTCATCGTACAAGCGAACAAAAAAGTTGAAACTTTTTTAATTATCCTGAAGACAAAAACTAACACAAATGAACTATAGCAACAAAACAGTAAAGTACAAAGCGACTTGCGTTTTTCCAATGTTTTTCGATATTTTCCCGTGGTGGGGCATTTGTCTATGCCATCTTCGAACCGAGCGAAATTTAACATAATACTATACCTGCCAACTTTTTCTGAGATATAAGCGTGAGATTTTTATCCTGGGAGTGCTGGGATTTTTGAAGACGACACGATCATTTCCGAAGATTCCCGAAGAAGTCCGAAGTCTTCCGAAGACGTCCGAAGTCTGCCGAAGTCTGCCAAAGGCGAGCTCGCTCCCAGTGCTTTTCACTTCAAAAATCAGAGATCGCGAGTAAGGTATTGCCATTTATTCATTTTACACATGGTTTTCGTTCCTTACATGGGTCTGAGTTAACATATTTTTAGAAATTGTGTCAAGCAGGACGGCAACAACTCACGTTTTTCAATCAGGCGTGAGAAATTGGCACGCAGGCGTGAACCGGCGTGAGATCGAAGTTTTCAACCCGCAGGCGTGAGAGTTGGCAGGTATATAATACTGAACGGGCTATACCAAAATTTGTGCGTAACCTCCAGGTCCTGATGTAGGTCCCATTAATGCTAATTTTAAAATTAGGATACTTCAGAGGAATATTTTCTTATTGACGTTAGAGAGCTCAGATATCTTTGATTGTGGCCGGGAATCTTAAAAAAATAATCAACGTAGAAGCCTTCTTTCAAAAATGTTGCAAATGCCTTTTACTGTTTTCGTAAGTTAATTGGTGATAAGATGTTTTCGAGTTTGTGTAGCGTGGGAACTCATGTATGGTAAATTGTGATAAAACGCACAACAATTTGCATGATGGGACGGTGGCGGTGTTACCTTTTTCACACGATAAAAAACTGCTACGTCAGAAACTGGGAAGTACCTTTTTTCTGGCTTATCTTATTTTTTATTTTTATTTTTATATTTTTTCAGTGAAAGATGCTGGTTAGTTTAGATGAAGAAAAAAATTACATCTATGAGCATTTTTTTCTGTTTTAGGCAAAAATCAACTTTAATAGACTGCAAGTGAATAATTAAACTTAATTTGATGGTAGTTTTAGAAGTCACGTTTAAACTTAACTTTAAATTTGTTTGCAAATTTGTATGAAACGCAAGAAAAGAATCGCCGATTTACGATAACTAAATAAAATTCTTTTAGAAATTGAAGTAGTTTTTCCGTCGAAAAGTCGAGGATAGGTGGCCTCGGTTGTGGCCTGGTTAAAATCGCTGACCGTCGATTTCAGTGCTAATCTGCCTTAAACTAGAGTAAACGTATTGGGGGATACATTTGTTTACAATTAACGTCTTAGAAGCAAGAAATCCTTTGACTTTATTCACGGAGCAATATTTGCGATCCCCCTGCAACATTTACCACGATGAGCAATAAAACAGTATAATAGCAAAGGAAAGAAAAAAAGCGACTTAAATTTTCCTTATATATTAGCTGTAATTTTGAGCCGTTAAAACGCCCTTATTCACGATAAGGGGCCCAAGTCAAGTCGTTATAAGAAATGGCACGAAGACGGTACGGAAAAACTGGAAATAGTTCATTTTATAGTTAATTCGCCTCAGTTAAAATAGCAGGATCTGGATGTCGTCATGGATCCGCAACACCGTTGCTAGTCAAATCTTTCAGCTTTTTTTATTATGGTGCAACCATGGCTACACGCTACGTATCGCAAAAGTCAAAGCATTATATTTTCCTTTAGCGCGCCTAGCCTGCGTTGCTCGCGGGGTATATTGGTGCGTTTTTTCTTTGTGGTTTTTAAAGCGAGAGATACAGACACGCGAAAGCTGAACAGAGGAAACGCATTAAAACAAACTCTAGCTGCGCAGGCTAGAGCGCACCTTAATTTTCAATTCAAGGTATAAGTACCGTGTATCCTCTAATAATAGCCGTCCCTCGATTAATCGCCTCCCTTGACTAATCGCCCCCCTTTGTCGGAAATGTTTAAAATAACCGCTTCCCTCGAATAATCCCCCCATGATCCCTCTAGGTTACCTGCAAGGGTTACCCATAGCGATAAATTTGAAGGATGAAGCTAAGAAGGAATCTCATCCAGCAAAACTGATCAGTGACGATTCAAGCTCTGACGCCGAGGACATTGACATTGAAAATTAATGACGGAACCAAATTTGGAACACTTTAAATGCCAATGTTCAGTTTATTTGATGTGATTATTTTTTGATGCAGTAGGAAAATAAAATAAAGATATTTAAGGTACGACTTCTAGTGAGCAATATTTGAAATAATCGCCTCCGTGAAATAGTCGCCTTCCCTAGAATAATTGCCCCCTTTTGGTGCGAAAAAAGAAATAATCGCCCCGGCTATCATTCGAGGAAATACGGTATACTGCACTGTTTGAAGAAATGAAAAACTATCCATTTTGTAACTGATAATGCATAAAAAATAGCTTCGATGCTCTACTTTCGTGACAGGGAACAAATGCTTAAGCTTTTAATATTTAGTTCAAACCGTGGAAAGTTAACAGATGTCTCGTAGAATTCTGCCATGATCTTGATGCAATTACGTTGTTTTCCATCCAAATTTTCGTCATTTGTTACGATCCCTTACCTTACGGCTATTTAGATCGTGGGAAGTATTTTCGTAACTGCCGGCCTCTGTATCAAATCACAATTGAAGATTTTTTTTTTTACTTTAAGTTTTTAATTTAGCGGTTGCAGCGTCCGTAACACGTTGTCGAGCAATAATTGCTGACTAAGGATGGCCTTAAATTACCTATTTGTTCAAACATTACTCCATCTTACTCGAGAATACAAAACCGTCACGTTAACTAAGTGGATTTTGATTTTAAGAAGGTCCTTTTTTCTCATAACGATAAAAACAAGAGTAGATAAGGGTGTTTCGATAGATGTGTTTACATCCGGGTGTTTTCAACCTTCGGATGCAAAAGAACTTACACGCCTCTTCAAAATCAACTCAATCTCAGAAAGTCTATAAATGTTGTTAAAATAGAGAGGTCCACTTTTTAAAAGCCTTGGCTTCACCGAATATGCCTTCGAGTGCTCTCAATCGTATCATATGATTTTTTTTGGTTGGTTTTATCACTGTTTAGCATCAAATGTAATCCACCGAGAAAGTGGAAGAATTAAATACAGGATGCAATTTGCAATGGTCTTCATCCATACGGTGCCCTCCTTTTGACATTTCTCACCATGCGTTTTATGGCATCTTGTCAGCTGGTAGCGGTCTAAAATAGAATTATTAATCCAATGGTCTTTTATGAATCCTGGCAAGATATTTTCCACACCCTACGTGAAAGCTTTTTGCTTTCTTTCACTTTCTTTTTTTTTTCTATTACTTCAACGGAGAAGCACGTTTTGTACTCGCTGCAAGAATTGCGAAATAACAGCCTTCTGAATCTGAGTATTGTGAGAAATATGTGATTTGCGAATTTCACTAACATAAATAGTTGACTAAAAGATTGATTTGCTCGTATCCTAATTCTCCAAAAAAACCGACCATCCATAAATGGGGAAACAGTTGGAAAAAATCTTTCCAGCTCTTTGGGCTGGTCTCTTGCTTCCGGTAAAATCGTTTCAAATCTGTTTTAACTGAAAACGCCTGCATGAAACCTCTTGAAGCCATTCAACCTAAGTTTATTTATTTTTTTCGTTTTCAATGTTTATTTACAACCCTGGGGTTTATCTTAAAGATTTTGTAATCAGCGACCGGATAACACTATGCAACGGCCGGGAAATTTTCATTGCCTTTGTGGAAATAAAAAATCATAGCGATATAGAATGATATCTCATTTTCAGGAGAAACGGATTTTCATGCACGTCAGATCATAATATTTTGCCGTCGCCATTCATAAAGTAAAGGAAAAAAAATTGTTTACAAATAAATTGATGACATTTAATAAGGCCTTGTTCGCAGACATCTGGGACGAGAAATGTCTATCATGGCGGGCTCTTGCATAATTGTCAGAGAGAGTTATACGATAAAAGAGAATAGCTGTAGGTAAACACAGACAATTGACTTGGAACAAGCATCAAGCAACTCTCCGTCGAAGCGTTGTAAACTTTGCTCAACTTAATTAGCAGTGTTCAACAGGAAAGCTGGAAAATGACGTTTTTCAACTATACGAACTCTACGACAGAACTTCCACTCTCAGGTACAGTATCTTCGTTCGCTGGATCTTCTCGCCTACCAAAATCCGAGCTTGGCCAAAGTACATCGGAGCTTAAAGTTCTATCTGGGATTTGCTCAATAGCGAGTATCATTGGAATCGTCGGCAATGTTTTAGTGTGCTTTGTCGTGACCAAGTTTCGGTTTCTGGGCCGACCCAAGGCCGAGCTCTTCATCGTAAGCTTAGCTGTGGCTGACTTAATGGTCTGCATATTCGCCCAGCCCATGTATGTCATATATCTCCATGGCTTACTTCCTAAAGAAGTCGATCTCATACGAAAAGCAATCACATGGGTGTCCACTCTTGTTTCGGTGAGCCACCTTTTCGCGATTTCTTTAGAGCGCTTTTTCTCGCTGTACTTTCTTCACCGCTTCAGCGTTTTTATTCGGGAACACGTCATTTGGAACGCCATTCTCTTAACGTGGTTCATCGCGATCGGTTTCGGGGCTCCATCGGCAGTATTCAGAAAAGCGAGAATTGTATCACAGTACTTTGTCATCGCTATGCTCCTCGTAATACCACTTGTCTACGCTGGGATATTTTACATCGTACGCCTCCAGCAAAGACGCATTAACAAGCAAATCGTCAGAAAAACGTTTTACACTTCGCAAAAGAGCTTGACAAGCGAGCGAAAGATTGTTTACATGATAGCAGTAGTTGTTGGCGTTTTTTATCTTTGTTTCACGCCTTTGCTTATTGTGCCGTTTTTCTTTAGCGTAAAAACGACCCCAGCCGTGCGTGTAAACGCTCTTCGCGCGTTTCCGTGGGTGAACACTATCGCTCTTTTAAACAGCAGTTTCAACCCTTATATCTACTACTGGCGTAGTTTTAGGTTTCGCATGGCGCTTGAACTAATTCTGAGAAGGATTTTTGAAAAGAAATAAACAATAAAGCAAAATTAAACTGAAAACTCAAAGGGAAAGACTTTATTGTAAGTCCTCGACTTTCAACTTCGACAAACTTTTGTGTTAGAAATTGTCAGAACAATTCTTATTTATGTAGTAGTATACATTTTGTTTTGACTTGCTGTGAGGAAATATTAAAAACCTTCGTTGATAATACTGTTAAGATCCGTCAATTTCGCCTTATTCATGACTTGTTTATCAGATGCGGTTCCTTTCAAAGCCTTGAGGTATTTAAAATAGTGTAATTACTGGACGTGACATGCGACTTCCGTCGATCATGAATGTCATGCGTTTCAAACTCAGGTGATGCTCCACTTGAAGCTACGTGACTTGAAAAAGTAGAATGGTCAATGTTTCACAATAACTTAAAGATTAGAATGAACTAGAAAAACAGAAGTCTTATGATTGGAAATGAAGTATAAAGGTAAATATTTCAATATAAGAAATATTTGTTAGTACTTAATAAAGTGTAATTCGTCTTCCGACGACGCCTTGATTTTAAGAGTTTACATCCCGCATTTTTAAATCTGATTCCAGATTTCATGCCCATTCCCAGCAAAACACAATTTGATACTACGACGACGGAAATCCTACTCATGAAATCCAATCAGTTTTTGATATCGTGTTCCAATGCAAAATCCGTAGATCTGTATTTTGAGAACCAAAATTCGGATTTCCCTTTAACATCACTCGTGTGATCATTTTTTTTAGAGCAAATATATAGTTTTTTTTACTGTTAACTGACTCTTAACCTGTATGATGTTCATGATTTGTCAACCTGACTTAAACGTTTTTTTGAAAATTTTCATATTTTATTCACCTGTACTTAAATATAGATTGTTATCAACGTTCAACACGTCTCCTCTCTTCCCATTAAAGCTTTTATCTTTTCAAGTGCCAAATAAACATAAGAAGCGTATTTTCTAAACATGCCGAACTGAACGAAAACATTAAGCGATTTTTTTAGATTTAAATTTTATTCGTTTATTGCAAGATTTCAATATTTTTCATTTATTAGAAGGAATAAAGTTATGAGACTAAGTAATTAAATTCACGGCTGAATCCTTAAAAAGTAATGATTGAAGAATCCTTCATTTTTATGACAAGTCGTTCGACACTTAAATGCAAACATTTTATACATTGCAATAAATTATATTGCAATTGTGGTAAGTTTTTTTCTTGAATAAGAACTGTCCATGGTCGTCGCAGCTATCTCTGTGATGTAGACAAGATAAAGTTCAACCAAATGTTACAAAAGAAATTTAAAAAAAATTATCTTTTTATGTACATTGTCTTGGTTTTTTGTTCTTAGCTTTCTTAAAATGACATCTCGTGACAATTTAACGATTTTGCAATAGGCCCCATGAACAAAAAATTCGAGAGAGATTTTTTTTTCCTTGCGACTAATAAGTAGTATTGCATAACTTCGGTAAAACTTGAACGTTTTCCGTTATTCTTCCTCAGCATTTCCTCATTAAAAAATAAAAGGAGGAAGAAATATAGGTAAAACAAAAATCAAGCATTGAGACTTAAGAAAAAAGAAAAAGAAGGAAAATTAAGAAGCAGCATAGACTTGCTACAAGCAGGGGCGGATCTAGGGGGAGGGTGCAGGGGGTGCGCACCCCCCCCTGAGATGACCTGCGGTTTTCTAATACAACTGGTATTCTGCAAAAAAGAAAAACTATGTGGTTTATTGGTGTTGAAGTCGAGAGCAAGAGACGAGTGCACCTCCTCCTAAAAAAAATTCCTGGATCCGCCCCTGACAAGTCGACCTCTTGCCGAGCGGAGCGGCCGACCGCGAGTGACGAAGTCGCGAAGGACTTTTTTGAAAGTCTAGAAGCAGCAGTATCCTTTCGCCTTAAATCCGAAATTTACATTCTACACTGACTGTATTTTAGGTCTAAGTATTGTCTCCAGCGGGGTACTCCGAATTCCAAGGGACGAGATTAATCGAAGGATTTTTCGGTTTCCAGGATTTATGTTTTAAGACGGGGGGTGGGGCGATCAGGAAAATTTGGCAAGAATTTTTTGTATGTCCTGGGGTAAAACCAAACGAGGTTTGTTTCAAAAATTCCATAAAACCAGGGCTTTTCCCTTAAAAAATGGGTGGTGCCCCAACCATTTTTTAAGGGAAAAGCCCTGGGGACGAGGTTGACTCCATAAAACCGGTTTTACATAGGAGGCGGGTGGAGGGGGGGAACACTCAACAAAAGTTTACACTTGAAGACTCCGCCCGAACGTCCATCCCTTTACCCTTTTATACACCAAGTGGTACCCCTTTAGAACACTGCATCCCTTTTAACTGCTGTAAATTCACTGTCTTTAAAATATGAAAGAATCACAAACCCACACTCGACTTTTTCACAGCCATAAATTTTTTCTATTAGCTATTTTAGGTCTTTTTACGGACGGGAAGAAACATTTCCCTATCCGTTTATACACTTCAACTAGTGAAACCCCTACTCTTTCATATACCTGAGATTTGAAAAAGGTGCCACTTTCCGGGCGAAGCCTCTCACAAGGCTGAGCACTCCCACCGGAGGTTCTGCATACTTTTCAAAGGCCAGAAGCTTTCCGAACAAGGCTTCATTTCATGAATCTTCCTTTCTCATTCATCTTGTTCATTGTGCGCCCAGCTTTATCATCATAGGAATCCCCTTTTGTCCTCTAGTGAACTCTCAGTTTCGGAAATTCGGAAATGAAATTTTGGGGGGTGAATTTTCGGTCCAGGAGTTTTTTTGGGTTTTGATTTTTGCCTCCATTCAAACATCCCTAGAGCTGATTACTCCGATCCTGATCATCTCCGTCACTTAGAATCCAAAATACCTCATCAGGGGTTTTGCCTAGTTCTCTTCATCAATCACATCTTTCGCTCACGTTAGCCTGCGAGCAAGCTCTCCTATTTGGGTAAGCGAAACGAGTCTCGCGAGAACGCGCGAGCGAGCGGAGAAGCCGCGAGGGGCCCCTCGCTTGCGCGTTCTCGCGAGGCTTGCTTCGCTCGCCCAAATAGGAGAGCTTGCTCGCAGGATAAGTGAACTCGCAGGCTTTTAATACTCGACCAATCAGACATTTTTCGCCGGTGAACTCGCAGGCTACGGTGTCTCTCTTTTTCAACTTTCAATCCATTTCTCCTTGCCATCCATAGTAACAGGCGAAAGGAAAAATAGTCAGTGAATAGTAAATTACAAAACTAGACCACTAATCACGTAAAAATCATGCTATTATTTGTTTATACTACCACCCGCAAAAGGTTTGTAATTCTTACATGTAGGTATTTCAAATTAAGCTGAAATACCACTGCTCTAAGCCAATCAAAATGCAGAAATTTCTCATGTATTTGTATAAACGCTGTTATACTACTAGATGAGAAACTTCTGCAATTTGATTGGCTTAGAGCTTATAGCTTAATTTGAAATACCTACCTGTGAAAATTGCAAACCTTTAGCGGGCAGTAGTATATGATTTGTACGTGATATTTCAAAATTGCCCCAAATTTCACTCGCCTAAGGGCTCGTGAAATTACGTATAACAGTTTCGAAATGTCACTCGTGGTATTAATGCCAAATATCACCACAAATCATGTTATTATCTATACAAATTTCGCGCCAAAATTAAAGATTAATCTTTCACCCATGACGATGCGTGTTGGTTCCCGCCCACCGGGTTGTCATGGTTACTTCCCATGCTGCCTTGTGGCTCCCTTCTTTTGACAAGGCTACTTCCCTACACCCATCTACTGGCGAGGGATTTAATCAAAGACTAGCTCCGTCATGTTTTCTGCCTCTGGAATTTTTTTGCTAAATTTTTGAAGTTTGTCTTTCCCATCCATGCTTATATCCCCAGCGTATCCTCAACCATCCTTTTCATTATAGTGACTAATAACTCTGAGCATGAATTTTTTGTTTTCCTTGCAAGTCCGTTTGTAAGATATCTTTTTTGAAATAAATTAATATACATATCGTAAATAAAATTAGTATACATTTTACTTACTGAGAGCATTCTCATTGGCTAAGAGCCTACAGCTAATGCAATTTGAAAATCAGCGCAGCCTACAGATTAGTTAATTCAGATCTGCTAGCAGATAACTGACTTGTCTGCAGTTTGTGCGCGCGATGCATGATTAGCAAGAGCAATGTCAAACTATATTCTGTGCGACGGTGTGTTGTTATTTTCTGCAAAACAATGTGTGATTAGTTTAGCTTTCTATGATATCTGAAATAATCAAGGTCTCGGTAAGTGTTATCAGCTAGCGTCAGCCTTCGGCTCGGCAGGTAACACCTAGAATTTTGATTATTCCAGATATCACAAAATCTCATTCAACAGGTGTTCAATATAGGCACTGGTTAACATTTTATTGACCATGTTTGGAAATATGATTAAAATTTGCAGTAGTGCATGCTTCACGATTGACCTGGTGTGTACTTAAACTTGACTTTGCCCATGCCTGGAGTGGAAAATCTATAAATGTCTACAAGCGCAGCCATGCATTATTTATGTGTTTTTGGAATGACAGAAAATTGAAGATTGGAGAGAAGATTGAGGCGAGCGGGGATAGCGACTGGGTACGAGTCTGGAGTAGTTGGCCGAGAGGGATTGCCAAAATTATTCCCAATCCTCACTTCCGCTTAATATTTACTTCCGTCTTTCTGGATTCCAGTCCTCCCTCCTACTCTTTTATTACGCCACAGTTCTAATACCCGTTACCCGCCACTGCGACGGAGAGTTGCACAGAAACCTATCCGATATGAGACGATCCGCTTTCTAGATCGGTGCTGCTTCAATTGGAAGTGGCAAGATTGCTTGGGTTAACGATGAAATTCTAGTTTTGATAAATATGGACAAAAGTTCCCCTTTGCTGTTTCAATGGTACATCCCTGAATGGGTAAAATTGGTTTGAACACGTTTTTGTTTTACTGAGTCATTTGGATGCCAAGAGACCCGTTGCACGGTTGTGGGTCACTACCATGGTACTCTTTGAAAATATAATGGAATGAGTTTTTGGTGCCTTTATGCTTCTTATGACGTTGTATGGCCAAACAAGGTCAAAAGGTTTTCATCAAACGTCTACTCGAAAGTTGGGTTTTCTTACTTGAAAACCGATTTACCTAGCGGGGTAATTTGATGACAGAATCAGAAACTTGCCTTAAAATATGTGAAAAACGTTCTAGAATCCAAAATGTTTAGCGCCCTTAAGGGGGGAGTGGTTTGTTAATCAAATATTGACTATTCCAATTCAAGGAGAAGTTGTTTTAAAATGGTTTAAGGCATCGAAGAGATCAACAATCACAGTAAACATCTCGTTTTCTTCAGGTTTAATACAACATTACTTATCTGAAGGTTACATCAGAAACTAAACATTGTATCGTGCAACGTGTTGGGATCAAGTAGAAGCAGTTCAACAAGCCGACCTATAAGTCACCCTATGTAAGAGAATCCACGATAGTCTGGGATTCTGGATTCCACGTCACGGATTCCAGATTACAGGTACTCTATTCCAGTCTTTGTCAGTGGAACTTGGATTCTCAATTCCAATTGCTAGTGAGAGTCCGGATTCTTTGAGCTGTACTCCGGACTCTAAATCCCAGTATTCCGGATTCCACAAGCAAATTTTTCCAGATTCCGGATTCCGTTACATGGGGCGGTATAAAGGATGAACCATTAGGAAAGAAAAGGGGCTGGGTTGAATTTTTGGGAGGTCTATGAAAGTTTTCTTTTCACTCCTGAGGTGGAAATCTATTTTTCCTCCTCGAACAGCTTTTTTGATCATGGTGCGTGTGGAGAGTTTTTTCTTACTAATGCGTTTCCCTTTCCCCAACCTCCAATCCTTTTTCTCTAATGGTGACATCCCTAAATTAAAGCAGCTTCTTTAAATAACTGAGGGATGGCTAAAGGTCAATGGCCTAGAGAAAACCGATCTAGAGGCATCAAAAATAGGTCAGATCCTCGATAGATTTGATGATAGCTTGAACGATTGCTGTGATTTCCCAGCGCCAAACCTCAGAACGTTGCTGTATACGTGTTCTGGAACTGATCTATTTGATAAAAAGCCCAACTTTTACAACCTAGCACAAATAGGACAAAACATCATTAAGTTATTGGAGCGTCCAAAATCTTAATCTAATCTCTTCCACTGTTTGGATACTTCAAAGTTGACATCAATTAAAGCTGTTGGATCACTAACGTATAATAGTGCACGATAACGTTTTTTTATGATTGAAATGACTCGCAGTAATTAAGAAACAAGATTAAGAGTTAAACCTAGTTTAATGGTAAAACAAGTAGTCTACGAGTGCAGAGACAGAGGCGGACTCAGCTCTACCAGGAAGTGGGCCCTTTTTTCTTTGTTTGCAGGCATGGAAGGACTATCTGGCAACGCTTTTCCTAAAAAAGGGTTATTAAAATATGGCAAAAGTCACTCTAATGATTCTCAGACGGTCCAATTCGCCAGCGGTCACTCGCTCCTGTCTCTGCGCAGGCTATTCAGTGTATCGCCCAAAACTTACTGTTAAAACCACGAGCATATTCATTCTCAAACGTGGAAGGCAAAATGTTTACTCTTTGTATGAAACGCTAATAATTTATCCGTATAAGTTAAACTCGCCACTGAAATCCCATTTTACTTGAATTTAAAAACAGTTTTAATTAAGTGACACAATGTGTGTCCCAATATATAACATAAGTACAAAATGAAGACTGCAGACTGCTGTCAGTGCAAAACATTGTTTTCACCATGCAAATGGGAACGTGACAACAACAGTCCCATTGACAAATGCATATGAAAAAAATCATATATGAGAACCGCGGCAATGAAATCAAATGAAGAATGATCCTCGCAGTTGTAAACGCAATGTATGCAATTGCGTAAGAAGCCTGAAAACAAAAAAATCAGGACTGAACCCGTGACCTCGCGATACCGGTGCGACGCTCTAACCAACTAAGCTATGAAGCCACTGCTAGTCCTATTGCTTTCTAACCCCGAAAACAATGGTCTGCAGTCAGTCTGCAGTCTGCATTTTGTACTGTCCACCAATTTATACATTAAGGATCAGCAAGACATGGACATATTCATTTTTTTTTTTTAAATAATACTAGTTCTGGGAAACCAGGGATCAGTCATATAAAACGTAATACATCCTTTTAACCCAGACCTTAAACCACTGAAATGTGACCCGCGGTTCAGAATCACGGTTCAGAATGCACAAAATACTTACAGTGGATACTTAAAATTTTTAAGATTATCTGATTAAAATCTGAATCATTTTACTGAAAGCACGGCCACGCTTGTATATAGTTAATTGGTACGTCTCCGTCCCGTTAGGAGACTAGGGATTCTTAACCCTCGGACGTACAACCCCCCTCCCCCCACCCCCTGACGTTTTTTTAAATTATTTTTTTAGATGATAAAACATCAGCACCCGAAGTTTTCAGTAGCCGTTCGTTTGTCCCTCACGCGCATTTTGAGACAAGTTTAGTGATGGTCAGTTACTATGGTTACGACATATGATGTCATAAGTAGCAGGTGGTCAAGCCATTTTTAAGTGAAAATGCCTGTTCTTACAACTTTTTTCAACAATAAAAGTAAAACTTGTCAATGAAATGATGCAAAGGGCTTATTTATGTGTTATTTTACATCTGAAGCACAGAAAATTACCATTTATGGCGATTTTAACCTGATTTCTAATTCTTGGTGAAATCCAAGATAGCGACCATTGTCGGCAATGTCACAGGCCTCCAGCAGCGCCACCACCCATTAAAAATAACCTCATCTTGTTGAGTAGCTAGATCAAAGGCTTTCCACTGAAGGCAAAATCGTTTCGAAATACTGCAAATTATCAAAAACTCTGGGGAGGGGCTCCATCCACCCCTCCCCTTCATACCACGGTTGGGGTATGAATTTGCGTGTACGTCCGAGGGTTAACCACGTTAAATTAATTTGAATTATTTGTTTCAGTCATTTGCTTTAAAGCCGAGGGGAAAAACTGAAAAGGAATTATGAAGATTATGTTGATGGCGATTATTATTATCATCATCGTTAAGATTATTTCAATGCAATTTTCCTTTGCCAAATTACAATTTGCCGGTTAAGGCAGGTTACACGAGAAAAGGGGCAATCATCTATACTACTACTCAGTCAGTTTCGCGGGAGTAAAGAAATAATCGTAAACAGCGTTAAGTTCTTTCCCCACGAAAATTGTTTGTCTTTTTCCTCAGTTAAAATTGATGAGTATAGCCGTGGCTAATTTAAAAACGTTTTTTCGATGTTATTAATTAGAGAGATTAAGAGTTACGTTTAAGGAAATCCGTGGATTTGTACCACGTGACCAACTGTTCCCTTTGCTTCTCTTTTGCTGTTAATTAAATCTACAAAAAATTATTAGTTTCAAGATATTTTTATCCATAAGAATTGCTTTGAGGTGTTTTCATTTTATCTGCATATTTTCTATTTTGAGAAATTCTCAACTTGAATCTGCAGACGTTTGCCGTTAGCGTGAATCTAAATATCTCTAATATTTTCTGAGAAAAAATGATTAAAATGAAAACACACTTTTTTACCAAACGCCCCATTCAGGAAAGCTATTAAATAACGCACTTCTTTCTTTGGGCAAATCCAGATATATACACGCTACTTCAGCAGTTGTGTCGACATCAAACTTTCAGCACATCCCTGTAAAGAAAGTAACAATTGATACATTAATTAATCTTTCATTTCAAAACAAAATAAAGGTCAAAGCGTTAAATTTTAGGATGCCATGGATGATGATATGAAAAATAGCAAAATGAAAAACATTTAACATGTTAGACATATTTGTTCGTTTTGAAGCTATGAATTTCTCTACAAAAGTGCTAGTCCCGTAGGAAAACGTAGGAAATTTATTCCTATGTATATCTTTTATCCACCCTGACCTAAACAATTTAACAATTGAGAACATTAAGCAATGCCTAGTGTTCAATTGATTTTTTAAATGTGTTGGTAGCCCGCCAGGAATAACATTTACTTGAGTGAATCCATAATAATTTAACACATAATAATTTAATTTAATTTATCCTTCCTTTGTACATATTTTTATTCTTTTCATTATCAAGTCTGTCATTTTCCTTTTATCTGAATTTGAAAAGAATGGTTCTAGCTTTTCTTATTAAGCCTTCTGTTACTAGAACAGCAAGAAAACAAAATCTCCACTTACGACTTGCTCAATGACTCTTTTTCCAATTCAATCTTAACGTCATCGCCCATCAGAACAAAAGGAGCCCAGTACTTTGGAGCGGAATAATCGTGGGAGTCTCGAAGACATTTCGTGGCCCTCTGAAGAGCAACACTTGCACTTTCTCCGCTTTCAAGTTGTTGATAGAAAGATTTCATAAACATCATTGTGGCTTCGTCATCAATTGCCCAGAGTGTCGACAGCACGGAACGAGCACCAGCGAACAAGAAAGCACGTGCCATACCGACCACACCCTCAGACGAGACCGGTCCTTGACCACTATGGCAGCAACTTAACACAACTAGCCTTGCTCTCAGCTTCACAGCCTGGATATCAGACATTTTCAAAATATAGTCCTCCTCTGTAGGAGTCTTGGATCCCCATCGGGGGTCTGGAGCCAAAACAATTTCTCCAGTTTCCTTCCTTCCGTGGGCTGCGATGTGAACCAAAGCAACTGACGCGATTCTCTGAAGTACCGCTTCTTTGGTTGCGTCTTCACCTGTTAAAGTTTGACTCTTTTGAATTTCTCCAATCATCTCCACTTCCATTCTTGCGTACTTCAGAGGATCATAAATGGGGTTCCCCCGTTTATCTGTAATTGTCTTCAAGCATGGATCTCCAACAAGCAGGGCTCCACTTTTACTGTGGTATTCAATTGGAGAATCTGTGATGACTTTCAAACTGGTCAGTGAGGGAACAGTCCGGATCCTTAAAGTTTCACTCAGGGCTGCCCAAGGAGCTTTAGACAAAGCGCCGTCAGGGACTACAATTAATTCATCACCATCAAGCAAATCTTCAATGGGACCAATAACTGCATCATATAATGGCTGTAAACCGTCGGTGGTTTCCTGTGATGGCTGCGGTGTTTGATCATCGTCTCGAATAGTTGAAGTTGGGTCGTCACTCAGCTGATCCATTGACCGATTTTCGCACCTAATACCGACGCCAGCCCTCATTTTTTTCAAAGCAGTGTCTAAAAGGAGAGCAAAAGAATCTTCGTGTGCACCTCCAATTTCAAACTCCGCATTCCTAAAAACAGGGTTGCCCTCTTTTCGCAATACCCACATACTGAGTATTTTCAATTCAAGGGAAAGAAAAACTGTCAACACAGTTGTGTTCTTTGAAATATACGTGACTTCTTCTTCAGATTCAATTGACCTGGGAGAAAGTGATGTAAGGCCATAAGTTACTTTTAAGGCATCGAGCAAAGCCTGTGCCCGTCCCCTCTCAGCAGCGTATAAAGCCTCATCATTCCTTTGAAGCATTACTAAAATTTGCCATAAATGATTATAGGCACATTGATGATGCCTACAGAAACCTATTTTCAATTGATCTTCCGAGATAGAATTGGCTCTTATAGTGTCACAGATTTTAACACAGCATCTAAAATGTTCTAAAGCCTCATTCAAAGAATGTGAATCCAAAAATGAGTGACCCAGACCGGCATGTGCACTTGCTTCTGACATCCTGTCACCGATTTCTTCGGCAATGCTCAGGTGTTGCTTGTAACACTCTATTGCTTCCTTCAAGTCGTGGAGTTTTCTATAACAACTTCCGAGGCGGCAATAGGCTCTTCCTTGTCCAAAACTGTCATCGGTTTCCTCGGCATTGCTCATGGATTGCTTGTAGTTCTCCATTGCCCGTGGCACGTCGCCGAGGGCTTCATGAACGAGGCCGATGTTGACATAGGCCCTTCTTTTTCCGTCTCTGTCACCGACTTCCTCGGCAATGTTCAGGTGTTTCTTGTGGCACTCCATTGCTCGTGGGAATTCATCAAGGCTTTGATGAATGTTGCCGAGATCGGAATAGGCGTCGCCTTCCCATTCCCTGTAACCATCTTCCTTGGCAATGATGAGGCATTTATTGGTGTACTCTATTGCTCGTTCGTATTGGCCAAGAAGGTGATAAATATCGCCGAGATTGATATAGCCTTTGCATTGCCAACTCCTGTCACCAACTTCCTTGGCAATGATGAGGTATTTATTGTAGTACTCTATTGCTCTTTGGATTTCATAGAGTTTGTGATTAGCTAAGCCCAGTTTGACATAGGCTTTGCCTTGACATACCCTGTCACCAACTTCCTTGGCAATGCTGAGGTGTTGATTGTGGCACTCTATTGCTCGTTGGAATTCTTTAAGGCTGTGATAAACAGTGCCGAGATTGCCATAGCCACATCCTTCAGCTGCCCTGTCACCAACTTCCTTGGCAATGCTGAGGGTTTGATTGTGGTACTCTATTGCTCGTTGGAATTCTTTAAGGTTGTGATAAGCAAGGCCGAGATTGTTTTAGGCTTTGCCTTGACATACCCTTTCACCAACTTCCTTGGCAATGCTGAGGTGTTGATTGTGGTACTCTATTGCTCGTTGGAAGTCTTCAAGGTGGTGATAAGCAAGACCGAGGTTTCCAAAGGCACATCCTTCACCTGCCCTGTTACCAACTTCCTTGGCAATCCTGAGGCGTTGATTGTGGTACTCTATTGCTCTTTGGGAGTCACCGAGGGAATCGTAAGCACAGCCGAGATAGCCATAGGCCCGTCCTGCTGATCCTGCTCTGTTACCGACTTCCTCTGCAATGCTCAAGTATTGCTTGAGGTACTCTATTGCTCGATGGAAGTCCTTGAGGGAGAAATAAGCTATGCCTAGATTGTAGTAGGCATCTGCTTTCTCTTCCTTGTTTTTATTGATTTGCGCTATTGCAAGACGCTTTTTTTGTTCAGCTATATCTTGTAGTATTCTTTCTGCCATTTCGAAGTTTTCGTATTCAAAGTGGAAATGTTTCTTGGGCGTAATGCTTCTTTAAAGGAGCGTGGAGGTGGAGAAAAAAACAAAAATAATTCTCATTAATACATTTGAAGTCTTAGAATATGTTCCCATTAGACCGATAAGGTAGCTAGAACTTTCCACACCTTCCACCCTAGATTTACTCTAACTGACAAATCTTCTGAATTTTTTTTGTCAGTTTCTTAATATTTGTGTTATAACACAATATTCCAAGCAGATTCCGTTTAAACTTCTTTCTGTAAACTTAGTTGAAAGTAATAAATCTCCTTTGTACCCTACTTAAATATTCAGAAAACAAGAAAGGTTTCATTAAGTACAAAAACTAAACATGATATTTGAAACTCCTGTGATACCAAATGAAAATATAGTTGAGAGCTTCTGCCTGAGGGAGGATTGGAAATAGGTGTCGGTCGATTTTGCTCAAATTTGGTACACTATCATGGAGACTTATACATTATGGCAATGTTTTAGCTCGATTGTTTCTGTTTTGATGTGAGGTATAGATCAGCCTTTTTGGGCCAGGTTTTCTGAGGTCGATTTTTAGGTCAATTTTGAGGGTTTTGAATAATTCACCTTTAATGTATCTATCCCTAAGGTTTTATGGCAGAATATGTAGCACATAGAGGATATCGCATGGCCGTGCGGAGATACGAAATTGCTCTTCAAGTATTGAAATATCTTCAAAACGAGGAGAGAAATTTCGTATCTCCAAGCGGTTATGTAATGTTCTATTTATTATATAAACACCAATGAAATACAAAACCATTTCAGTTAGACATTTTTCGTGCGAAAGGCGCGATTTATTATGTAGCCATAGCAACGGTGATCTTTTCACATGTGAAGATAACATGCTATTTTCACATGTGAAGATCATGTTTTCGCGTGAAAGCTCACCTTGTATGTCATTGGTGTTTGTATAATAAAAATAACTATCTCTATCGTTTGTGACCTTATTGCTTAGTTTCATGCTCGTGCAAGGATGTCAAAAGAAACCGCTAAAGGCCCGAAGTAATTCCAATTATTTTCGGATTCCACTTTTTTTATAAAATTCTTACATGAGTAGAAAGTGTAGACCTTGTTATCTAAACACCAAGAGGAAAATACTAAGGTTACACGGCTTTCTCACTGTGCAGCCGTGCTTTGATGATTCTATTATTGATAGCCACAACACTCTCCCCATCTAGTTTACATGTCGAAATGTTTCAGTCCAAATAGCCCGTGTATATAGGCACCCTCCCGCGACAAAAAAAAATGTTTTTTTCTGCCGGGAGGGGGCGGCTGTACACAGGTTAAGTCCAGAGAAATGGGGCTTGGTCTAATCCTCAAAAATGAGTCCGCTGCCCGGCGACAATAACATTACGTGCAAAATTCAGAGAGACCACAAACTAGAAAACCACAACAAATTTTAAATTGTTTGCCTTACATAGAGCAGAAATAAAAGCGATTTAATTCATAAACCGTAATTTTCCTGAAAACCTTTCTGACAATACAATTTATATAGTCCCAATGCACATTGAAAAATTTAAAAGGCAGCTGTTTGCATTGAGGAAAGATGTCTTGACTAATTAAGTTCATGACCTCTATTTCTTATCAATCGATGCAAGACTTAGTTTCACAAAATTATGTACAAAGCAGGTCTTTCTTCGCTAGCTATTGTCATATAAATGAAAATTATTATAAATCTGTGACGTCTACAACATGAGAGATCCACATTTAACACAAATTATCCTGAATACCCAGCGTTGATTGTCTGAGGAGGGGTAGGGGTGGGGGGTTTGGAAGGGGGGGGGGAATTGGAAGAGAGAATCGGAAACAATATTCTAGTCGGACGGTTTGCTTAACATGGAACAAACACACTTTGCTTCGCAGTCGCAAAGCGGTCAAAACTTATTATTAATTAAAAGAGGGAAAAAAACTACACCAGGAAATCAAAATAAACCTTACAGAAATATCTGATTAGAAAAATTCCAAGTTAAAGTTGATTATTTCTTACCTGAACGATTTGATATCTGTGAAGAAATTTTCAACGGAGTTTTGAAGTGTTTTCCAGTGGTTGGATTGAAATGCAGAGGACTATCAAATATATAGGGTGGCCGATAGAAACAAAAAAACCACAAGACAACAACAACAACAAAAATAGGAAAGAACAAACCCAAAACAGAAACACATAAGACAAAATGGGAAACCCGAAACAGAAAAACACTACCAGAAAATAGAAACACAAAATCCCAAAACTGAAATAAGCATCCTCAACAGGAATTACAAACAGATTCCAAAACAGATTCCAAAAATACAAACCATAGCCACAAAAGACGAAAACAGAAACAAGGAAATAGTGTAAAGCTACACCGTTTTTTTTTTTGAACAGGCGTTTTACGTTTTTGGGGGGAGAACATGATCGCAGGTTATTATTATCTAGGAACATCAAACTGTAAATCAATCTCTTTGTCGCCTCTCGCTCCAGGTGACCGGTTTTTTCATCTCTGAGGTTTCCGGTCAATTTTACCCCGCCGGGGTGTTCACGCGAGGACCACGTGGGGTCCGTTTCTTGATCGTCCTGGTACTGCCTTTGCTAGTCCAAAGCAGACAACCTAACGTGAGACATAACTACAAACGTATGGCGTTAAAATACAGAGATTGACTCTGACTGAACGTCAGTTGCTCAAGATTTAATACACCCGACATTAGGGAGACGACGGTAGTGAAACGTCATTTATAAAGCTATTTGGAGTACTTTTAAAATTTGTGGGGGTTATCTTAACTAGGTAAGTTGGTCAGATGTAGGTGATTTTTCTGTGGAAATGAATTTTTAGGGAGCACTGACATCAAAGAGTACATAGAGAAAAATAATTTTGTCTTTGGGTGCTTATGTCCTCCATATAACGTAGTGATGGCGAATAAAAATTTGCAAAAACGTGCGATGCACGTGCAGAGTTATTGTTTTGTTTATTGAACCCATATCAAGGGTCACCCTCCCAGTCCGAATAATGCAGCAGTTCAGAATAGACTGGGGCCACGGGGCCTAATTGGCTATTTACGCGATGACTTGTTTTTTCCAGTAAAGAAATTCACTTCATTTTTTCTTTCATATTTAAATTTGGTAATCCCACTAAGGTTTAAATAACAAAAGCCCTAACTTGCAGAAGAAAGCAAAACCCTGAAGGAATCTGGTATAGTAAAATGACGTCATCGTGCAAACGGCCTTTTTTACAATCCTTCAGAATTTGGCTTTCTCACGCAAATTAAGGCTTCTGAATTTACCGAATTAAACATAAATGAATTGAAAAAAACAAAATGATTCTTGTCGTCTGATTTTTAGATTGACAATATTGTGAAAAGCCCTGTCCATACAAATCGGGATATTTTTAAAAGCGCATTTAGATATATTTTTCACATGAATCGGCGTTCCGTCTGGTATTCCGTCCACCCGCGAAACCAGTGAATCCTCAGTAAATCCTCTCACCGAAACGTTAGGCTGATTTAGCAACAGAACGGGAACATCAGTTGACGACGGGAAAGCGCGCGGAAAGGACTGAACGCGACTTCCGGTGCTCAATTTGCTGCTCTCCCATTGGTCAAGCCAGTTGTTTGATTTGCGCGCGTCGTCGTCAACTGACGTTCCCATTCTATTGCTAAATCAGCCTACTATCTTTTTGAAACCGCTCTCCGAAGTGGTTTAAGGCCCCGTCTATACGAATCCAGGTAAAAAGTTATGCAGTTTTAAAAATTAGTCTGGATTCGTGTGCACGTGGCCTAAAACAGTTCAAGGTAGCTTTTGCTGAATCCAGTCTAGAATGTCCTTGTAAACCACGCTCGCAGTTTCTTCCACCTCATTCAGAAGTTCATGGCCCTCATTCTGTTATATCTGCAAAGCAAGTGTTACATGCAGTTGTGTTAATAATGAAATGATAATAGGTAGATTTAGAAATAATAACGAGCCAAAAAATTGGCCAAAGTGGGAAAACAACAACAATAATAGTCGCCATATCATCCTTTGGACTCTCGTTTGGAGACAAGAATATGGTGAAGGATAAAAGCATTTCCTTTTTCTTGATCATTTTATAAATTCTCTGAACCTTTTCTCGTAAAAATATGTTGAAATTGTTGGGAGAAAATTAATATTGGTTGGTCTCGTGGCTAAAAGGGTTAACATAAATCACAACTGTTATGGGATAAGTTCATAATGATTAGATCATCTTTGGAGACCCAGAGGCAGCTAGTGGGGACGATAGAATCGTCCCGACTACAATACCGGTCACAAATCGTTGAAACAGACACCGTTTCTCTCGAATTTTCTTGAAAATTCTTGAGATTTTTACTCCTCACACTTTTGTTCTCATGCACTGTAATGTGCCCTCTCGCTCCCCAATGTTGAGCCACGCGTGTTTTGAAGCACTGAGACCACTTACCCACTTACCCTAATAAACATTGGGGAAGTGTTTCAAGAATTTTGACGAGGATTGTAGCTGCCCCTGGGTCTCCGAGGATGCGCTTAGGACGAAGCGGCCGAAACTCCTCCCCAACTTCGTTCCCAAGTTCTCTCTGCTTGTAGGAGAGGGCCCTGAGAACGAGGTTGACTCCTATCCCGGCCTCGGCCAGGGTAATATCACCACCTCTCGCTGCCCTCTTGATATTCATTCCGTCATGCCCCCTAACCATTTAGTCTAAATAGAGAGAGCGTTTTTCTTTCACAAAATTTTATTTGAACCAAGGAAAGTTTTTTCATAAGAAAAAGGTTCAACTCCCACAGGATTTGTTTGGTACACCACAATGGCCACCGTTTCATTATTTTGGGACATGAAGAACGAAACTCTGAACGTGCAGCACCCTCTTTGGTAGATTTCTTTTTCGCTATCGCAAGACTCACGTTGTCGGATCAAACGTGATCAAAATGGCAAAACGGTCGTCGCCTTAATCTCTAAGATCGTCGTTTCGTCAATATAGCGACCGTCGCTACTTCGATT